GGGGTTGGGCCCTGGAGCCCACGGCGCTCGCTCTCTGCACTCACTCCACCGGAGGTTTTCCGGCCAGCTGTGTGCCGCCACTCCCGCTCCCAGAGCACCAGGCGCTCCCCCTGCGTGCCCGCGGTCCCGCTCCGGGCCCCGGGGCTCCAGACGCCGCCGCCCGACGGTGACATGGGCGTTCCCCTGGTCCCGGAGGCCGGTGGCCGGCACTGGGCGCCTGTGCTCCTCGCTCTCTTCCTGGCTGCCTCCCGAGGTAAGGCGGCAGGAGTCGGTGGGGAGGCGCACCGGGACAACACGGCTGGGGAGGGGGCCGCGGGGCGGGGGGCTCCTTCCGCCTGCCCTGTTTCCTACTTGCTGGGACCTCGCTGCAGGGGCCAGCGGGTCCCTGCCAAGTGCCCTGGCTGGGCAGCAGCACGTCTGCATGCTCTGACAGCCGCCCAAGCAGCTGCCGGCCTGACCCTTCCCTGCCCAGAGAGCCCCGCGCGGGAGCAGCTGCTGCAGAGAGGAGATGGACACGGTGGGGACAGCCCAGCATTTTCTGGGGGACGCCACGGGCTTTTGACTTTTGACACCTGGGGCATCTCCCTGCGCCGCCCGCCTCAGGGCTCCAGGGTCTCAGGGCGCAGGGGGTGTGGTACTCTCTGTGTCCTGCTCCCTGGTGACACTCCTGGCTGAACCTTGGGGGGCATGGGTGCACTCGCAGATGTGGGCGCCCACCTGGTCCTTATCCCGAGGGTCTGGCGGCTGAGAGTTGAGTGGTCAGCTGATTCCCGGCATCCTAGCAAGGCTGGAGCTCAGGGGCTGGTGTGGGGTCCTGGGGAGAATGTGGGCCACTTTCCTGGCTCAGCCATGAACCCTGTCTTGGTCCCGGAATAATTTATGGCATCTTTCTGGTCTCGGTTTCCTCAGCTCATGCTCAGAAGCCCTACACCAGGGAGGCGCCACTTTCTTCTTCCAAAGTCCAGACTGTCACAACTCCAAGTGGAATCCTGGCTAGGACACAGGGGCTCCCAGGGCAGGGCAGGGAGCAGGGGTAGGGCAGAGCTTGGGGTACCCATAGCCTGGCCCCCGGTTCTTGGTGCCCGGCACTGGATCAGCTGGATTGCAAGGGAAGAGGGGGCCAGCAGGCAGCCTGTGAACTATACTTTGTGGGGAGGGCCCAGGGAAAGCTTGAGTCATGCAGGGAGTCAGGGAGGCAAGAGGAAGGTGGGGCGCTTGGCACAAGGACCCAGTGGGCGGGTCAGGAGAAGAAAGGAGGGGGAAGCACAGGGTAGGAGCAAGAGAAGGGAGTTGAGAGAAAATGGAATATACCAGAAACAAAGTGGGTGCTTGCAGGCAGCATGTTATCTCAGTGCTTGGGGAGTCTGGCCTCTGATAAGGAGGAGAAAGCCCACACCCCACACACAGAGCTGCCTAGTCCTGGCCTGGATTCTCGCAGGATGGGGGAGGCGGTCTCGGCACCAAGGCCATGCTTCATGGCAGGACATGGTTTCCAGAAAGGGCAGGGGACGGTGGCAGGCAGGAAGGCCAGCACCGCCCCCACCACAGAGCACCTGCCCTGCCCCTTTCTCCTCAAGTGACCCCAAGAGGCCCTTCTGCTTTCTTACTCCTTCCCCTGCCCTCCCCTGGCCAGGCTGCTCTCTGTTCAGCCCCAATTTGGGAAACTGAGCTCTAGAGAACTGAGGTGTAGGGAGCCGCCTTGCAGAGTAGCTGGTAACAGAGAGGCTCAGAGCCCTCGCTCCATATCGTCTACATAGCCAGAGGCCTTCACCCCTAGAGGTCTCGGCTACTCACAAAGTGTGGCACTCCACAGGACCAGCTCTTCCCGGGCCCAGCTCAGGGAGATGATTAGGGCTCTAAGCAGCTTTCTACTGAAGGGGGTCAGAAGCATTCTCTTGGCTTTGAACTACTCTGGGACTCAGTATTCTTAACTGTAATATGGGCATGTTAATGAACATTCCCACTGCCCAGGACAATGTGTAACAAGGGGCTAACAGACGGGAAGCCTGGCTGCAGGCACTGTCAGGAGGGTCTGTGAGTTGGAAAGACTCGCCGGCCTGCTGAGGTGGGTTGCCTTGGGCAGGATTGCTCAAGGTCAAAGGCTTCATGTCTGGGAAGGTGAGATGGAGGTGGCTGGTGCAGGTCTGTTTTCTAAGCTCCTGAGGCTGGCTCAGCACCAAGGAGAATGGTGGTGGTGAGTTGGTGCTCAGGAGCCCAGTCAACTGAAGACGTGCCTTTCCTGGGCCTGACTCAGGGTGAGATGGATGGAGGGATGCACCCAACAGAGCCAGGCCCCAGCAGACCCCAAGGGTGGCAGAGACTCTTCTTCCCCTATATGCACTCCTAGGGCCCGAGAAAGTTCTTGTCCTCACCATGGCCTTATAGGCTGACCCAGGAGGCCCAGACTCTGGGACTAGCACATGGAAGTGCACCGAGGCTAGGGAGGGGAGACCCCATCATCCCCTTCATGGTAAACAGGACTGCAGGGCCTTGTTGAGTAACCCAATGGTGCAAGCCTCTGACACAGCGAAGGTCAGCTCTTAGGAAATCCACTGTCTTCTGTCCAGAGCCCCTGTGGTGGCCCTGGAGGCCAGCCCACAGGCGTGAGGGGGCATCTACCCAATGCTAGGGATGCCCAGCAATACCAGGGAGTCCCTCGCCCAGCTGGGCTGGTTGTTCCTGTGTCCACCCCCCCAAGCAGGGCAAAGGTTCCCTGCTGGGGCCTGACCTCCCTAGGAGTGGTGGCTCAGGTGGGAGGGACAGTGGTGGGAAGCTGAAAGAGGCCACCTCCCTATATGCATACATATACGGGTCTTAGGCTTCAGCAGATCAAGGGAGAGAAGGAAGGAAGGGCTCCTCGGTACCCATCTGGCCAACCAGCACTGACTAAGCCCCACATACTGAGCTGGAGGCCCCCCAGTTTTAGGCCAGCTACTCATCCAGGAGCATCCACTTCACCTGGGCGGGGTGAACCTGGGATTGGCAGTGCAGCTTTCTGAGGCACCCCTGGGTCCCCTTAGCAGCAGCACTGGCAGGCCCAAGGCCTTCCTGATGGCACTCTGTATGGGAATGGTGAAGCAAGGGACCTGGGGCTGTGTGCCTTGCATGCTTCCCATACAGTCCTTTCACTCAACAGTCTGGTCTTGGGAGTCAGTGAGCTCTAGGTTCAAATCCCAAGATGGCCATTTACGGCTGTGGCTTTGGGCAAGTTACTCAGCATCTACAATGGGGATGATGATGGCCCCTCCCTCAGGGGGCTTCGGTGAAGAGTCCGTGCACAACCTCAGCACCGTGCCTGGAACCTGGTGAATGATGTGTAGTGTTAAGCTGTTTCTTGGCTTTCTGTGGCCACGTGCCATTGGCCCTCCAAGTTCCTTGATGCCTACAGAGCCCGGTGGAGAGCCCAGGGTGTGGGAAGGCATGGACTGATTTCCCTAGGACTGGACTTGAAGAATCCTGGAGGTCTGGCCACCTGTCAGTACCTATAGGCACTTAAAGTGTGAAATGTCCATGGAAGCGCCTGTGGATTCTCTTCAAGTTCCCCAGAGATGGGGGACTTTGCAACTTCAAGGCAAGCCCAGCTCAGGGTTTGCTGGTCTAACTGGGATCTTTCTTGCAACTGATCTTTATGTTTCATCTAGTTGCTCTGGCTGCCCGTTCCCAGAGAGAAAGGCCGTGGCTGTTACGCACATCCGTCATTCAGTAATGAACTTGCTGCGCTTCGGCCCGAGCAGACCCCGTCCTTTAAATGTTCTGCATAGGATGCTATTTCCCGTGGGGACCTGGGGTTGAATAGGGAATAGTGAATAGCAGAGGCTATTCTCTCCCTGGGGGACACTGAACGCACATTCTCTCTGAGCCACGGGCAGCCTGGGGACATGGTTTCAGGGAGGCTGACTGCCCCCTTCTGAAGGGCAGTTCCAGAATAGAGCTCCCTGAGCGTCAGCCTTCTGCTCATTACCTTTGGGATTTCTGCAGCAGCATCTGCCTATCATATGTACTTATTTTTTCCCTCAAATGGACTCATTCTTTTACTTAATTAAGTAAATAGATTTTAAAAGGAAACTTTCTATCACCGGCACCAATGGAAAGCCAGTATCTTTGCCATAAATAGAACAAAACCATACAAGTGCACAATAAGAAAACCAAATAAGGGTAATACATTCTAGTATAGCCTGGGGAAGGCTCTGAGCCTGAAACCTGCTGTCCCTTGTTAAAAAAAAAAAAAAGGGAGGGGAATAACCTTCTATGTGATTCGATGGCATTTAATGCCATAAAACTAAAACTGTCCGTGTTATAGTCGGTGTCGGCCCCTCCCCCATCACTGCAGAAGCCAACTCACCACTGTCAAGAGCGCTAGCTGGTGGCAGGGGACAGGTCAGCTCTCCCAGAGGAAAAGAGAGCAGTGGTCCCCATCCTAAGAGGTCAGGGCAGGGTCAGAGGGCCTCTCTGAGCTTCTTCCGGCCCCCAATTCTCCCAGCCCCTGCTGCCTTCCTCAAATAAATACAGTGTCCAAGTAAATAGAGTAGCTCCAGCTGGGTCCTCTCTTATGTTGGGGCCAACTAGCTATCCCAATAACCACGGGGTGATGGGGAGAGAGCTCACAGCAAGCTGAGCCCTCATTGGCGAGGCCTGCTGTCCCTCTGCAGGAAGGACGTGGGCCCTCTGGTCAGTCCCAAGCCACCTCTACTGTGTCGGTTACTACGGGCTGCCTGCACCGAGGGCAGGGCCCAGGGACTGGAAGCTGAACCTTAGGAAGTCCTCACAGCCCAGACCCTTGAGGGAAGCTGGCCAGAGCTGGTATTCGGGGCTGCACACAGTCCTCCTCGTGGAGGGCCTGGGCGAGTCTGGGAAGGAGGCATCCAGAGAAGCATCCATTGGCGGGGCGCCTGGCCAGCTGCCCAGGCCCTCTCCAGGGAGGCGTGCTGGCCAACAGCCTCCAGCCCCGGATGCGTGGATGCTTTCCCAAGGTGCTGGAAGCGCCGCTTCCTCCAATAGAGCCTGGCTTCCCCTTCCCAGACTCCCTGGTCTGATGTGAATGGACACTTCCTGCGGGGGCAGGTATCAATAAACACATCTGAGATGCCCTTTGTCCTTGCTGGCCACAGACCCCAGGAGCTGACCTGCTGGCTCCGCCCCCCGTGCCGGGGGTGCTTCCTGGACCTCAGCGCTGGCAGACTCAGTCCGGATTGGTCCTTGACTCTGTTTCCCTCTGTGCTCTGCAGCTTGATAAAGACAGAACGGAGGCTTTCCCTGCACCCTCCCCGGACTATCCTGGGGGACGGGGCCTGGCAGGGAGCTGGAGACCAGTTCCATGTCTGTTTGGCGCTCCTTCCGAGGGTGAGGTCCTGGCCTTTTGCAGCTAGCCCTGGGCCAGCAAGAGCAGATCAGGGACTGTTGGGCTGTTTACTTACAACCCCTAGCAGCAGCTGGACAGAGTTCAGCTGTTTGGGTGGGGCCTCCCAGGCCAGACTCATCAAGCTGGGGCCCCACCTCCAAAGGCTGGGGTGTTGCCTTAGCAACCGTGGGCTAAACTCATGCCCCGTCAGGGAAAACACACAGGCCTCTCCACACCCCCACACACACCCATCCCGTGCACACCCACAGGGTTTCACGAGGTGCCTGCTGGGTGGAACGAGGTGAATCATGACAACTAACATCCCAAGACGGAGCCAGACAAGAGCCCCTCTCCCCAGTACTGGAACAGAAGCTTCTACAAGGGGCTGAGCCCACCTTTGGCTGAGGGTCCCCCAGCTGGAAAGCGGCAGGAGCAGGACTAAATTCTGAGCGGCCATCGCTTAGGGAACTCTGCACCCTCACGGCCTCTCTGCCCTGGGCCTGGCTCACGGGTAGGACCTCGGTAAATATTTGTGGAATGAAGGAATGGTGTTTTCGGTTTAGGTCTGAGGCTGAGCAAGGATGACTGGCTGGAAGTTGCAGTCAGCTTGGGGTCAGTTCACTCTCCCCGGTGCTGGAGGCTGAGATGTCAGCCCCACCCGCTTCAGGAGTTAGGGGGTGCTCTTCCTTCCTGCTGTGCTGGTGTGTCCAAGGTGTGAGTTTCAGCTCAGCCACATAGGGTTGGGTGGTCTTGGCTAAGTCGCTTGACTTCTGGGTCTGTTAACTCATCTTTAAAATGGGGATGATAATACCTACATCAGGGGATATTAAGTGAGAGGAGTACAAATTGGTAAGCAAGTCCTGACACATAAGAGGTGGCCCATTTCTTGCCCCCTTCCCTGCCCTAAGGAAATACAGCCCCTTCCTACTGCCCCAAGCCCTCAGAGCTGGAAGGGCCTAGGAACATGGGGAGTCTCTTGAGATGAAGAGAAGGAGGCAGAGAGAAGGATGGGACCTGCTCAAGGGCACACAGCAAGGACGTGGCTAAGTGGGGACTGGGGCCCAGGGATCCCTCAGACCAAGGTTTTAATCCTGAGACCTGGAATTTTCCAGGTTCCTAGCAATATTCCTCCAGGGGCTTCTGCCTCCTTACCCGGTGACAGGTGGGGCTGGAGTGGGGCTGGGCCCCAAGAGCAGCACAATGACTGGATGGTTCCCGCCTGGGCACAGGCTCAGGCCCAGGCCCAGGGTCATTTTCCTGGCCCACATGTTCTCGGCCACCCTGGAGCCGAGGGCTTTCCTCCCCACCCTCTCCCCAGTCTCTGACAATGACCCAGGTGTCCAAAAGGATCTGCTCCTGACAATAAGCAACATCCTCCTGCCAAATAATTATAAACCCAGCTGTGCTATATATATATCCCCGATAACACGTGTGCATGTGCAGTTGTGGGTGGCATGGGGGGGGCGTGCATTATTTTCCCCAACTCTGTGCCTTTGAGCATCAGGCTGTCCTGGGTTTTGACCTGGCTTGAGTCTTAGACACAACAAAGGGGATGTTCCCACCCCCCCAACCCTGAACCCCCCACCAGGACAAGACCCTGGGAACTCTTGGTCCACTGCTATCTGGCCCTTTTGCTGAAATCGAACAGTGTCCCCCATCCCCCAAACCTGAATCCTACTGCAAGCTTCTCCTTTTTCTAAAAAGGGAAGAGGTCCTCTAGGGTGTGTAGGGTGTTGGGGATTGAGCAATGCTCCCCTCCCCTTGCCCCCCACCCCCATTCTCAGCCCCAATTCTGTGTCCCACTGTGGGTTTTCAGCCTCTAGGGCTGAATATCTCTCCCCAGTGCTGTCCAGGTAACTCTGTGCTCCCTGACACATAGGGCCATGTAATAGCTGCCCCTAGCTGCGGCCCGCAGGGGAAAGGGGCAGCGCAAGGCAGACAGCTCCTCGGTCTGCTCTCTGGGCGGGTTTTCGGTCTTCCTGGGAGTGTCTGCGAGGGTCCTTTCCCTGGCTAGCCCCCCGCCCCCCGTTTACTGGCACACATAGTTCTGTGGCCATGGCCGTCACACAGGCCCGTGAGGGGGAGTCAAAGTCACTACTGTGATCTTCAGTGAATTATTTAGCGTCTCTTTGCCTCACGTTTTGTCCTCAGTGAAACAGGAATAAAAACAACACCGACCTTATAAGGTTGCTAGACATGCCCCTTAAGGAGTTAGCATAGCACAGGATACCTGCTCTTCCTTCTTCTAGTTCTAACTAGATCTGGCTTTACCTGAAACCCCCCATGCTCCAGGTTCTGAGTTCATACCCTCCCTCTGTGGCACTTTAGGGAAATCACTTTCCCCTTCCGGGCCTCTACATTTCTGCCTGAAAAGGAGACCAGCATCTTGCCAGGCAGTTGTGAAATCTCTGCTCACCTTGGCAAAGATTTTCCATAGATCTGGGGCTCCCAGACATGGCTCCCTCTCACATGTGGGTGGAGTGAATGGAAGGATCTGGTGTGTGTGTGTGTGTGTATGTGTGTGTCTTCCTTACTTTCTAGGGGCCTAACACACTACCATGCAGACGTATTCTTCGGGGCCATGACTTTGCTAATTCCCCACACGCTGCTTTAAATATGCAGGCACTCCAAAATTGGATCCCAAGCTGTTGTCAGTCATTCACACCTTAGTGGGAAAGAGTTTGAAGCTGGTTTCTCCATTCTACTCTGCAGAACTATTTTCACTCCTAGGAAATGTTCCCGGACTTGCCCAAACTAACGAGAGAGCTGTGTGGCTTCCACGTAGCAAGCACCACCTACTAGCTAAGCACTTTCAGAGCCCTTCGTGTGAAGTATTTGTGGTCCTTGCCTCAACTCTGGCAGGTAGATGTTTTCATTTCTGTTTGACAGTGAGGAGTCTGAGGCTCAGAGTCTAAATGACTCCCAGCTATTGGACTCCAGTGCGGGCTGGTCCGGTTCCAAAGCTACCCCAGGCTGCCTTACTCTTGACCAGGCAAAGTTTTCAGCTCTGCTGGTGGGTCCCAGGCTCTAAAGGCAGGGAAGGGGGTGCCCGCAGGAGGAAGTGGCGTTATCTTGATTCAGGCAGTGGCAGTCAAAGAGACATGCTGGTTTGGATTCTGTACACATCTCCTTCCCTGACTTACAACAGCCTCTGAAATGCCAATTAAAATTCAAATACCGCTAATATATAATAACCATAGTTATCTTCCCTGTGTCTGTAGAGGGCATTAGAACTCGCATCTCATGTTCTCAGCTTTCCCTCGCTCTGTTCTCTCACAACCATGCCTTGCAGTGATTGTGGGGATCAACATGGTTAGGTGCTGGGGGGTTGGGGTAGGGTAAAGAGGGCCAGGGGATGGCTTCGTTTGCTTATTGAAAACCAAATGAACTAGGAAATATTTCTAAGAAGACTGGGTGGCAGCAGGTACATGGATGAGGCGACCTCTCATGATTTCCCTGGTCCTGGCCCCGAGACACCTTGGGTTTTCCTGCTTCCTCACCACCTGGCCCAGAGCACCCCGTCTACTTGCTGAAGTTCTATCTGTCCGTCAACCCCAAAGACACTCGCTCCTTCGAGAAGTCTCCTGACCATCCCCAGGACGGCTATGTCTTCCCTCCTCCAAGTGCCCTGTAGACTGGAACCAGTCCACCCTTTAGCCTGCGGTCTTACTTTGTCAGGAAGGCATGCTTCGTCTACCCAGCTAGGCCATAAGCTCCCAAGGGGAGGCCATGTGCTCAGCATCCAGGTGAGACGTAGCACCTGGTGCAGGCCTTGCACACAGAGGTGCTCCATTAGTGCTCACCGATGAGGAGGTGGGACGGCATGGCTAGCCCTACGAGTGGGAAGGGCCCAAGGTGCTAATGGCCCCAGAAGGCTGGCCACGGGAAAAGGGCTGTTCATCCCGAATCGCCTTTGTGCTCCTCATCCTGCTTCCCCCCCGGACGGCATGGGGTGTGGGGCTGGAGGTGCCAGGGGCCAGTTGTGGGCAGAGCCCCAGGGTCTGCAGCAGTGGGGAGACAGACACACCGGCTGGGCCCCGTCCGCCGCCTGCCCAGAGTCTCTCCTACACCTCGTCTAGTGTCCCTGGGGTCAGGGGAGTCCCTCACTTGGAGAAGCTCCTCCTCCCACACAGCCCGGGATGGAGTCAGATTCAGGAGCTAATGAAGAAGCTGAGGCCCAGGAGGTCAGCTGACTCGCCCGGGGCCTGTGACTGGGGAACCCACATCTTCAGAGCACCAGGCCAGGGTTCTTCCTCACTCTGGGGGAACTGGGAGTGGTTCTGGCTCAGGCAGGTGACCGTCTCTTGTCTCTCTAAACAGGTCTCGTGGCAGCCTTCAGGGTCGCCACGCCATATTCCCTGTACGTGTGTTCTGAGGGCCAGAACGTCACCCTCACCTGCAGGATCATGGGCCCCATGGCCAAAGGGCACGACGTGACCTACTACAAGACATGGTACCGCAGCTCGCGGGGCGAAGTGCAGGTCTGCTCGGAGCGCCGGCCCATCCGCAACCTCACGTTCCAGGACCTTCACCTGCACCACAGCGGCCACCAGGCCAACACCAGCCAGGACCTGGCCCAGCGCTACGGGCTGGAATCGGTCTCCGACCACCACGGCAACTTCTCCATCACCATGCGCAACCTGACCCCCATGGACAGCGGCCTCTACTGCTGTCTGGTGGTGGAGATCAGGCACCACCGCTCGGAGCAGAGGGTCCATGGTGCCATGGAGCTGCAGGTGCAGACAGGTGAGGGCCCCCCATATGGGACGGCGCAGGGGTGCCGTCGCCGTGGGGATGGTGCACGCGCCCGTCTGGAGGGGGAGGCAGAGAGAACCGTGTGACTCCGGGGCTGTGGTGCTGAGTACTGGATGGTGTGACCATGGTGTGATTCTGTGCTGGGAGGGTGTGTGGTCCCAGATGGGGGACACGGACACGCCAGGGACATGTGTGGTGAGAGGGGGTGGCCACGGGGTGTGGGGCTGTGTATAAATCTCTCTGGTCAGTGGGGTGTGATGGTGAGGGGGGTGTATGTGGTTCTGTCTAGTAAGAGAGAGTGTACAAACCTGGGAGGTATTGCTCATGACACTATGGTGGCCGTGGTATGTGACCTGGGGTGTGAGCTGGTGAACGCTTGTTGGGAAGTATGTATATGTATGTATCTGTGTGTGTGTGTCCGGGTGAGAGTGTGAGGGGCAGTAGGCTGGGTAGATGAGTGGGTGCCAGCAGGTATCCACACGCCTGCGGGGGAGGCGTGAGAGTGCGCCGGGCACACCCAGCCTTGCAGTGAGAAGCTGCGTCTGTGTGTACCCGTGTGTTAGCTGCGACAAGCATCCCCAGGCTCAGGCCCACCTAACGCCCCTTCCCTTTGCTCCCACAGACAAAGCAGCGTCAGCCCGGTGCATCGCGTACCCACCTTCACCCAGGGAGAGTGAAAGTAAGGGACCGCCCTTTTGGCCCTTCTGGGTTCTCTGTTCTCCTCTGCCCTCTTCTTGGATCCAGGCCCCACTCTGAACTCTGACCTCATCACCCCAAGCCCACCGAACCCCCATTCTTCCTCCTCTGCTATTGCCTCTCCCTTTCACTTACCCCTTCCCCGCAACCATTGGGCTGCAGTCCTTGTTCTGTGCGTGGGGGAGAGAGGACGGAGAGACTCAGGAAGGGGAAGAGAACTACCTTTCCTAGAGCTCTTTCTGCATGCCAGGCACTGTGCTAAGTCCTCGCAAGTACTGGTATCTCCGTGGATTCTGACAAGAACCCTCTGAAGTAGGCAGCACATCTTCACTTTCTACACATGGACACAGAAGCCCAGAGAGGTGACATAACTTGCCCAAATTCACACAGCTGGGTTGTGCTCACTTCACCTTCTTCCCAGCTTGAGGAATGCATAGGGCGGTGGGCGGGTGGCAGTCAGCCCCCTGGTGTTTGCCCTGGGAGGCATCCTGCAGAGGAAGAGGGGGGCACTGCTCTGAGGGACGTCTGGGCACTCAGAGGCCAGGGCAGAATGCCCGGCAGCTTGGAGGGAGCAGGCAAAGGGGAGACGTCTCAGGGGTGCCCCATTCTTTGGAGAGGAGAGGGTCTTGGCTTCCAGAGCCTTCTATCCATCAGTATTTCCTGGGCATCTAGTATGGACCAGCCCCTAACCAGGCCCTGGAGATACAAGAGTGCAGACCTCCCCCCCTGCCCTCCAGGAGGACGCACACAAAGACCGAAGGCAGGGACAGGACAGTTAAACCTACAGCCCCAGCCCCAGCCCAGCTCAAAGGTCGTGGTGACTTTCTACTCCAACTACTCTTTTGTGAACCAACAAACAGCTTAGCCAGGAATAAAATTAGAACACACATTTCGGACTGAGCCAGACCCGCATGGAACTAAGGAACTCTTTGGTTCAAGCCCCTGTCCCTGCACACCGCAAACCTGACGTGTCGCCTCGGCACCAGGCCACTGCTGTCCTCACTTCCTCCAGCGGCAGCTCCCTGGTGAGGGTGGACGGCCGTGTGCACAGGCATCCACGATGGGGGGAGCCTCACCTGGCGGGGCCCACGAGTGTTCACTTCCCCATTGCTCCTTCCACTCTGAGCAACCCTCCAGTCCCCCTTCTTCCTCCAGGAGCTCCCAGAGCCCCCTTAGAGGCCATCACGTCTGCCACTGTGCATACTTCTCTGGTGGGGAAACCAAGGTGCAGACAGGTGCAGGGACTGCTCCCCATCTCTCAGCCAGAGCGCCTGATTCTCAGTCACAAACCCTGCCCCGGAGCCGGGCTGCCCTCCCCTCTCTCAACACCAGTTTTCTGAAAATCAGTTGTATGAATTAAAGTCCTGGGGACAGCGATGAGAGATGCCAGTGGGGACAATGAAGAAACCAGCTACAAAATAGAGGGAACAGAGATTTGGTTCATTTCTCCTGATTAAGACCCAGCTTAGAGAAGTAGCTGCTGGAATTAAGGAAACAAGTCGCCTGGGGAAGCCTGGGAGTCTGGCTGGTCAGAATCCAAGGCTGAGGCAGAACTTTGAACTTGACTGTCAAGAGTGGGTCAGGCTTCCTTCGCTGGGCACCTCTACTCTCAGGTTTTCACATTAGCCTCCCTCTCTAGGGATGCGCAGCCTCACTCTGGTCCCTGCTTCCCTGAGCTACTGTCCACAGTGACCTGGTTCCCCAAGGGCCAAAGGGATGTGTTTACTTCTATCCTAGCTGTTGAGGGCAGGATGATGACTTTGGTGACCTCTGAAGTCCCAACCCCTTTCCAGACTCTTCGTTCTGGAGGTCTGGAGACTACAGCTGTGGTGGAGTCTTGTCACTAAGGAGGGCATGGCGTCTGATGAAAAGAAACCCAGCTATCCTTTTGGATGGGGTGTGGGGGTTGGGGCCAACACTTCCATTCTCTAGGGATCATGGGTCCAGTGAGAAATGGGAGCGCGTGTGTCCCTTCCCCACTAACAGGGAGGCAATCCGTGTTATCCAAGAGGCTGAATCAGGGATCAAAAACTCCAATGCCCCCGAAGCCAGGGACCTGGGCAGGAAGACAGTGGGGAGGGGTGGAGACTGTGGTGAGCAGCCAGCTGCCGGCCTGTAAGGGCAGTTCCAACAGCTGTGTGCTTGGAGGGGGGCCCGGCGCTGCCGGAGCCCCTCCATTTTCCAGCAAAGTCAGAAGCCCAGATTTTACAGAAACTCTCAATTTTAAAATGTTGGCCAAAAAAGAAAAAAGGAAAAAAAAGAAAGAGATGACATACCATGGGGGGCATGACAGGATGGCAAGTAGATGGCAACAGACAGTGGACACACATCTGTTTTCTAATGGTTTAGAAACATTTGCCTGGCGACCCCTGTGCTTAGTGGGCCTCAGGGCGGGCCGCTAGGGACTGCCCTCAGTGCTGCTGACCTTTGGAAAGACTGCAATCCCTGCTCTCTCTAAGACAGATGCCCCACAGCCAGCCTTGGTACCTGACTGGCTAGTGATGCTTCCAGCCGAGCAGCTGGGAGCTTTTCTGTTCTACCTGCAGCCCTGTCTTCTAAAGATCTCTTTGGGAAGGAACAGGGTGGCCGGCCCAGGAAATCACCTGAAAGCCCAAGTCAGTCTGAGGTTGGGGGAGGCGGGAGGAAGGGAGAGAGGCTGAGAAAGTTGGTCCCCAAGAGCCCCCAATTGCTGAGGGGCTGTGGTTTTGTCACGGAGCCCAAGGAAGGGGGCTGGGCAGCCTACCTCCTGCAAAGCAACCTCCCTATCCCCCTACACAGCAGGATGTTTGGTTTGCTTTCATCCAACCCCTCCTGGGGGAACCAGGCAGCCTGACCGAACTCCCTCCTCCCCTCTCGTACCTACCTACCTACCCACCCACCCACTGGGTACTGGCAGGCTCTAGACAAGGGTGCACTGCTGAGCAGGTTGGCGTTGGGGGGAGCTCCCATCCCAGCCTGCTGTGTAAGGGCCTGGCACAGTTCTCAGAGCTGGCCTGGCAGCTGTCTCTGCCAGCAACTGATCGCCTTCCCAGTGAGCCTGGCTCTGGATGGCTACCAAGCAGAATCCCCCACCCCCACCTCCCCAGGTACTGGCCACACCTGCGGGAGGCGGCAGGGACCTGTGGCAAGGCTGGGCTTTGCAGAAGAGCCCGTAGCTTCTAGGGCAGGTGGGCCCACAAAACTGTCCCCAAACTCCTGCCTCCCTGTCCCAGCCTCAACTCTCAGCCCAGGTTGTAAGGAAACCAAGTCCTGATCCCCTGGAGGGGCTGCAGAGGGGGATCTCTGCCTGGGGACAGGAGTCAGGCCGGGAGGGGGACAGGGAGACACAGCGAGTGAGCACCTAACCTCACTGAATGTGGCTTAGTAGCAGTCTGGAGCCCTGGTTTGACGACTAGAATAGAGCATTTTGCAACCCCCTTCTCAATGCCCACAAGAAGATCCTATGACGGGGAGTTAGAAATCCTCAAATGTCTGAATTATAGAATGTGTCTACTTTCACTATTCCACGTCAAAATGCAGCCTTGCTGAGATCTGCAGGGAACCTGCTTTAATGTGGACTCGAACTTGCTTTGTGATTAGCATAGCAACTGTTCTGTACCAGTGGGTAGGTCTAAAGTGCCAGTAAACAGTTTGTTCTCTTCCGTGGTATGAACAAAGCCCCGGAAAGCTTATTTACACCATCAGGTTGTTTAGCAATACAATGAGATAAACACAGCCTTTATTCCCAAATGAAGAGTGTGAAGGCAACACTGAGACCACAGCCCCCCCACCTTCCCCAAGCTCCCCAGGGCCACATTGACGCCGCCGTGACAAGGCATCCCAGCCTGTATTTCGTATTTGGGGAAGGGCTGAAATCGGGAAGGAAACGCGTTTACGCTGGTTGTGGTTCCATCCCAGCTAAACTCCTGGTGTCAGCAGATGGGCTGAAATAAGTCAGGCCTCTCACGTTGTTGGTGGGATGGTAAAGCGGTACAACCTTTACCAATTAAACAGCCTAGAAGAAAACGCACATACTCTTTGGCTCAGCACTTTCACTGCTGGGATTTTACATACAGAGGTACTTGCCCAAGCGAGTGAAGATGCACACACAAGGAGTTCACGGCTACGTTATTAGTTATGCGGAAAAACGGAAGCGATCTGCATGTCCACCAATGGGGGACTGTTCCAATAAATTCTGGGGTGAGCCCTGCGATAAAGCCCTAGGCAGAATGAGGTAGAGCTCTGTGCTAACCAGAGCTGTCCAAGCCACGCTAACTGGGAAAAGCGATGCTCATGAAAAGCACCTGAATGCTGTGTACTCAGGGGACAAATCTGGGCCGCAGGCGAGAAAAGTGTGGACAGTGATTGCCTCTTTGCAGGGTGCCCTGGGGAGGAGGAGCAGCAGGGGGAGGAAACTCTGGAATATATTTTAACTTTATCTATCTATCTATCTATCTATCTATCTATCTATCTATCTATCTATATCTATCTATATTGTAATTTAGAAAGTTTAAAATTTTAAAACGTTAAGATAAGGATTCACATGTTTCTAGTTCTCCCCCACGTGTCCCCCCGCCGCCTGCCCCGTGACTTGTATGTGTGAGATCCCTTCCAGAAGCTGTGTCCAGAGCTAAGGGGGTCTCTCAGGAGGAGTGGGGCTTTTGTTCATTTTGATGTTTTTTTTTCTTCTTATTGTGGTACAATGTATATAGCATAAAATTTGCCATTCCAACCACTTTTAAATGTGGCATTAATTCTGCTCACCGTGTGGTGCAACCATCACCACTATGTATTTCCAAACGCTTTTTGCCACCTGGGTTCCTTTTGACCTTGAACTTCATGGCACGGGGTCTGTGAAGGACCTGCTTTCCCTCCTTTTCTGGGAACAACCTGTGGCCTGGGGCAGTTGAGCTGTCCCCAGGGGGCTGGGAGGAAGACCATTCTCTCTCTTCCCTGGAGCCCCTGGCCTCATTTCTGTGTGCTCTGGGCCCACTTGGGGAAGAGGCATGGGACGCTCTTTGAAAGGGGATCCCTAGGCCTTCTGTCCCTCTGCAGGTCACTGAGGGTCTGGCTGTGGGGCCTGGGTAAAGCTGGGCCCCCCTGCCTGCCCAGACCTTTCCTCTCTGGGCTTCAGTATCCCCTCAGGAGAAGCAGAGGGAATGCAGTCTCACCGTGGCTGTCTCTCTGCCCTTAATAGGCATCACAGCGGCTGCTCTGGCTACAGGCGCCTGCATCGTTGGCATCCTCTGCCTTCCCCTCATCCTGCTCCTGGTCTACAAGCAAAGGCAGGTGGCCTCCAACCGCCGTGAGTATCCCCGCCTGCCTGGGGTGGGTGAGGGTGCGAGCGATCTGCCCCAGGCCCCAGCTCAGCGCCTGGGATTAGCAAAGGCAAGAGGCAGGCACATTTCCTCTCTGTTCCAGAGATGGGAGCTGCTATAGTCCCTGCAAGGAGCTAGGTTCAATGGTGGAGAGAGGAGGGGACCCAGGTGTGCCACTTGGGGGGCCTGAGTGCCCACCAGCCCCAAGGGGTCCTGACTCGGCCCTCAGTAATATCTGTAGAATGAATGAATAATCACATGGAGTAGTTCAAATTGGTTTATAAAATGCTGCCCCTTGGAGATCCTTTGAGGACCTGCTTTAATGCAGGGGTAGGCTTGTCTTGTAACCAGCATTGTAATTGTCAGGACAAAAATGACCTTTGGATTATCAGAACTGGAAGGGATCCTGGAGATAACTTAGTTCAGTTCTTTCAGCATATGGCTGAGAAACCTGAGCTTACTAGCGGGGTTAAATCATGAACTGAATGGTATATAAGTTAGTAAGTGGCAGAGCTGGGCCTCAAGCCCAGAGCTTTCCACTCATGCTTTTCCCAGGGAGTGTAATCCCACCACATCATCAGAATGCTCATTGGCATGAGCGTGCTGGCCACCAACCCCTACCTGGGAAGGTTGCTGTGCTGGGCCCCATGCCAAGTTTTTTTTTTTTTTTTTTTTAAAGATCTTATTTATTTATTTGATAGAGACACAGCAAGAGAGGGAACACAAGCAGGGGGAGTGGGAGAGGGAGAAGCAGGCTTCCCACCGAGCAGGGAGCCTGATGTGGGGCTCCATCCCAGGACCCTGGGATCATGACCTGAGCCGAAGGCAGACGCTTAACGACTGAGCCACCCAGGCGCCCCAAGTTTGTTATATACCTCCTCTCATAATGATGAGACAGCTTGGCCCTACAATTGTTCCTCCTTTGCAACTGAGCAAACTGAGGCACAGAGAGGTTCAGTAACTTGCCGAGGGAAGCTCACAGTGAGTCAGCAATAGAGCCAGCCTTCAAGTCATGGCCACCAACACCGTTTCACCCTCCTCTGTGGTACAGTGCCCCTTGCCCTTCCTCTGACCCCACCCCTGAGCCTGGGCTAGCCCGAGTCCTCCAGGAGCAGAAGGGTGGGGAGTCCTCTGCCCTGGCCCTTACGTCACCTCCCCTGCTTCTTCGCCTCTGGCCAGCTGCAGAAGGTAGAGCTGAGAGAGGGCAGCTCTGTCGGCAGATGGCTTTTGGCTCGCACCTGATTTCCTCTGACTGGACCGTAACACCTGGACGGCCCTCTCTCCTGAGCCCCCACAGTGGCTCATTCAGGGGCTGTGGTCACCTTTCCCTTATTCTCAGGACATCCATACTCCTTTTGCAAAACCCACCATAGGTTGGGGGTGGGGTGGGGGCAGGTAGGTCAAGGCTTGGAGCAGAAAGAGGAACCCAGGGGCTCACGCAGGGCGAGTCATCACCGTGGAGTTGCCATGAGCTTGTGCTCATTAGTGCAATGTTTTCACGGAGGTGAGGAAGGGACGAGGAGGGAGACACACTCAGCTCCCAGGAAAGAGGTGCTTCCCAGGAAAGAGCTCCCAGTGCTGCACGCATCCTCTGAAACTAAACAGACCCCAATTCTGTGACCTGCGGCTTCTTACAGCTCCTTATCCCCAAATTAAATATTGCAGTAACAAAAAGGTGTCAATAATTTATCTTCTAATAAAAGTATTTTTGAGGCCAGTCTGCTCACCCCTTCTAAAAAAAAAAAAAAAGAGGAAGAAAAAATGAATTGTAGGATCAGAGTCTTCGAGACAGACCCAAGAGATGCTGGGAGAGAAACCAGGTGTGAAATGGAGAGGGAGGGGAGATTTGGGTCATTTCTTCATCTAGCCTCGCGAGAAGTGCTGCTGCAGGAGTTATAGGAACAGAAGTCACTGAGACATGCCAGGAGTTCGGCCACAGGACAGAGGCTAAGCGCCCGGGTGGGGTGGCAGGCCAGGGAGGGAGGGGACAGGGAGTGTGTGTTGGTTGCTGCGGGCAGGGCGCTGGCTCAGAGAGCATACTCAGGAGCGAGCCACACTCAGGGAGGAAGAGAGAGAAAGGGTTGGGAGCACTGAGGCAGGCAGCCCGCTGCAGAGGCTGATGAGTGTGGAAACCAATCCAGTTTTAGATGGAGATTGGGTTCCCCAGCTCTAAAGTGGGGCCAATAATTCCTCCCACCAAGGGGTAGAGAGGATGAGCCCAGGGAATGCTGGGCACCGGCACGAATCCTGATGCACAGAGCCACCCGCTAAACGGTAGCCATGATTCCTGCCGAGAGCAGAGATTTTAGGAACCTTTGTGCAACTTCCTGTGTGTTCTGTGTGTGCCCCTCCCACCCATGTTTCCCCACAGTGATCGTGGTAAAGCTCTTGCAAATGAGAAATGTATGGGGAGCTGCAAGGAAGAGGGAAGTAGGACCACTGCATCTGGTTGGTGGCTAGTTTAGGGGTGGGGAATCCCAAGGGGGGGCAGCAGCTTGGAGGAGGAGCAGAAAGTGGCGGAATGGCCGAGAAGTAATGGGGTCTCAGGCCCCTAAGGTTCCTCTAAGAGATGTCACTGCTAAAGCCACCCTTTAGGCAATGTGGAGGACGGGCCAGAGAGGACCAGGAACCCTCCAATTAGGAACTGAGCTCGCGGCCCTCCCACTCAGTAGATCATGGCGACAGGCCAGAATGTGGCAAATGTCCAAACAGGAAACAGCAAATTCAGGAGTCAGGCCTTTGCTTGATACTTAAATCCGGATGGTCTCACAACACCTAATCAAGCCGTAGGAGAAAGCACTGGCTGCCTTTGGCCTCCTGGTGACAAATGCCACCCCTTATACTTGTGAAATGCAGCCCGAGTCTCATTTAGCACTGGTTAAAATACCAGGCTCACTGAGGCCTGGCCTGCAGGATACACACGATCATGCGGGCCTCCTGAGCCAACAGAAGGGGGATCCAGGGTGAGGGTGGCCCAGCCTGGGCTTGCTCCCCTTCCTCAAAGGGCATCTGCCAGAGGGGGCAGGGATGTTGTCTAGGGAAGCCTCTCCTTTGTGACTAGCTTCTCTGTCTGTATGTCCCCAGGTGCCCAGGAGCTGGTGCGGATGGACAGGTAAGGCCCCTGGAGATCTTCCCGAGAAAACTTCCTGTGGCCGCCCCGCCCCGACTCCAAGCTTGGCAGGCTCTCTCTCTTGCCTCTCCCTGGGCCTGCGGCTCTGTCGGCCAATGTCTACACTCAGACCGCAGCTGGACTTAATGCAGAAGGGAGGGGGGTCGCTCTTCGCCTGGACTGACTCTCCTTCACCAGGCTCCTTGCCCCTCTCCCCGCGCTGATAACGTGTCCTGGGACAGGGCTCGGAACACAGACACGGCCTCCCAGGTCCTCCCTGGGCCGGGGTCAGCTGTCAGGAAGGAGGGCTATGCAGGAGGTTCCCTGTACAGCCTCCAGGCACAACTGCTTTAGAAAAGCATCTGCCAGCTGCACTGAGGCCTACATATCTGTGCTCTCCCTGCCGCCCCTCGCCCAGCGGGCCGAGCTCTGACACTGCGGGCCTGAGGCCAGCACCTTCCTTCAGGCCTCGGGGGCAGCTGGCCAGGGTGGGGGAGGAAGAGGAAGCAGCTGAACTGGGCACAGACACTGAAACATGCAAAGGAGGACGGCACACCTGGAGCCGTGGTCCCTCCCTGCAGAACACGCCAAGGAGAAAGTGGTCAGGCCGCCGTGGGCCACCGGGGCAGAGGTTGGCCAGGGGCTCCGAGTGGGGCAGCGGGCTGGGCATGCGGTGGCCAGGGGAGTGTGTGTTGGTGGGCTCAGGGCAGGAAGCAGACGGGGCACCTGGCACAGAGGGTGTCCTCAGGAATGAGCCCCACTCAGGAACTTGGCCCGGTTACTTTATCAGCAAAACCAGAGCTCCTCTTGGGTGTTTGAAAGGGACGATTTTCTAGACAGTCAAAGGAAGTCCTGCCAGTGATCCTGCCGGGACTCAGAGCTGGTGGCAGGGGGTAGGTGGTCCCCCTCCCCAACAGGAAGAGGGAGAGAACTGCTCCCTGCAGCTTACGACAAGCTGTGGGGACATTCAATCCTAATGGCATCAGCTGAGAAACCTGTCACAGGTTCCTGAATCTGGGGTCCTCAAAGTGTCTCTGACCCCAGGCTTCCCAGCTGCGCGCAGGGCGGATGGCCAAATAATAGGGTGCAGCCCTGAGCTCAGGGGAGCTGGGAGAGTGCAGGCCATGCCCTTTTCTGACCCCGGCTCCTCCCTTCTTGCAGGAAGAGGGTGCTGAGGCCTGAGGTGTGAAGGCAGGGGAGGGGAGGGAAGCAGAGGAGTGGGGCAAGCAGGAGGGCAGAGGCCCAAACCTGGGCAGCACAACTGACTGAGCCAGCTCTCTTCTTCTAGCAACAACACACAAGGAGTTGAAAACCCCGGCTTTGAGGTCTCCCTGTCCTCCCAAGGCATGCCGGAGGCCAAACCGAGGTCTCCGCTGTCCTACATGGCTCAGCGGCAGCCTTCAGAGTCCGGGCGGCACCTGCTTTCTGAGCCCTGCACTCCTCTGTCTCCACCAGGCCCTGGCGATGTCTTCTTCCCAACCCTCGGTGAGTGCTTCCCAACAACCCTCACCCTCAGGGCACAACAGCCTGCAAGGTCATGACCTCCCTGTGGCCTGCAGGGCACCAGCCTCACTCCCCTTCTGAGGCCTTATAGCCTCCCCGTGTGGGTTTAGTGGGTGAAGGACTGCAGAGCCCCCCCATTCATTCTACTTCACCTTTCTTTTGCAGACCCCGTGCCTGACTCTCCAAACTCTGAGGCCATCTAGACCAGCTGGGGCCAGCGGGCAACTGTGGCGGGGCCTGGGGCAGGTGCTTTGGAGGCAGAGCTGGCCCTCTGAGTGGCCCCTTAGCCGTGGCCCTGGCCCTGGTTTCCTCCCTCCTGCTCTGAGCCCAGACTCTTTGAGATACCTCTGGTGGCCAGACCCTCAGCTCCTCTGGGTGCTACATGGCAGAAGGGAGAAGGGGCTGGATTGCCCAGCCCCTGTCTCAAGGATGGTGGGGTGCTGGGATCCCGCCCCAGAGACCTGAACTTCACCAGCTACAAATGCCAAATGGTCTACATCCTAGAAGCTCAAGAGTTTCCAGCCTATGGCAGCTTCTCTCCCTGGGACATGAGCTTTGTGACCAAACAGCCCAGATGGGACAAGATGGGCACTGGACAGAACTCCTCTCCCCCCCGCCCCCTGTCCCCATCCAGTGCCATCCTCCCAGGCATGAGACACAGGAAAAGATGTGGAAAGACTCTCCCTCGGTGCGGCAGAGCCAGCGCCCTGATCTCGCCTGAGGCTGCTCATCGGTCCGACTCCCTCTCCGTGACCATGGAGCTCTGGGGCTGGTCCTGCCTGCCTGCCCCTGGGGCCATGGGAGCCTCTCCCAGCTGTTTGCTACCAGCAACCTCTCCCAGTAGCTGTCCACCGGTTAAGCAAATCTGGGCTCCCACTGCCTGCCCTCTGGGCCCCAGAGTTCACTGGCCAGGGTCCCCGAAACAGGAAGTGCACCCTGGGGCACAGTGGCCACTGTGGGCCAGCTGGCATCTTGGGCAATGGGGGCCAGGCAGAGGTTGCACTACCTGCTGCAGAGGGCAGTGAGGGAGGGCAGGTGGAGCCTGCTGGGAAGGTGAGTGGAGAGGCTCCACTCCCACCCTCCCCCCTCCACACGCAGCGTGCTCAGGACAGAGGGTGACCACATACTGTATTGCCCCAACTGTGACCCTCCCTCCAGTGGAAAGAGGAGGTGCTATTAAACTCCATGGGCAACAAGTGCAAACCCTGGGAATGGACTGTAGGAGCTGGGTTTTAATCCCTGCTCTGCTTCCAGGGGTGCCTGAGGCCCAGGGAAGCCCCCATCTCCTCCTCCCCCCCGCCCCCCTGCCCCGTCTTTGGTCTTCCATTCCATTTAATCTGTGTCAAGTCTTTACAGCAGAGTGACCCTGTCGGTGGGCGTGTACATAGAAGGGTCTGTGGCCTTCTGCTCTAGACCCTCTGCTCCAACTCCTGCTTCGGGGCATGTCCCGGATTTGTTTTTATACACCATATGCAAGGGAATCCTTTGTGGAATTTTGATTAAAGGGTTTTAAAAACACAGAGAGGAGTTGGGGGGGGGCGCTCTGTACACTCTGGGGTGGAAGCGGGGGTGGGGGGGCCGAGAGGGGAAGGGGTGAGTTTGAGTGGCGTAGGGCCCAGGCACTGCACCGAGGAGGGCGTTCAGCTCGGCAGCCTATGTGGCAGAGCCCCGACTTCAGGCCAGCGTAAGGGCCCAGCAGGCAGGGAGAGCCCTCTGGATGGCCTGGGGAGGGGGGAGACAGGAGTTGGGGGTGGAAGAGAGCAGCTCTAGGCTCTCCAGTGGCAGTGAGCCCCCAGGCCTACGGCTAGAACCAGGGAGCCCCCCTGGATACACGGCATTGCTTCCACACTCCCCTGTCAGGCCCAAGGGCATGGGTCAGTGTGGGTGTCCTGCTACACTGGGAGGGGGAAGGCTTGAGGAAAGAGTGGGCCTGGGCCTTGAGACTGCACGGACACCTCCAGTGGCCAGGACACCAAAATCCTGGTTCCTGCTTTGTCCCTGGGGGTCCCTCTTCTATCCCATCTGTTGCCTGGACACTGAGTGCAGGCTGCCACAGAGAGAGGGTGCTGTTCTAACAGCTCTTGGGGGCCCATGGCAGGGATGGGCAGGGTGACACTTGCTCAGAGCTGAGCTGGGCTACCCCTAGGATTGAAGGAAAAGCCCACAGACCAGACCTCCCCCATCCCCCAGCTCAGAAAGAGTGCTCCTGCCCTAGGGGAGGCTGGCCTGGCCCAGCCTGCAGCTTCTGACCTCCAGGCAAATATAATTTCTAAGAATTTGGCTGCCAGACCCCAAGCCTGGCTGTTGCTATGTGGTGGGAGGGCGGGAGGGAGGGAGGAGGCCCCAGAGCAGAAAGCCACCCCACTTCCTCCCCAGCTTCCTCCTGCATGACCTTGAGCTCTTCTTCTCTGGACCCTTACAAGTGAACACATTGCAGCTTCGTGGTTTCCTGTTTTCAGTGAAATTTACTCTGAGCTCCAGGCTCCATCTTCATCCATGACCACACGCTCCGCCCCCAGAGGCCCTAAGGCATCCTCCCTGCTGCTACCGAGGAGGGGCAGGATGCCAAGGAGCCCTCCATGCTGGCCTGGGAGTGGTGATAGCCTCTGGAGGCGCCTGCCCTGGGGGCTGGTCTCTGTGGGCCCCAGCTCAGTGCCTGTGGGCTGGAGTGCACCGAATAGAGCAGGGGAGTGGGATCATCGTGCCTGCCTTTAATGGGGCTGGGAGGAACACTGGGGCCTCCAGAAAGTCAGCTGCCAGGCAGGATGGGACTGAGGCAGGAGGCTGATGGATCACAGCACTGGCTGAGGCCCTCAGAAGGAAATCTGTGCTTTGAGGCACTAAGGTGTTGTGAAGAGATAGATCAGGAATTATAACAGCCATCATTCCTGTCATGTTCTCCCGATGTCTGCATTTAATAAAGACAGCCTGCCTTTATTCCCTCCAAGGGAGAGGCTAAGGCAATGGAGTTCCCTTAGTTAGCCTTGCATGCCATGGGGACCACTGGAGATGCTACTGCTGGATCAGGATGGCCCTGCCTGGGCGGGGGAGGGGTGTCTTGTGACGAAGGGCCCTGGGGTGGGTATGCAGGAACGCGGGGGCCGAAGCACTGCCCTCTTCGGGGAGTGCTCTGTGGTGAGGGCCTCAGGGAGACATGGCGGAGAGATGACCTGCAGAGGTCCGGTCACTCTCCACCCCAGCTTGGGCACTGCCTCCCGGAAGGGGCCTTCCTGGGTGTCAGCTAAAGCACCCCAAGGCTGGTCTGTGATTTCTCAGGGAAGTCCAGGGGCACGGCAGTGGGCAGAAAGGGACTGGGGGTTGCCGGCCAGGACCCCAGGTGCAAAGGCCTCTCGAGAAGTAGACACTCACAGCCCAGCTTCGTGGGGGGCCCAGCCCACGCAGGGCACTGGCCACCCAGCCCTTCCACGGGGCACCCACTGGGCCTGCTTGGCACTCTTGCCTCTTTCCTGTACAGATGCTATGTCTCCCTAACTATGCCGGGAGTTCCCAAAGGGCGGTCGGTCCGATAACAGCCTGTCCTTTGGACCCAGTAGCAGAGCTGACAACTGAAGCATGGCCATGGGGTGATGCGTTGAACTGGGATGCCAGGGTCCTGTTCTCTGGGCCACTCACAGGGCCCCCCTCTGACTTTCCACCAGCTCTGTCTGTGCTTGGTGGGATCTCCCGAAGACAACAGGATGCCCTGAGCTTGTGCGGGCCAGGGGGGCAGAGGTTTCATTTTGTCTCACCATTCTGATCTGGTGGCATGACTTCCTAAAATATGTGTCGGGAGGGATTCTGAAGTAGCAATATAGCTTAATGAGAAAACGCTGCCATCAGCCAGCCATGCGCCCCGGGCACGAGAGGGACAAGTGGCTGGTGGGCTATCGCTTGGCTTTTTCTGTTACAGTTCTGAGTTATTGCTTTTTTGATTTTCCCTCCCCCACCAGAACACCCAGGGAGGCTTTACTGTGTCCATTTTATGCACAGAAAAACCAAGCCTCCAAAAGATTGGTGTCTTGTGACAAGAGGTGAACGTGGAACTGGGACGAAGACTTGGGTCTTCTGCTTCTCAGGCCTGTGCTCCTTCATCTTCATCGAACTGAATGGCATCAGAGGCCAGGACTTGGACCTGCTTATAGCACGCACCATGGCTGGGGGGTGGGGAGGGGCCGTGAACCTGGGCCCACAAGCCCAGGGCTCCATTTCTTTTGCATCGTCCTCGCCCCTCCCCTTTCTGCCTGGCAGTGCTGAAGCCACAGGACCCCTGGTGGGCACGGTGGCTTGTGCCCCCAACTTGCTTACCACGGGGGAGGGAAAGGAGAAGCTCTCAGCTGACTGACCACGGAGCCCCAGGGTCTCTGGGAGGACCTGACAGGATGCATGCGCCACATGTGAGCAGTTGCAGAACAGCCCTCAGGACGCGAGACAAGGGAAGGATCTGAATGTCATCACGCTGGGCCGGAGAAGGCTGGCTTACTTGGTGTGTAGCACAGGGAAGGGGCCAGGCTGGGGTTTCCTGAGCTTGAGCCAGGGGAAGCAGGCTTCCTCAACAACAGCAGGGTCCAAGTTTAATACACAGAAGAGCTCTTGGCCCTAAAGATAGGAGGTCAGCTGCCAAGAGCAACGTCCCCAGCTCGCAGACTTTCTCCGCTGGCAACTCTTGGACCAGCAAGCGGGCGGTGGGTGACCTCTGTCCTTCTCCCTGGACCGGTGACTTCTGCAGGTCCCCACCAGCCTGAGATGCCAGAGCTGGTTGGCTGGGATTTTCTAACCTGCTGGCTGCGATTCGTGTGGCAGCGAAACCTCCCGTCAGGCCCTCCCTCTCTCCATCCTCCTGCCAAGGTGCCTCTGTGGCTGGGGCTCAGCTCCTGACCTCCCAGTTGCCTTCCGTCCTTCCTCCCCCGGCCCGGCCCTTCCTCTTGAAGGGGCCTCCCTGACGGCCACTTAGACCCCTCCCCCCAGCCGGGCCTCCCTTGCCTGCGGCCTGGAGCTAGCCAGAGGGCAGAGGCTGTGCAATGATTTCCCCTGGCTGGGTGGCACACTATTGTGTGACAGGCCTGGGTTGGTCCGGATGCCCCTTGCTGCACAGCTGTTCCTAGCTCTGGGTGATACAGGGCTAAAAGCTGGGTGGGACAGGAATGTACAGTTCTCAGGAAATTGGGGGAAGGGGGGCCAGGGTGAAATGAAGAGATAAGAGGGCTCAGATACAAGATTTCTCTTGGTGGCTGAATCCCAGGCCCCCTGCTAAGAGAGCTTCACTCCGTAAGTCACAGATGCAAATGATGTCTTTTCCAGAAAACCTTCCCTGGTTCCTGGCTCCAAGTTCCTGGCACTTTATCACATCAGAGAGTGGTAACTCTCTGTTACGTGTCCATCTCCCCTCTAGTTTGGGGGCTCCTTGAGGACAGGACTGTACCCAAGTCATGTCTGACTTCTGAGCCTCTAGCACAGGCCGGGCACGTATTTGGTGTTGAATGAAAGGAGGAAAGAGGAAAGGAGGGACTCTTACTTGCCCCTGTGAGGCTGGTCCTGTGCCAGTGACGGCTGGCTTGGACCAGGCAGATAACTGTAGGTGGAAACAACAGGTCAGTGTGTGGGTCTGCCGGGCATCTCTGGACAGATACATGCAGGGTGGGATCCACCCATAAGACCATGGTGACCTTTCTTGGAACCTTGGGATGCTCCTCAGGGCTCTGGCTGGAGCAGGAGGGCTTAACACAACCCTATCCTCGAATACCCAACCAGTGAAATCTGCCCAACAGCAGGGAAGGGACCTCCTCTGGTCACCTCTGGCTTGGCCCTCAGTTTTGTGCTTGACCCTGGGGGTTCACCAGCTAGAGGGGAAGCAAATCTTCAGGGGTCCAGTGCTCCTCGGAGGCAGATGCCAATCATGGCTGGGCACTGGCTGCAGGGCCCTTGCTTGCGGCTTGTGCCCTGTCCTCACCCTGGCTCAGCTGTACAGGGAAGAAGTGGAGGGGGCACGTGAGAAAGTAGTGCAGTCAGCCCTTAGGGCAGACCCCAGAGACAATGTCACCGGAAGGATATATAGATAGAGAGCTGCACTCTTGGCTCTGAATGCTGCCACGGGCCTGAACTACGTGCAGCTCCTCAAACCCACCCCTGGTCTTTGCTTGATCTTAGGCCTTTGTTCAGGTGGATCTCCGAGTCCAGGATATGCTTTGTTGTGCTAACGATGACTGAGTGACAAGACAGCCCAGCTGTCACCTCCTCCAAGAAGCCTTCCCCAAGCCCTTGTTAGTGCTCCTCAATGCAGTCCCATCTGCACCTTGGCCCCTGTGCTTGGAGAGCCTCAGTGCCTTCCTTACTCGGAGGCCTTTTACTATGGCAGGGACCAACACTGTTTCCTCCCAGTATCCCTGGGGCCTGGCACATAGTGGGCATTCAGGGAACACTGTCTGCCTGAATGAATGAACGAACGAACGAACGATTGAATGAACGAACAAATATCCTCTAATGCTCAGTTCTCAACTATGCTCCCGTGGTCACTGCAATTCTTCACCGTCGTGTGTCCCTTACAGAAGTCAAGTACCAGGGATCTTTCCTCAACCTGAAGCAGCAGGAAAAAAAGTTGAAAGGATAGATTCCTTTTGACCTAAAAAATGTCTCCTGTAAATCTTTTCCCAGCTGGTCCCTGATGCCGTTTGTCCGGAACACAGTGTTACAGCCCAGGAGCCCATATACAGATTTGCTCGGTGATGGCCTCAGGGAACCCCACGCCTGACCCGAGTCATCTAGAAGGTGCTTTCCAGGGCCCGAGCTGGTGATGGCCAGAATGAGGAATGTAGAGAAAGGGAGATTATACCTCTCACCACCTAACTTCTCGTAGTCTTAGCAGGGAGCTGGAAAGCCCGAGATCTGCTTCGAGGTGGGGCTAGAATGTCAGGGACCCATGTGTGAGGAGGCAGTGCTCATGGGCCTCCACTGGGCTAGGTTGGGTCTCTGGAGGCGGGGGGGTCAGGGTGTCTGTCAACAGATGGAAACTTTCTAGCTACAGGGACCAGTCCCAAGTTCTGCAGGAACTGCTTGAGTAGCGGCCCACCCATTCCTGGTGGTTAAATGTGGCTGGGGTGATTTCACATTTCCCTAATTGTCCTTTCTTCTGAAGACCAAAAGGAAGCTAGATGTCACCTCTAAAACTCAAGGTCTCAGAATGTCAAGGGTCTCACTGACTGCCTCCCCAGGAAACTCTAGGACTGTGGGGAGTGGGGAAGGGGGGAGCAGGGGTGAGATTGCTGTGTTTGCTGGCCTAGGTCAGGATGAGGAGGGGCACATGCTCTCAGTTTCCCACCCCAGATCTGTTCTCTGCCCTTCCCTCACTAACAAGCTCTGCTTTTGTTTGAGTGATATATCTGGCTTCCAGGTAATAAGCCAGTCCTGACAATCCTGTCATTTTTTTCCAATCTCCTTTGCAGTGAGGTGCCCATATGAATCTTTTCTGGCCACAGACATAAGCAGAACTCTGGACAATAGTTCTGGAAAAACTTTTGCTTTCTTGATAAAGGGGCAGAAATGGCTTGCATAGCTCTTTGTCTTCTTGTCATTTCCTGCCTTGAATGCTGACATGATGGCTGGTGCTATAGCAGCCATCCTGTAACCATGGGGGAAAGGCCAAGAGGCATTAGCTCTGACATCACTGAGCACAAAACCAACATTTGTAATTCTCTCCAGAATTTTTGTTATGTGAATAAAATGCATTCTGATTTATTGATGACTATAAAGTTTCTGTCACTTGTAGCCAAACACGTCTCTAAAGGCCATTGGTGAGATAACCAGGATGATGACTTGCCCTGAAGCCAGGCGCAGTTGCGGGGAGGCGGGGGAGGGGTGTTAAAACGGAGTCCTTCCATGTCACCACAGTAACTGATACCCCTACCCCCTCAGGCAGTTATATGTGTCCTGTATACAAGCCTCTCTTTGGCTCACTGGGTGGGGACAGCTAAAGTGATTAGCGGGGACATTGGCAGCTCTGGAGCTGAGGATGCCCAGGGTGTGCCCAGAGCTAGTCCCATAACCTCAGCATCTCAGAATGTGGTTTCCTGGGATTGGTCAAATTCCACCATCCTCCCCAGAGACACTCCAGATAAACAGCCCAGCCCAGGCCTGCTCTGACCCCACAGTCCATAGGGCTGAGCCAGAGGGGACGGGTCTAACAGAGTCACCTGTAGGGGGCAAAGGGACAGGGCTGAGGCCTCATTTATGGTCAAGTTCCTAGGGTGGACAGAGTACAAAAATGTCCCCAATCCTTTACACCTCCCTGTATCCACACTTTTTACAACTCATTTGCAACTCAGTCCTTCAAAAGATAGAGTGTATTTCTCCACACCTTGAACCTGGACTGGCCTTGTGACTTGCTTTGGCCAACAGAATGTGCTAGAAGTAACCTCAGCCCAGTTCCAAACCTGGACTCAAGAGGCCTTGCATGCTTCCACGGTTTCTCCTGGACCCTTTCTAGCTGCATGTGAACAAGTATAGCCTAGCCTTCTGGAAGAGGAGAGACAGGTGGCCCTGTCACCCCAGCTGATAGGTGGTCAACCCCCAAAAGCCCAGCCATCCAATGACACACAGCTGCCCCCCTCCAACCCCAAAAAAGGGGGGAGCCCAGCTAAACCAGGTCTAAATTGCCAGTTTGCAGAGTTGGTGCTAAATCAATGGTTGTGTTCCTCTCTCCATTTGGTTTGGTTTGCAAGGCAGCATTACTGCGCCCATACACAGCCAATATGATCCTCCTCCTCAGGGCTGGCCAAGCACTTCCGCAGATATGAGCTAATTCAACTCCCCAGACACCACCTAAGAGGAGATAGCATCTCCCTTTACGGATGACGAGACCCACATTCCGAGAGGTTCCGACTTGCCGACGATCGCGCAGCCAGCTCACGGGACTCCTGACTCCAAATTTCCCACCCCAGCGCATTGCCCCCAGACCACCTCGCCCTCTGGTGCCGCAGGGCACACCTCCTTCTCCAACCTCGCAAACCTTGCACATTGCCCTGGGCGGGGGCTCTGCACCAGACGGAACCAAGAACATCAGTCCCTTCCAACCTGGACATATCGCGACAGCGTGTCACAGCAATGCGACAGAGGGGAAGAGGCCTTTTCCTATTTGGCACGGGGTGTGGGTGAATGCAGTCTCGTGGGCACACAGCTTGACAAGTGGAGTGGGGGCTGGCCAGGCCCGGAGGTGTAGGCTTACTCTGGACCATCCCACAGAACGGCTCTGTTTGCGCAAAGAGGGCTCAACAGAGGCTCGGGGTGGCTGCAGGTGCAGGACAACAAGCGCACGAGTTCTGCACACACGGGGCCTCCCCAAATACACACGCGGGTCCTCCATAAATACTCAGAGGCGGACCTTCTAAAGGCACGACGGAGGAGTTGTCAAAGATTTACCCCCCTCGGGCATTCCACTCCCACCCATCTTGTTCCCCTGCTGCCCCCCGTAGAGAAGGCAGAGCTGTCCTTCAAGCACCCTCCCCTCCCTGCAGCTGCCCCCATTACTCACGGACAGGGTGGGGGTGCCTTCATCCTCCACGGTCACCACCAGGTGGTAGAAACTCTGGCGCTCACGGTCGGGCGGGGCAGGCCGTGTGGCAATCTCGCCACTGATCCGGTCCATGCGGAAGGTCATGTCCTCATTGCCCTCAGTGATATAGTAGGACAGGACGCTGTTGATCCCGATGTCACGGTCGGTGGCTCTCACCTGGACCACAACAGTACCCCCACCCACGTTCTGCGGGGAGAACAGGAAAGAGGTCATTCTGGATTCAGAGCCCCCGGGGGCCCAAGGGCTTCACGTGGGCCTTTAGAGAGTTTTGCTCTGTCTACTGTGGAGCACCGAGGAGGAGGATGAAGATGCTGGTGGTGAACATTCTGTGGGCACCCACTGTATGCAGGGCTGCGTGACTTCACCGTCTCTTCTCTGTAACCCTATGAGTTAGGTATGATGCCATCCCCATTTACAGATGAGAAAACTGAGGTACGGAGAAAGCATGTATGCACGTCACACAGCCTGTCAGTGGCAGAGCCCAGGTGTGAATCCTGGGAGCCTGGCCTGAGCCCTGGCCTTTAAACCCCTCTACCGCCCCTGCTTTCATGGACGTCCAACCTGGCGATGCTGGTGCAAAAATTTCCCTTAGTGGCTCAGTCTTAAGAACGAATAGTAAATGCATTGTTTTATTTAAAAACAGCTCTCCCAGGGATAAATCCCTATTGGTGGTGGAAGGCCACTTCCTTCTTTCTCTCTCCTCTTGTCTCCTCTTCACACCACCCACAGAAAGATACTGCATTCCAGGATTTGGCATTAGGGCTGGAATTGTGAGTGAGTGGGCCTCGTCCCCACCTGCCAGGTCTGGAGAGCCTAGCGGGCCAGGCAGACACTTAAACAGGTGCTTCATGGTCACTCACACCCACTGTCCACCCTGGACATCCAGCTGTACGGACGCAAGAGCTGCCCTCACCTCGTTCACGCTGACATTGTACCCAAAAGGGCTCTCGATCACTGGAGGGTTGTCATTGACATCCAGGAGGGTCACCTGCAGGATGTGGTCCTTCTTCCGTGGAGGGGTGCCACGGTCGGATGCTACAACCTGGAGGAAGGAGAGGAGAGAGGAGGCTGGATTCAGGGCTAAAGATAGGGGAAAGATCAGGAATATGGAGTGTGAAAGGGCAGTCTGCCCAGTGGGGAGGACCAGGAGGGCAGAAAGACTCAAGGGTCCATCCCTGCCTCCGTGTGGCCTGCCAGCCCTGGGCTCTCCCCAGGATTTTGCCTTCTGCCCCATGCTGCAAACAATCCTTGCCCAATTGTTGTCTGACTTGGGGCCATCATTTGGAATCTGATTCTGGTGTGCCCAGTCTTTAGCATCTGATTCTACCCCTGACTATATTCTGGGCTGTGCCAGCCCCCTGACCATGACCTGGGCCTGTGACCAGACCCCGGGCTCCTGCCTTTAGCTTCAAATACCTTTGTTCCATGTACTCCTTTCTGAACCCTGGCAAATAGAGAGAGCCTCCCATAATCTTTTCAGCAATGAACTGGAGATTCCCCCCCATAGCCCAAGCCTATCCCTGGGAGCCCGGATGATTCCTGGATGCCTGTGGGGCAGCAGAAAATGCTCTCCAGGCTCAGACCCCTGCAGAAATGCAGCCCTGGGGTCCCCAGAGTCCTCAGGGAACAGGCCAGCCACAGCAATTCAGCAATAATGGTGGCCTTTGGGACTCCTCAAACCTGCGCTTGTTTCTCACTGAGGCAGAGGCAGGCCAGGGAAGGGTTCTTCTGCCCATTGCACAAGAGGGGAAACCAAGGCCCAGAGAGAGTGAACAACTTGTCCAAAGTCATACTGTTTGTGGAAAAGTCAGGACTCTATCAGCTCTGCCAAGCCTTCTCCCCTGGCTCCTATGGCGGGGACGGACACCTCTGCTTCCTGCTCTGGGTCCCCTGGGGACCAGTGACACGGGAAGCTGACTGCCAGGCCGTACCAAGCTCTCACCTGGATGGTCAACAGAGACCCCGGGGCAGGGGGTGTTTCTCACCTTGAGGATGTAGTGGTCTAGCTCTTCTCTGTCCAGAGGCCTGGCCACAAACACTTCGCCAATGGAGTCGTTGGTGGTGATGATATCAAAGTCCCCAGCGATGTTGCCAGAGGCCAGAAAGAAGACCACCTGTCAGGGAGGAGGGGGGAGAGGAGGGAGAGAGTGGGGAGGACAGGCCGCCAGATCCGGCCGAGCCCCTCCCCTGCCCTCCCGGACCCTCTGCTCGGTAAGGGCATCTGAAAAGAGAACATTTATGCAGAGGTGGTCGCATCCCTACAAATGTGTGCGGCAGGCGCACTGAGCCAACGCAGGACCTGTAGCAGGCTCCTGGGGCAAGAGAGGTCAGTGTTACTGGCCCAGGGGCCAGAAGGGTGCGTGTGGGTCCCACGGCACGGACGTTTCCCAGGACAGAGGTGGGGAGGTACTGAGATTTCTGGAGGCCCCGCTAGAAGCGGGCCTGAGCTGGGGTTCCATCTGGCCCTCGCAGCAACAGTCAGAAGGAGATGCTCTTTTCAGTTTGCAGACAGGAGGCTCAGAAACATGCAACAGTTGGCCAAAGTCACACAGCTTGCAAATGACCAAGAGAACGAAGATTTGAACGCCTGTGCTTCTGACCCCAAAGCCACCCCCCCGCCCCCAGAGGTGTGCAAGCCATCTTTGGGGTGGGGGCAGAGGGAGAGGAAGACAGAATCTCAAGCAGGCTCCACGCTTGGTGCAGAGTCCGATGCGGGGCTTGATCTCATGACCCTGAGGTCATGACTTGAGCCGAAATCAAGAGTGGGCCGTTTAACCGACTGAGCCCCCCTGGCGCCCCGAGCAAGCCATTTTTAAATGGTGGAAACCTCCTCAAACATACCAGCTGATTCATAGGACAGATTAAAGCAGTAGGAAGAATAATAGGCTCTATCACCCGTCCTCCTTGTGCGCTGGGGCCTCCAGACCTGGAGTGTGTGTGGAGGGAGCACTTCCTGCCGTGGGACAGGCCCCCCAAAGCAGGAGGGAGGAGGAGGAGCATGTCCTCTCTGAGACCTGGGGCCACGTGGGAAAGGCTGGCACACAGGGCCGAGATGCCGAGTGGTTGGTGGATCAGGTGACGAAGGAGTCAGCGGGAAGGATGAACCCCCTCTGCTTTCAGCTTGCTGTGGGGGGCTGAGCTGTGACAGGCCTCTGGGCTCCATGTTCACTTGACCCAGGCAGGGCCAACAGCCTGCACAGCTCTGCCTCCTCTCCTTGACCGCGGACTAGGGTGAGGGCAGGGCCGTGCTGCCTGGGGCTGGGAGGAGCCTGACTGTCCCTTCTCTAGCGGAGAGGCTATGTGAGCCTCCTACCAACAGGGAAGATCCAACTATTTCACTTGGTGCCCACCTGCCCATTGCTGCCGGCGTCGGGGTCCCGGGCCTTGACGGTGGCCACCCGCTGGCCCACAGGGCAGTCCTCAGGCACGCTGACGGCCGAGTCGGAGGTGAAGTCAAAGCGGGGACTATTGTCGTTCTCGTCCAGCACCGTGATATAGACCTGGGAAGGGGGGGAGGCAGCCAGAGACCTACCGCCTCCTTCCGCTTCCTGGCTGCAAACACCAGGCTCCCACCATGGGCCCATCGGGGCCTAGAGCTGATAGTTCCAGAAAGTCAGCTAGCATTCAGAGCCTGCCTGGGCCGATTCGGACTTTACACAGGTGTTGAGCACATTTTTCCTCACAGTGTGATGGGGGAGGGCTGGATGCATTCAAATGCTGGGGCCAGGACAGCAGGGTAGGGGACCAGGGGGGACTCCTAGGTGGTGGGGCTGAGAGCTGGAAGGCACGGGCCTTGGCTAAAGGGGACAGAGGCTACTCAGCGAAAAATTCATGAAGAACGCCAGCTTGACATTGGCAGAACTTCCTGTTTTTCAAGGGAAACCTGGCATCCAGATTTTTATGAGGAATTACGTGTTAATAAAAATTAAAGGAAAAACTTCGGTGCCGGCTGGTCAAAACACATCTAGCAGCCAGATCCAGCCCGAAGGACTCTTCATTGGCACGTCTGGATTAGAGGGAAGGAAACGGGGCTTTGGAACAAGAAGGGGCCAGGAGGTAGCCTGGTGTTCCCAGTGGGGAGAGGAGAGGAATTTCCAACTGTCAGATATAAACCGGGAATGTGCAAATTGCATGCAAAGAGCATATTGTTTCGCGTCTGTAGCCTCCAGCGCACAGATGGCCATGAGCACCGCTTAGGCTCACCGATGGGAAGGTTCAGGATGGGTGGGAGAGGCTCAGGTTTTGGGACTCCCAGGCGGGGCTTGCTCCCACCACCCTGCCCCAAGCCAGACCTCATCTTCTCCTTCCCTGGGCCTGGGGTACAGGGGCTCCCAGGCCTGCCTGCAGCATACACAGTCCCCCATGGAGAGCCTGGGGAACCTCGCTGCTACAGAGGAGACCCCCTTCTTCCTCCCCCTCCAATCAGGTCTTCCTTCTTCTCCACCCTAGCCACGCCTCCATATCTTTAGGGAGCTGTCAGAACCGCAGGGCAAGAAGCCCAGGCTTGGAGGCAGGACCAACTCCACCATTTACCAGCTGTGTGATTTTGGAAAAAATGATTCAACCTCTCTGATTTTCCACTTCCTTAGCTGAAAGTACAAAAACACCTATAGCATCAAGATGCTTTGGGGAATGAATGAGCAAACAAAAAGTTCAGGGGTGGTACAATGTGGTCCCTGTCCTGCTTCCTGCCTGGCAGACTGGCATGATCTCACGCGCCAAGGCTTTGCCTATCCCTCATGATTTTGGTCAGGGAGTTCTGTAAAGTCCCAGAGCCCCAGTCTGCTCATCTGTGAAATGGGCACAATAATGCCCACCATGCTATTTTCAGGGCAGAACCAAACATGGCCTCTGTGCTCTGATTCCTCTAAACTCTCTTGCTCCCCTCAAGTATTGTTCAGGCTTCCTGTGCTGCCTCCCACCATAGAGCCTTTGCATACGCTATTCCCTCTGCCTTTACGCTCTTCCTTCTTGGCTGGGTAAATGTCTACGCTTTCTGTGGATCTCAGCCTGAGTCACTTCCTCAGGGAAGCCCTCCTTGATTTCCTTGACATCTTATTATAGACTGTCTCCTATAGCATACATTGACTGGTGTGATAATTTAATCAACATCCCTCCCCTGCTGTATCTTATGTTTGTGAAGGCAGGGGCTACATCTGATTTTGGGGAATCATTTGGGCTACATCTGTTGTACCCTGAGCCCAGTCCAGAGCATGGCACACAGTAGGTGCTTCCTCTAGGATTACCACTGTGATGCTGTTTGTGAGGTGCTCCCAGTAGCAGAGAGTCAGCCTCAGTGGGGGAGAATGGAGGGCAGGTGCCAAGGTCTACAGAATCAGATCTGGGTCTGTGTTCCCACACAGGGCCTCATGGTCCAAATCTACTTCCCCTGGCCCCAGGCCTGAAGGTGTTATGCCAGAGCCCGCCCCCCGTCTGCCCCTTCCTGCTGCCTCCCCACCCCTCCCAGGGCCCACGGGGGCTGCTGGGGTCAGGGAAGAGTCAGGTGTAGGTAAGCTGCGGTTTGGGGGTTCCGGCCTTGCAGAGGAAATGATGCCACCTTTAAAAGGCCCCTCAGGCTGCCTCCACCCTACCACTTCCAACAGTGCCTGGGGCCAACAGGGCTGCTGTATCTGGGGCAGTGGGCCCTGGGGCCTGGGAGGAAGCCAGGGCAGAGCAAAAAGCCATAGGTCCTGCTTCCTGGAAGAGGGCATAGCGATTATGGAGATCAGGGCTTGCGCAGGAGTGTGTGCTTAGGGTGCCCCCCCGGCCTGTGTGGAGGAAGGGGGCTGCCTGATCTACAGAAGGGCTCCGGCGGCCGTGGTGGGGAGCATCCTGGCCACCCTGGCTGCTTATCAGGCTCCACCTGGCCTCAGTTCCCAGACTCCCCATAAATGAGGGGCTAGCTGCAACTATGCCCATTTTATAGATGAGGCTGCCGAGGCCCAATGAGAGGGCCCCATTTAACCTGAGCCTCAGCTCCTATGGCTGGGGTGGCCAGGAGCCTGAGATGGGAGTGGCGGGACATGGTACCTGCCTGGTATCCACCACTGAGGGTTCTGCTCACCGGCTGCCCTCTGGGAACACTGACAGGGCTCAGGGGAGCTATGCAGCTCATGGCTACTCTTGGCCTCACTACCCCCAGGCTGGCCCTATGGATGGAGGGGGCTTTGGGATACAACTAAGTCACAACAAGGGCCATTGGAACTGAGCACCTCCAGGGAGCTGTGGGGCAGAGAACCCCAAGCAGCTGCATTGGGCTCTTAGCCTGGACGGTGGGTTGGTTTCCGTCCTTCCAGGGTAATGTGATAGGGACCCAGTGGGGAGTGAGAATGTGGCTATAACCAAGGCTGTGGATGAGCTGGATGCCCCATGTGGTCGACAGATGGCCTCAGACCGGATTGGCTGGGGCCCAAGCCCAATACATTGTTAATGTTCTTGTTATCCCTGCAGGCTGCCCACCTGGTAGACCCTCCCTCTGGGGACTACCCCCATTTTCAACCCCCAGCCTGAGGTCCCTGCCTGCCTCACCCACTTCCCCCACCCTCTTAAGAACCTTGCCCGACACCTCTGGCCTCAGCAGTCACCCTCCTCAAAATGCTCCGAGCATGTGGTGTTCCTGCCCTAAAGTCCTTGAGGACAGTGACTCCCACTGCCCATGGCAGCCCTTCCCCAGCACGCCCCAGGCCCTGGCACCGTGGGCCCCACCTCCCATGTTCCATAACATTATATGCTCCTTCCCCCAACCCCCAAGAGAGGGCTAGTTTCCCCTTTACAGATGCCACTCCCATCATATGCTCCTTGGGGCCTAGTTTACAAAGGGCTTCTTATTCGCCATCTCCTGCCAGCTTCAGGGCTGTTGGCAAGATCCTCACTTTAGACCCGAGGAAGAGAAGCACAGAGAAGTTGAACAACTTGCTTGTGTCACACAGCAGAGCTGGGACAAAGCCTCCGTGTTCCTTCTATCGAGTGTCCCACCGTCTCCTTTCTAGTGCCCCCTACCCCCAATCCCAGCCCCCACGGGCTGGCACAAAGGGCAGAGCTGGATCTGGGGAATGCGTCCAAGATGGGCTGGGACTGGAGTGGTTGTGAAGGGTCTGGGCAGGAACCTGCTGCGGGCCTGTCCACGGGCCTGTCTCCAGAGGATGCAGGAAGGTGCAGTGCCACATAGGGATGGAGCTGGCACTGGCCACAGCCAACAGTACAGGGGACAGCCCCAGTCCACAGGCCACTCACCTTCTGTAGGCAGAGCCGGCAGGAGGCCAAGGGAGAGAAAAGGCCAGAGCAGAATGGTTAGCAGTCTGTAGCTCCCCCAGCCCCCTCCCAGCAGGGGTGCGCTGCCTGCCCCGGCCCCGGTCTGTGGTGTCATCCCTAGCCCAGACTGCCCAGGAAGGTGTGGCATGACGGCCGCAGCGCTGTCCCTGGGTGGCCGAAACCCTCACCCACTGCCTGGCCTGTGTGGGGGTGGCTGGTGAAGATGTAGGTTTTGGGGTGCCTTGGGGTGGTGATGGGCTAGGCCTGTGGGGCTCTCACCCGGGGTCTCACTCACCACGGTGGAGTCCACCTTGGGGCCACCATCGTCTGCCACCACCGTCAAGGTGTAGAAGTCGCCTTTTTCCCGGTCCACCAGGCCCTTGACCGTGATCACACCCTGCGGGGAAGGGAACAGATGAAAGGCTGACGACATCATACCCACCAGGCAGAGTCCGCCCCCGCTGCCAAGCTGTCCCGTGCTCCAGCCAAAGCAGAGCCCTCGCTAATCCCCAACATTCTGCCTACTTTCCTACCTTCCACATCGCTCCCTCTGCCCAGCAGAACATCTCCGCGGAGCTCTGTCGGCCTAAATCCTACTTCTTTCTCAGACCTCACTCAGATGATCCCCCAGCCAGGTAAGATCACTCTCATTTGGGCCCCTGGGAGCTCCACTACACCTGTATTGTAGCTCTTTTCACATCTTCCCCTGTGGTGCTCGGATGTACATCCCTGATTATTCTCATTTCTCCTCCCAGTCTACAAACTCTTTGGGGGCTGGGAAGAGTCTCGTTCATCTTTGTGAACCCGATACTCCCTAGGACAAGACCTGTACCCTGCAGTGATTCATACCTTGCCTATTTTCAAAGAAGGGAGTCTGATAAAAGAGATGGAAGAGTAAGATCCAAATAGTAGATAAGAGACTAGCTGCTACTTAGCTAAGACTGGCTATTGTGATGAAGCAATTTACATCTGAGCTTCCTAACAGCCAAGGTAAAAAGAGAAATGTGATGACTTGCATAGCTCTCATTGTCTAATAACAAGAAGGTTACCAGGTTGCCTAGGTATAAGCTTTATCTTACCCCTGAATATTGAAAGGGATGCATTACAGGGGTATTTATCTCAAAGACACTCTATGACAAAGAGGATAGTACTGTGCTTATAGAAGGAGCTCAAGAAATGTTGGTTAGCTTTAAAAGGACTGTGCTTCCTGCCCCTAGGGAGAGCCCTTGCTGTGCCTGCTTCCAGCCTCCCTCACCGTGACGGCATCTATCTTGAAGAGGGCTTTGGCCTGGGCGCTGGTATAAGTGTCGAAGCGGTAGGTGATCTGATTGAGGTTGTCAATGGAGTAGGCCTGGACCCGCACGATCTCAGTGCCCAGTGCCAGGTTCTCCAAGATGGCCGCCTCATAGGAGGCGTTGGAGAACTGCACAGCCTCGTCCAGCTCATTGAGCAGCGTGATGTAGACGCTGCAGAAGCCCTGGTTGAAGGGGGGGGCCTGGTCAGTGGCAGACACGTTCATCAGGTAGCTGGTTTTGGTCTCATAGTCCAGGTAATCCACGGTGATGATGAGCCCCGTGCTCTCGTCAATCTCGAACTTCCCCTCCGCGCCAGATAGGATGCGGTAATTCACCAGGCCGCCGCCCCCTGCAGGAGGACACAAGAGTGTGCAGTCCCAGATGGGGGTGGGGCTGCCCTGTGGCTTCCCAGGCTGCCGACAGCACGCCTGCTACTGGCCCCGAGGGACCAGGGGAGCGGCCCTGGCTGACCTGCCCAGTGTGTACTGCCCCCCACTCCCCGAGAGAAGCGGCAGAGGATGGGGCCAGGGTCTATGTGGACAGCAAGGCCCAACACACACAACCTCTCTGGAGCTTGGCTTTGGCATAAGGTATGTACTGGAGGGATTTGGTTCTGCCTCTGGAGCCTCTAAATTCAAGCTCAAGTAGCAACCCCTCCCCGCCTTGGGTATTTGGACAAGTAGCAATGGGGAAATTAGGGATCTCTTGTGAGGGGGAGCTTTCATCTAGAAAGTGTTAGGGGCAGCATCCTCAGAAGTGGCCAAGACTCCATTTGGTCCCTCCAGCCAAAGGGTGCTAGCACCAGGGACACCTTCCCCTGTCCTCCCCACTCCTCCATCTCAAATCCCTCGGCTTCGGTACATTCTTCAACCAGGAGCTCAAGTTGGGATTCTTTAGCTGAAGTCCACAGACTTCCAGGGGAATGGCCATAAAGCCACTCGGGAAATCCCAGACTTCCTTAAAATCATTTGCTAAACTCATAATGGATGTGTATTCTTCTAGGGAGGGACACTTAGCTCTCACTAATTTCTCAAAGGGATTCCTGACCCAGAAAAGGCCATGAACCATTAGACAACAGGGACATATGTGGCCTGAACTGTCTAAATGGGCCATATAAGGGATGGCAAATCTGACAGTTTTCAGACCGATCTCCGCCCCCCACCCCGTCACCCCATCCTGTGCCCCAGCGGGGCTGGGGATGCTGACAGGGGCTGACATGAGGGAGGGGCTGGAGCTGGGACACTGGGAGCAGCTCAGGGAGCCTCTCCGGGGGGGCAGTGGACCGTCCAGGAAAGAGGTCCTCTCTGGCTGCATCCCTGGCCTGGGGCAGAGGCCCAAATAGCCGGGGCCCATGAAGAGGGCCGCTGTGACTGGCCACATTCTCCCGTTTTGCACCGCCAGCTGCGGCTGTCTCTGGGGCTCAGGGTCCTCGGCGAAGGCGGGCTGCCTTCAGAGCACTCCAGAACACTGCCCCTTGTGAAGCCTGCGTGTGTCAGGCCCTGAGCCAGGCCCGCAGGACATGGAGCCGTCGCTGGCTGGAGGGGCAGGCCTCGGCCAGCTGTGTGACAAGTCCTTTACCTCCCGCAGCCCTGCCCGGCCCCCAGCCAAAGGCTAGCCAGGAGCTGCTGACTCTGCCAGTGAGAAACCTAGACTTTCCAAGCTCGGGACCTTCCCTGTCTCCATCCAGAGATTGGGACAAGTCCCCCACTCCAGTCCTTGCAGGCCTGGGCATCTGGTGCAAATGCCACCGGGACTGTCCCCAGAGCCCCTCCCCAGCCTGAGAGCTGCTGAATTGGGGAGCCTGTGGCGTCCCGAGGATGACGGGCCCCATGGGAGCAGGAGGGACGAGCTGCGGAGGGTGACTCCGGGGAAAGCCGGCCTCACCGGTGTCTCGATCCGTGGCTCGGACTACGATGACCGATGTGCCGATGCCCGCGGTCTCTCGAAGCCCCTGGCGGCTGTATTGCTGCTGTGTGAACATGGGGGCCTCGTCGTTGACGTCCTCCACGTACACGATCACCTGTAGGAGCCAGACCGGGGGTGGAAGGTCAAGGTGGGGTGGAGACCCGAGGAGGCCGGGGCCAGCCCACCTGGGCCTGCGTGTGTGGTCATTGCTCTCCTGGGCTAGGGCGGAGCTCCTGACGGTTGGTCACCATGGCCCCCCCACCTGGCACGGTACCAGGCAAAGGGCAGGTGCTCGAACGTCATTTGATCTTACTCTTGGCACTGCTGCTAACGCTGGGGGATCCTGTGACTAATTAGTGACTCTTCGGGACCATCAAGTTGCTCAGCTATGAAAAGGCAATCCATCAGCCTGGTAACTCATGCTCTGTGCCACGTCTACGGTTGGGAGGAAGACAAGACGAGCCAGGCTTTGCAAAAATGCTTCAAAAGGTTCAAGTGACCCCACTGGAATATCAAGATCTATCTGGGAGAATAGGCACAAAAATGTTCATGATGATTGTAGCAGAGGACTTTGGTGTTCAGACCCCTGTTGATTACCAAGGCACTTTCTCTGGGGGCTCTGTCTGCCAGCCAGCCACAGTGGCTCTTGGCGGGGGACTCACCCCACCCCACCCCACCCAGGCTGCGGGAACACACACACCCAGAGAGCCGGAAGGGCCTGGGGATTATGTCCCCTGGGGCAGCCCCTACCAGGGACTGATGGGTGTGGACTGTAAAACTTGGCTTCCTCAGCCCTGATCGGGTAGTTGGAATGATTCTCTCCAGAGCTCTCCGAGGGGCTGAGTCAAAGTTCCCCAGCTGCCTTTCCTTCCCTGGTCCCACGTCCCTTCCGGCTTTTCCTGGGGACACTTCCTACTTACCATGTTCCTATCAACTCTTGTCCCAGGATTTGCTTCTGAGAAGCCTGGCCAAGAGAGTGGCTCTATCTGAATAGTGGAGTTATGCATCATTTCCATCACTGTTTATCTGTACTTTCTAATTGCTCTTTAAAGAACATATAGATCTTGCATAACAGAAGAAAAACAGTTTAAAAGATCTTTATGGAGAGAGGTCAGGGTCACAGCATTTTTTTTTTTTTTTTTTGCCACACCCCCTGCCCCTGCCCCTCATATCACACAGGAGCACAGGGAGGGTCTGGCCCAGGGACGGGCAGGACCAGCTCTGTGTCCAGAAGGACCAGGGTGGTAGGGGAAAGGAGGGTATCACAGAGTGTTGGTGCTTAAGGAGCCACAGGGAGGCCCAGGGTCCCTGCCTCTTTTCCCAGATGGGGGGATGGAGGCTCAGGGAGGAGGAGGGACGTACCCAAGGCCTCACGGTGACTGAAGGGGTGGGAAAGAGGGGGGGCCCTCCTGGTTCTCAGCCCACCAACCCCTACTCCTCTTTGCTCTCTGTTGGGGATGAGCTGGCCTTAGAATAGGAGACCACCTCCTTGCAGCCTGACAGAACCAGGGTCAGCAGGAACTTGCCAGAAGAATGGAAGCAGCAAGTGGAGCATTGGCAAGAGTGTGCAACACAGATTTCACACTGCTCACCAGCATTCATGGCGGGGCCTCAGCACAGACGATCTGACAGCACTAATATTGGGTTTCTGATCGATCCCGGCCGTCGGGATCAGCCCTGGCTTCTCTCCTGGGCTTAGCTGGGAATTTGCTGGAGAAGTGGGGGGGGCTTCAGTAGCAGAAATGTTGGCCTGACTCGTGGGGAACATTAGCCGGGGGAGGGGGGGGGTGAGGAGAGGCATATGCGGGTAAAGGTTTCTCTATCTTCCCGGCTTTTGGGGTTCCTTGCAGCCCTGTTGCATCATCACATTTTCATGTCCAGACACCCAGAACCCACTATGCAAACTAAAGTGCCCACCCCAGAGCACAGCTGTTCACAAGCCAGAATCTTCTAAGTTTGGCTTCACCAAGAACTTGGCTGGGAAGATCCTGGGTGGGGTGGGTGTGGGGGGAATTTGCATGGACGAATATCGGGAACTCTCTTGCTGTAAACAGAAACCATCCATCTTTCAAAACCGTGAGCCTTCCCCTTCCTGAGTCTGCTTGTCCAACTGGCCTTTACTCTGGGGGCCGTGGGGGCACAAACAGGGCCAGTCTGCCAGGATGATAAGGAGGAGGGGGGTGGCATGGAGCCTGGGTGTGGCCCGTGCTCCATGAGGCTGGCTCCACGCCACCATCGTCTTGTAGTTTCAGCCTTGTTTTAGCAGCAGAGACAGGAGGCATAATGGTGTGTGGTTTGCAAACCTGAGAGACACAGATGTACAGGAAACGCACAGGTCTGCCAAGTTCTTATAAGCGGGAGGGCTCAGCTCCTGGGCCCCCTGGAGAACCAGCCCCACTGTCTGTGTCGTGCTGTGCTCTCCAGAGGGGACAGGGCAGGAGACGTGTGTGCATGCACGTGCACGCTTGCAGGGTACACGTGAGGCCCCCAGACTCTAGGAGGGCCTTTCACTCCGTGCTCCTGGGCCCTTGTCTCTAGAGCGGGACCTGGGGAATGCGGATGGTCCCCAGAAGCCATCTCGGCTCCTGCTGGGCAAATGAATCCGGGGCCAAGCCAGAGTGCCCACACTGTCTTCAGGGAAGTCCCCAGGTTTCTTGGGGCTCAGAGGTGTGGCCGCTGTGTCTGACAAAGGCTATCATGCCTCTACCCTGGGTGCCAGCTCCTAAATTCCCACCTTAAAATGACTCGGGGTTTTAGGCAGTGGACTCGGCTCTGAAGGGCTTGTATGTGAGGCAGCAGAGTGTAAGGACTGAGAGGGCAGACCTGTGTGGACTGCTTGGGTGTGAAGCCCAGCTCTACCCTTATTGCTATGGGGCCCTGTACACACGGCCAATCCCTCTCTGCCTCAGTCTCCTCCTCCATACAATGGGTATGATAACAGTGCCTACCTCGTAGTTATGAGGGTTAAGTGAGTTCAAGGTCATAAAGCACTGAGAAATGCCTGGCGTAGAGTAAGCACCATGTGAGGATTTACTATTCCTCGGGGTTCTCGCAGAGAGGAGCAAAGGAGGGTGGGCAAGCAGGTGTGTTTCCCATCCCCCACCGACCGGCCCAGCCTGGCTTCCATCTGTTTTACACTGTATCCTGGCCCACTGTATACCATTTTGTTTCAAAAGGTCTGTGGTTAGGGGCACCTGGCTGGCTCAGTGGGTGGAGCATGCGGCTCTTAATCTTGGGGTTGTGAGTTCGAGCCCCACATTGGGTGGAGAGATTACTTAAAAATAAAATCTTAAAAAAAAAAAAGGTTTGTAGCTAAAAAAGGTTTACAGTCACAATGTCAAGGCCGACAGGAGCTGGCCCTGGAGAGAGGTGCCCACCTGCTTCTGGGAGAGTGGAGAGTGAGGAGGCCACAGGGAGGGCTCTGATTAGGAAGCTTCAAGTCCAGGTAGCCAACCCAAGTTACGCTGACATCAGTCCCTCTGTGGCCTGAAGTGGGCCCCTCAAAGAGCACGCTCTGATGTAGGTGCACTCACCAGCATGTAAGCAATTCATGGACCTGCAGGGGAGCAGGGCTATGTGGGGATGCCCCGGTTCACATTCAGGTAACTGAGTGTGACCCGCCGTCACCAGCGCCCCGGAATCATCCCAAGCAGCCCCAAGGTGTAAACATCCCAGTGATGTGACCCCCTCAGCCATCCCCACCCGGGGAAGATCTCACTCAGAGGGGCAGCTGTAAGGACCCAGACTGACTGCTCTTTCCATCTCCTCCTGGGGCAAAGCTGAGGGGACACGAGCAAGAGATGGGCCAAGGCTGAGTCACCTACCCCCCAGCACCTCCTGTGTGATGGTGACCCCAGGCAGGTTGCTGTTCATTGTTTCCAGCCTGGGGAAAGAGTGGGGTGGAGATGGGGCTGATAAGAAGCTCATTTTGCTTCACGCAGTCCTGGGTAAAAGTCCCTGCTTTCTCCCCACCCCGGCTTTTCCTATCTCCCACCTACTCTTCACCTTTGGGGTCTGACTCACTTTCCATCTGGTTGCGGGGAAGGGGCTGTGAGCTGCTGAGTGTGCAGTGGGGGGAGGGCGGGGTGACCTTGCGAGGCCATCTCATTTACCTCATCCATCCCCCTGCCATTGGGCAGAACGGTGCCTCAACCAGCCCGGCCAGTCGGAGTATCTGTGCGTCTGCTGTTGACCATTCAGGAAGATGAAGGTTTAATGTGATTTCAGCCACATGGGGCAGAGGCTCGAGGTAAGTGAGGGTGGGCAGAAAAGAATACATTGGACGGGGCATCTGGGAGTGGTAACCGGAATATTTGGGGGTCACTTTCAATGGAAAGTGCACTGGACCTGGACTTGGAAGACCAGGCTCAAGTCCTGGTTCTATCACTAGCGATCCCTCTGTACCTCAGTTCCCTCACATGTAAAATCAAGTTGGCAACATCTCTATCTCGAAGGTCAGATTTGTGAGATTTCCTTATGAGTTGTGTGGGTATGGGGGTTAGTACCGTAAGGACACCTCCTTCATCCCTTAGGACAGACATCAGTATCACTGACCCCCTTCCACATCTGGAGAAACTGAGGCTCAGAGCAAAATGACACTTCTAAGATCCCAGGCTGGGCTTCGGCACGCGCCCGGCAACCATAGCCCCAGGTCATTCAGCACCTAAACCAGTGGTGGCCTGCCCCCACCGGGCCCCCGCTGGTGGCCATCTCCCGGGCCAGCTGTGGTCTCGGCCCACCTCCGAGGCTGCTGCTGAAGGCGAGGCAGGGCTTCACTGCTGACCCCACCCTGCCTCCCAGCACCTTACCCTGACGGAGCTCCGCATGGGACCCAGGTCATGGTTGTAAGCCTCCACTATCAGCACGTGGGATGAGTTCTGCTCTCGGTCCAGGGGCCGGGGCCCTCGCATCAGGAGCCCGTTGCTGACATGGATCCGGAAGTTGTTGCCATGGTTACCTGTGTGGAGGGACAGAGGAGATGCATGGGCTCCGTCCTGGAGCAAGACATGGGATGATCATGGCATAGGGGGAGGAGGGGGAAGTGGGGGGTGGGCCCAGATACCCAGAATGCTGATCCTGCCCAGAGGTCTTGGGACCCTGGCTGAAGCCCACGATGGCAAGAAGTTATCTGCCTCATGCTGCCCTGGCCTGGCAGGATTTGAGGGAGAGGGTAGGAGCCCCCCTTGTACCCTCCTGATGGGAAGGCTGGGGGTCCCTTGACACGCCCATACCCACACGTGTCAGTGGACTCAATATTTCAGAAAGATCTGGGACACTACAAAAAGAGGCACCCAAACCAAATTCTTCGTGGGTGGTTGAACTGAGGATTTTTTGTACATCTTTGGGCCAGTCTAGTACCCGTTCTGCCACCTTGGGGGAACAGCACTCTGATTTTCCTTTGGGGATCCACCCTCCTCCACTCTCAGTCCAGGTGCTTTGTGTAGGCGTGATCTTACCCTGATTTCCAGACTGGGCAGATCAGCAGATTTTAGTCTCTGACCAATAGTAATTAGTTCAGGGATGGTCCCATGCTATATGTTGGGCCAATGACCATCTCCGGGGGGCTTGCTGTGCGGGGGCTGCCCTACCCCAAGGCCCCCTCGGTCAGGGTAATATCCCTTGGCCTCACTTCCCAGACTCCCGGCAGCCTGGAGAAGCTCTGCCATCCTAAGGGTAGGAGCGCTGGCCCTCTCCATCCTAGGGCAGCCCACTCACCATGAAGGATGCGGTACCACACACGCCCAAACTCGCCCTCATCTGCATCTGTGGCTTTCAGCTGAGGGAGAATGAGATACGTGGTCACTCCTCGAATCCCGCCCCTCCCCCCCGCCACCACACAGGGAGAGAAGACTGTGTGCGAAGCCCCTTTCCTGCCTTCTACACCACTCCCAGCCCATCCTGGACAACCTGTGGTTTCCCACAGAAGCTGGGGGTATGAGAGAGGACATGTCTGTCTGACTCGTCCCCCATGAGGACACCCGTTGGTGGCTCTCTGCTGCCCTGTACGGCAGGGGACCTGCCAGCTCTGCTCCTTGATCCTCCACTAGGGTCTTGGGGAGGCTGGGGGAGAAGGTGGATGCAGGCACCGTAGCTCTCTGGCTCTAGGCTTGACGAGGTCAGCCCATAGGAACCTGCTTCCCTCCTTCAGCCTTTTGAGATCCCAGGAGCCGCATCTGAGGGGGCTGGATTGTGTGGCTGCTTCTTGCCCACACTTTCTTGGTCTGAAGCCATCCCGGCCACACTGAGTCCCAGCTGGGCACTGTGTCCTGTAACGGCCACTTTGCAGAAACCCAAAAATCCCACCTCCCACGAGGCGGCTCCATCTTCTATCACCTACACATTTGCTCCAGTCTAGTTTCAGACCCCCCCTGCCTGGCGGCTTGCTTGGCTGTGCCTCAGGCTCACGCACGGCCTCTGGGGGAACTTGGGGGCGTGCTGTTCTCACTCAGAGACATATGCAGTGTTTATCCCTTTTCACACAGAGTCCAGCCTCGAGGCTGCTGGCAGTCAGGGCCAGCCCCAAGGCAAGTCCTGTCAAACCAAGAACTGAACACCTACTCTACCCTGAAGTGAGTCGAGACATTGCTCCCCTGGAAGGTGATGCAGGAAGAGACGTGACACCGTGTGGCTGGGAAGACCCGGGGCCTCGGGATGTTGTCTCAATTGGTGGTGAACTGCTTTGTGATGCCCTGGACCTCTCACTTCTCCTGGATCTGCCCTCTGCTCTGCCCCTCTCCCTGCAACCCTGTGTTGTGTGCTGGGGCTGCCATGTTCCTATGGACCATGGCCAGTGGTGACTGGTCCCGGGGAAGGTACCTGATCAGGACTGGGTCAATCTCATCCTTCGCCGGGACTTTGGACCTTGGGCCCAGAGAAAGAGCAAGTCCATCTTCCTACTGGTGAGAACTGGGAGTACGTGAGCCCATCTTTCACCACCCTCCTCACCAGCTCTGCCCCAGCCACACCCATCTCCTTCTCCATCTTGAAAGCCAAGTGCCTGCTGTTTCCCCCACTGGCCCGCTCTCTCTCCAGATATTTGCATGCTCGCTCTCTCATGTGCTTCAGGTCTCTGCTCAAATGTCATCTTCTCGTCCGGCCTTCCCTGAGCGCTCTATGTGGCACTGCATTCCCCACTCCAATACCTAGGCTGTCCCCACCCCCATCAGCTGCTGACATACTGCATCCTTGCTCAGTGTCTATATTCCCACCGAGAGGACGGGCCTTTGTCCACTGCTATCTCCTCAGTCTCTAGAACAATGGCCCTGGCACTGTGACCACTGTGTTGTATTTCTGGGACCTTGGCGGGCGGCAGTGGGGGGATCCCTGATGGGGAGGCTGCTCAAGACTTAGGCTCCTCTGCAGGCTGCTGGCTTCTGGGGAGGCTGCGGGGGACGCTCTGGCTTCCGAGAAGAAAGAAGGCTGGGGGAGGGGCGTGCATCTGTGTGTGTGGGGGGTGTGTGGTGTGGGGAGGGCTGGAGAGCTACCACCTGGAGGGGTTCCAAGGGCCCACCCAAACTATAAGGAGCAAGCCACGGCTGTCCCTCAATCCTGTGCTTTCTGCCCTAAGATCTCTTGGACCTTTGAAAATGTCTCTCACCCCTCACTTCTGCAGCCAGACACCTTCAAAGGGCAGGTGCTTTTCTGGGAAACTGAGGGGTAAGCCTGGAAGGTGAGGGGCCCCGGGACGCAGGAGGGGAGGAGGGGCCAGAGAGCAGCCAGGGCCTACCCCTCTGCGCTGGGCTGCTCCCCTCTCCCCTCTCCCGGGTAACCCGGAGGCTGGCAGGCACTGAATAGCAAGGCGCTGGCTGCCGACCATACCATTCAAAGCCCCGATGGGGGAAGGTGAGAGCCGCTGCAGGGGCCGTGAAACCCCCCCCGTGCCTCCCCCCTGGCCCCTGTGAGGACTCCAAGGAGACCTGCCGGAGAGGGGCCCTGGCAGGGCTTGGGAGCGACCGGGCTCTTCTGCAAGGCTCCCCTCTCCTTCTGCCTGGCCCAGTTGCCATCCCTACCCTCTTGGCTGTCCCCTCCCCCAAGGCAGGGCCCAAACTCTTCCAGACAAAGCCAGGGCTAGCTGGAGAGTGAGTGAAGACGGCCCACTCTGCCCAGCCTGGCTGACTGAGGGGCACAGGGTACGGCAGAGTCCAGGGCAGGCTGGGAACACGGTTGGCACCTGGTGCTCCTTGGCCCTCCCGTGGACAGCTAAGACGACCTTTCTACCAAGCTTGGGACTGCTGAGCGCTGGCTCTGAGGTCAGTGCTCGGGGGACTGCAGGAAAAGGCTTGGTGAAGAAAGTGGGGCCAGACCCTTGCTGGGGTACTCTGGGGAGGATGCAAGGGTGCGCTTAGACCTGGGGAATCCCTCTGCTTTTGTAGAGAGTGGAAACAGGGCCCAGTGAAGGATAGTGACTAGCCCAAGGCCACACAGCAAGATGTGTTCTGGGATTAGCCCCTCTGCTGCAGCAGGCACTGTGCTATGGAGTTCTGAGGGAAGAAAGAAGTTTCTAGACTGGACTTGCAGAGATATGTCCAGAGCCGGGCCTGCCAGTGTGCCTTGGGCTTGTGGGCAGGGAGAAGCTTCAACTGCCCTCAAGACTATTCCAAGCCTTGTTCTGGTGGAGGCCTCTTTTCCCTGCAAGGAGGCGCTTGGTGGATCAGAGGGGCTGTAAAGGGACCCGGCAGCTGGTTTTGCTGTGTGTTCCAGGGAGGGTGGCTTGATATTTTCAAGTACTTCAGAGTCTCTTGCTTTCAAGAAAACTACTAAAATGCTAATTATAGCCTCATTTATCTTTTTTTTTTTTTTTTTAAAGATTTTTATTTATTTATTTGACAGAGAGAGAGACAGCGAGAGCAGGAACACAAGCAGGGGGAGTGGGAGAGGGAGAAGCAGGCTTCCTGCCGAGCAAGGAGCCCGATGTGGGGCTCGATCCCAGGACCCTGGGATCATGACCTGAGCCGAAGGCAGACGCTTAATGACTGAGCCACCCAGGCGCCCTCATTTATCTTTTTATTAAAGTGCTTCCCCATGGACCAAGGTCTGGACCAGCTTTGCTAGCCCGATAGGATCTCCAGACCCATGGGAGGGCCTTGCCATAGTATCAGGACTAACAGGATCGAGACCTCTCCCATTTCTGATTGCCCTTTTTTTTACTCCCAGCCATGTACTGCCTGGGGGAGGATAGAAGGCCAGTTTTCTCCCTGTGGGAGATGGTGGTGGGCACACCCCATCCCTTCTCTGCGCTCAAATTCAAGGGCGGGCCAACCCACGTATGGCTGCCCAGCCAGAGTGCTTTCAAGGCCCAATGCCTGAAAGGCAGAGGCCGTGGGCAGCTAGATGGGCATCAAAATTTCCAGCTGGGAGGGGTCGTGTTCTGTCTGGAAACGCTGGAAGGAGTGGTGGCAGGGAATGGGTGGGAGGTGGGGGGGCTGCCCTGGATGCCCTCAGTTGGCTGGGCGCAGGGCGAGGCTGCAGGCAGGAAGGAGGCTGAGCGCAGGGAGCCGGGAGGGAGGTCCTGCTGCTGCTGGTGAGTGCCTGGGGTGGGGACGGGGGGTTCCAGAGGGCGGGGGCTGGGTGGCCCCTCTCTGCTCCCCACTGCCTGCTGACACAGATGGCAGCCCACGTACAGAGCCCTGGCATGACTCTGCTGGGCACCATGCTAGAAACTCAACTGTAAGTTTATTCCAAGCTGAGAGCTGGGGGAGGAGGGCAACCTGCCATCCCTCATCACAGGAAAGTCTCCAAGGTCAAAGAGAAAGAAATGATCGTTTTTTAAATTAAGACCCTCTTTGGGACTTCCTGTCCTGTGTTTGTAGAAATCAAAGATCATCCATGCTGGCCTGCGAGCTGGAGGTAGCCCGCTTGTGTGTTTTGTGTGGCCTGTTTCAGTGTTTTAGATATTTGGAAAATTCATTTCAAATTTTTGGGGGGGTCAAGTTTGTTTACTTTGTGGCATATCCTCCCTCCCCACCCGTCTCCCGCTTTAACCAAATTTGAAATCAGTTGTCAACATTTAAATATCAGGAACATTTGCCTGAAAAATCCAGGCAATTTCTGGCTTCTCTTGGGAAACCGGAAGGGCCGACCACACTGGGCCTGCATTCCATCAGCCTGGCGGAGGCACCCCCACCTCTGCACGGACACTCTCTGCGTAGACCTGCCACCAGCCCTCTGTGGTCTCACGTTACCTACTGGCCAGGCTCTATAAGGATTTTCATCTACAACCCCAGACATATTCAACCAGAAGCTCAGCCTGATTTTTCATCTCCAAAGATCCTCTGCTGAGCTCCCTTTAGTGGGATGGTCATGAGTGATAACAGGTGATTGGTGTCTGGGGGGCGTTTTGAGCCCCACCTTGTCAACTCTGTAGCTCTCTTTTTGGATTATTTCTCACCTGTTCTAGGAGTAGCTCGTGATCCCAGAGGACTGGGAGCCTTAGGGCCAGGAGTCATGAAACCTGATTCTGGCCTTCGCTTGGCCCTGGCTCACAGTGTGGGCTTGGGCTTGGCCTTCCCTTGTTTGGGTCTCAGTTTCCTTACTTGTCATGGGAGTAGGCTGGGCTGCATTGGTAAGCACCCACAGGAATATCCAGAGGAGCAAGCAGGTGAAATAAGGCGTGTAGTGGACCTGTGGGAGGGGGAGTATGGTGATCTGGGGGCCAGATCTGTCTGAAGGGGACAACGGCTGCTCAGCCTCAGCTACAGGGTGCCAGGCAGCAACTGGCCCTGTGTTGCCATTGTCAAAATTCTGGAATTTCAAGAGAAGCCAGATTTCCAGATATTTATGTGAAATCTCTTGGGTTTTGGTCTGCTACTTTTAAAATATTCACAATTAATTGAAATTTATAAAAACACGACAAGGACCCAATAAAAATACTCGTGGGCCCCCATTTTGCAGCCCCAACGTTAGATAATTGTCAGGGTCCTTGCCAGCGGCAGCATCCTATAATTGATGACTCATTCCGGGTCAGAGAGCAACCTATTGATGGAGTTGGTCGTACCTTCCCAGGTTTTCAGGTATAAGACTATTGTAATTCATGAGAACTGATTTTTCAAGGCCAAGAGGCGTCATCCTCCTGTCTCCTCTGTGGCAGGTGGGCAGGGGATATAGCAGAAAGAGGACCTGAGTTCCGGCCCAGCTCCATCGCTTTCCGCTCTGTGACCTGAGACTCGTCAACCTCTCTGGTCCTCACTGTTTAACCTGTAAAGTGGCCATGACTTTCTCTGCAGCTAGGTTAGCAGCACCTGGCTCCCATCAATATTCCCTTCCCTCGCCAGCCTTGGGTCCAGCTGATCTGCCTCTGAGCTCCTGTCCCCTTCCTGTTGCAGGAGCCATGAGCACACAGGGTCCCAGCCCCCTGGCCTTCCTCACAGCTCCTGCCACTCCTGGCAGCCCCACAGAGGCGGCTGACCCCCTCCCCATGCTCATCGCCCTCGCCTGCATCTTCCTCCTGCTGGCCAGCTGTCTGCTGTTCATGACCCTCTGCAGACCGGTCGCGCTGGACCCGGCCCAGCGCCGGACTCAGGAGTGCATGCCCCACCACCCCGGGAGCCCCAGCGAGCCGCAGCTCAGGCTCTGGAAGCGCCTGGGCTCTCTGCGCCGCTCCCTGCATAGCTTCCGCCGGGGCAGGCCTGCTCCCCGACGCCCCCTGCCGGGCTGCAATGTCACCCACGATGGTGACTGCACGGAATCCACCAAGATGTGACCAGGCGGCCCCAGCCTCCAGAACCCATCCGCGGACCCTCCTGCCTTGGACAGAGCCCGGAACCAGGGGCTGCGGACGGACGTGGGCCACATGCTCAGCCCCAGTGGTCCTCTGTGTGCCCAAGCCCGTGGCCTTTCCCAGAGACTGCCTCTCTGCAGACTCTCCAGCTGCTGCCTGCTAAAAGACGGCTGGGCCAACTGCGGGGCCGGGGGGTGCGAACTGCGGCCCCCAGTATCCTCCTCCAGCAACCAGGCACCAGCCACCTCCGGGAGGCAGTGCCCCTGCTCCCCAACAGAAGTCCCGCTCACCCTCCAGGTGCCAAAGCCCAGCGTGGATTCCAGTTTGACTTGCCAAATGGCCAAAGGTTCCCTCCAGCCAAGGGAAATACTCGGCCCACATGGGGGGCAAGGTACTGTCTTGCCCTCTGTGCCAACTCAGTGCCCGAGGCAAGAGGAAAGCCAGGGACTTCTCTCCTTGGAATTCCTGGGCCCCACCAGCATTCGCCTGATAATCCCCGGGCGCAGCCAGCACCCTCGTGGTGGGTGAGATGCCCGGTGCCCGTTGGGAGGAGGGCAAGCAGGAGGCTCTCAACACTACCCAGCCAATTGCCATCTTGGCAGCCATCTTGGTGGCCCCCCTTGAAGGTGCTGATGTTGCAGTGGACCAGGAAGGGGCTGAGAATGGGTTAAGGAGCTCCTCGAGAGGCCAGGACCCACGCTGTGTCAGAGTGGTGGGAGGCAATGCCAGAAGCTAGAGGTGATGCCTCCTGGGCTCTGAGGACACATCATAGTGCTCCTGCCTCACCCAGGGCAGGAGGCATCCTCCCTTTGGGGTCGGAGGGTCCACACCTCTCGAGGACAGCACCTCAAGCCTGGAGCATACTAGGTCTGCTGAGTTTCTGGCAATTGCGTCATTGACTGGCTACCTGTCAAAGCAATCCCACCCTAGAGTGGACTCCTCAGCATTCCAAACCCCCAAACTCGCCCCACAGGGCCGTGACTCTGGGTCCCAGATTCGGAGAGTAGGCAGAGGGGTTCTGAGCTGCCTAACTCCTGCCCCAGAGAGTCAGCTGACCAGGGACACCTGGTGCCCTGCCACGGGGCTGCCCCAGCCCGCCTACTGTGACTCACGGTGCAGCTAGCCAGGTCTTCTCAAAGAGTGAGCTCCAGCTTTGCCACTTGTTCCCAACGGTTCCAGCTCCAGAACCATCCCTGGTTCCCAACTGCTGGCTGGAGAAAGCCAGGGCTTCCTGGTCTGATGTTCAGTGCCCTCTGGGACCTGGCTCCAAACTATCCTTCCAGCCTCGTCCTGACCCAAGACTCCAGACAAACCGAACTACCTGCCCTCCCCAGGCTGTGGCTTACACTCTGCAAGGCACCCCCGCCATGAGGCTATCTTTGCTCTCCAGCTGAAAGCCACTTCCTGCCTGGAACCACCCCTACCCTTCCCATGGCTCAGAGGGAGGGCAGGGATCAGTTCCTCCTGGCAGTGTGGGCGACCCACATCTATGTCTCCTCCTTCCTACGGGCCTGGGAGCTTGCAGAGAGTGAGACTATGTCCAGCCTCTCACATAATCAGCTCCAGGCACAGAAGTATGAATCATGTCTCTATTTCCTGAGTGAACGGTGGCCCCAGCTGGGTGTGTCCCCACCCCCAAAACTTAAGGATCTTCCCTCACATGCCCCTAGACAGAAGCTTTGTCTCCAAGCATGTTGGTGAGGTCCCCTGTACCTTCAAAGATTGCGGCCAGAAACTTGGTCAGAAACTTCCAGGGCCTTGGAGAAGTCACTAATGCCTGAATTTCTCCCTTAGAAATGAGGGCAGCATTGGGGCTGCCCTGTCTCACTCCTGGGCTCTAGGATTTCAGGCTGTGTTGTGTTGGGTAAATAGAAACCAATTCTTCAGGTTTAGAAAGTGGGGCCAGCCTCATTCCACGGCATTTGGTACCCTCTCCCCTTCCAGCTTGTTAACCTCGTCCTGGTTCCCTTCCCAGGGCCTCCCTGTCACATCCCAGGATGAATTTGGCCTACAGTCGCCGGCCCGGCACTAGGTGCTCTCTTCCTGGAGACCAGGGGTGGGGGTAAGGCTTCCCGGAGGGCCCGAAGGAGACGTGTCCCCACTTTGGTCCTGGGAGACCATCAGTGAGTGGAGTGGCAGGTGTGAGGCTAGAGGAGAAGCTGAGCCCCAGAGGAAGATATCCTCCTCGTTCCTCCTTCTGGAACCTGCCCCCGGCCTCTGGCAAATCCCTGCAGTTTCCTGGACCCTCTGGGCCTCTGGGAGTCAGCACCCTGCTCCCAGCCCATTTCCTGCCAGCCTCCTGGCCCCGATGCAGGGAGCTGGACACACTTCCAGCCCCTCCCGATCCTGGGAGCCTGCCCCAGTGGACAGGCCCGGATTTGCCATGTTTGGCTCAGCCTCCGCCTCCACAGCTGGTGAAGAGGATAATTCAGTCCTGGCCTCCCTCCCCACCCAGCAACTGAGGCCTCCAGGGCAAGCTGGGGGAGGGCACCCCAGCTTCATTTTCAGGTCCTCCCCTTTCTCGCTCGGAGCCTCATAGCTGTCGCTCTTGCTCCCTGGGCGAAGGAGCTCTTTCTTCTTGTGCCTGTTTACTTCCCAAGAGGGGAGCTCCAGCCAAGGGCCCCATGAAAGCCTCTCTGTTCTGGGCCTAGCTGGGCCCTGGCTATTTCCGGGGCAGCCGCTGGACCCTCTCCTGTTTCCATCCCTCCATGTGGCATCGGGCCCCCATGACACCGAGCGTGTGTGCAGCCCTGCCTGCCCCCAGCCCACCAGCTGCCCCAGGGGGCTACGGCCACCTGCCTGCACGATGCTGTGTCCCTCAGGGATGTCCTCGGGGACGCTGGCCTCGTAGCTGCTCTGTAGAAAGATGGGCCGGTTGTCGTTCACGTCCAGGACGGTGACGAACACGGTGGCCGTCCCCGTGCGCCGCTTACCTACGGGGCCATTGTCTGTGGGAGTTGAAGGCGGATGGGTCGTTAGCAGCTGCCTGATGGGCAAATTCCCTGGGCACGTGTCCTGTTCACCACACCCACTCTGGCCTTTGTAAGAGGTGGCTCTTTCCTTTTTTAGATTGAGAGTAACACTAACAATGCCTACCCTCTCCCAGGCGCTATTCTAACTCATTCAGTCCTCACAAGAAGCATGTGAAGTAGGTGCTGTCATTATCAGCCCCATTTTACAGAGGAGGGAACTGAGGCCCAAAGCGGTTCCATGGTGGCCGCCAGAACATGGACCCATTCAGGGTCCCTGGCAACTTGTGAGTGCAAACTCATTAGGAAAAAGTGTCTTTGAAGATGTAACGAAGTTAAGAATCTGGAGCTGAGGTATCCTGGACTGCCTGGGTGGGCCACAGACCCATTGACAAGGGTCCTTAAGAGAGAAGGGCAGAGGGAGATTTGATTCGGAGAGAAGGTCACGTTAAGTCAGAGGCACGGATTGGATTTTGCAGCGACGAGCCAAGGAATACTTCGAGCCACCAGAAGCTGGAGGAGGCAAGGAAGGATTCCCCTCTAGATCCTTGAGAGGGAATACAGACCTGCTGACACCTTAATTTTGAACTTCTGGCCTCCAGAGTCATGAGGAAATAAATCCCTACTCTTTTAAGCTGCCCAGTTTGGGGTAATTTGTTATAGCAGCCGGAGGAGACAGATGCAGGTACGGAGATCGCAAGCCAACAGCTCTCAGGGCCAGGTGGGTGAGACCTGTGGGTACACGCATGGGAGGGCCCACCCCAAAGGGCAGCTCGGCTCTCTTCCAGTCCACAGTGGACAGGCCGAGGGTGGACCTAGTGACACAAGGTCTTCTGATTTCTTCAGAGAAATGGAACATCTGAGCTTCTACATAAAATCTCCTGATTTTTTAATGTTCCCACCTAACTCATTCTGTATGGAATAAGAGATGGGTCAAACATGACTACAGGGCAGATTGGGCCTCTGGGCCCTGGGCACTCAGGGCCACAAGCCCTGCTTGATTTCTAAGCCTTAGGTGTCCAGGGGTTCTGCCCTCTTGGTTCCCTGTGGGACCCTCCCAGGGCTAGGGACGTGACTCAGCCCCAGGGGCAGCTGTCAGGTTGCCCTCCGTGGAGGAAGGAGCGTGTGACCTGTCCTACAGGTCTGGGCGAGGGTGGTCACCCCAGGGAGGAGTACAGGTAGCTGGCACTGGCTGAGGATGAGGGGTGACTCTATCCTTCTTCCCGGGCCAGCTGACCACATGCTGGGGCACAGTCGCCTCTCTCGAGGTAGATGATCTTGCCCTCCTAAGCTCCTCTCCAAGCCCAGCCTCCCACTGCCCTGGAGGTCCTGCTTACTTGGCCCGGCTGGGGACAGTATGAGCTCCAGGCCCCATCCGAGGCCTGAGCCTGAGCCCTCTCCTCCTGCCACACAGTGCTTGAGGCAGCGGGAATGAGGGGTCTCCCGAGGGTGGGAGGAGAGCAAGGCAGAGGGGAGATGCATGTGGGCATGGGATGGGCTGGGGAGGGGCTGCTGGCTGGAAAGGCGGAGGCATAGAAAGCTCACTCCCTCTCACCCACAGCTTACTGCAGATGTCAAACTGGGTGCTCCTAGGAGGGGGGCCATAGGCCTCCTCACACCCTTCTTCCCATCTTGAGTCCTCATGGGCTCCCTACTGCCTGGAGACCAGAGACCAAATTGTGGGCTCAATGTTCAGGCCTTTACCAGCTGGCCCTACCTGAGTGCAGCCTCCTCCCCAGTGTACATCACACCATGAGCCAGCTTCTGAGACACACACACACACACACACACACAGACAGACAGACACACACACACACATCTCTTTCCCATAGCCAGGTCCTGGGCTGGCTCCTCTGCCTGAAAGGCCCTCCCTGCTTCTTGACGTACTGTAACCCGACTTGGCCCTCAAGGTGGTGACAGGCAGGTGTCTGTGCAGCCACACCATCCTGCTCTTGCAGGCAAACTCCAGTCCTGAAGGTCCCTCTGAGAACCCTACCTCCCTGACTCAGAGGCCTGGGCTTCGGGGCAGGTCTGACCACCCCCCGGCACCAGGGACGGGCCTGGATTTAGGCCTAACTAGCACATCTCTCCCCCCTTGAGCACGACAAGGGCTTCGGGGACAGGCACTGGGGCAGATGAGCTCATCGGGGCTCCTCTGGGGCTTCAGCGGGGGAGACCAGCAAAGACAAGTGCTATCTCCCTGCCGCTGCACTTGAACCTGGAAGGATTCAGGCCCGGGATGCAGCAACCACTGACCACTCTGTCAGCCAGAGAGTGGGGACAACACATGGGAAGCTGAGCTAGCCACTGCGGAGAGACTGAGGCCTCCTGGCACCACCTGGGCCCCAAATCCAGTCCTACCTGAAGCTCCGATGCCCTATGGACTGGTTTTGTGAGCCCATATTGCTTAAGTTAGTTTTAAAACTCGCAACCAAGACTCCTAACTGATCCCAAAACACTCCCAGCTGCCACTTCCTCTAAGAAGACTTCCCGGATCATGCCCTTCCCCTAACACGTTTCCACCTCGCTTTGTGCCTGATACTCTGGGCTCCCCCCTCCCCCCCTTTCTGCCTCGCGGGCCTGGTGTTGCAGCGATCTGTCTACACCCCACCATCTGAGCGGCTTGCATGTAGCGCTGCAGGCTAAGCCTCCTGCCCGCCAGGGCTCAGTGATGCGCTGGATGTCCGGCTGCCCTTTCTCCACTGACGTCAAGACACAGCCTCTGGCTCAAGGCCTGGCTCTGGGGGTCACCCCACCAGACTGCCCAGAGCTGTGCAGGTAGGGCTGGGGCGTACCGATGGCCTCCAGGACGAGCGTATACGCGGCTGTGGCCTCCCGGTCCAGGTTTACTACTGTTCTCACAACAGCATCACGGTAGCCAACACTGAACTTCCCATCCACGTTTCCACCTGTGGGCCAAAGACAATGAGGCCTCTGTGAGGAAGCAGGGCTCCTGCCAGGGAAAGGGCGGTGGCACCCTGGCTCTGCTCCTGGGCCAGGACATTCCAGGGGTAGTCGGGGAGGAAAAGGCCATGCTGCGTATTCAGCCCTGCCCACGGACAGGGCTCTGGGGGTGGGGGGAGGCTCGGATGAGGGTGTGGCCTGTGTGGGCTCAGGTGGGGGTGCCAAGCGCCTGAAATCATAAGGGTTGAACATTCATTGAGCACCTACTGCATACCAGGCACTTCATGTGGTCTCTTTCATCTGGTTTGTACTATCACGAGCCCACTTCACAGAGAGGGAAATGCGTCCTTTAGTGAGGTTACGTGTGTTGCCCTGGGCTACAGTCACCTAATGTGGGTGTAAGACTCCAACTTGGCATTCTGATTTCTGAGCCTGCGTCCTTCACCGTTCTGCCACCTGCCCATCTGGTGGGAGTGTCTGAGCAGTTAACCTGGGTTGAGGCTTTTACAGGTGGTCAGGGATTTTGGGGTCAGCTAAGATTTTTCCAGGTCCCTAATCTTGGACTCTCTGAGTGGGGACTCCTGGAGGCTCCACGGAGTGACGAGTAGGGGCAGATGGCCGGGGTGGGAAGTGGGAGGGTCTCCTCTCCGAGGTGGACAGGAAGGGACTTCATCTGAACAGTGTGAAGATGTCCCCCCAGCCAGCCGGCAGGCAATGTGGTGTTCTGGACAGCAGAGGGTGATGCGGCACTGGGGTCCCCCCAGCCAGCCGGCAGGCAATGTGGTGTTCTGGACAGCAGAGGGTGATGCGGCACTGGGTTTGGGCTAGCTTGGACCAGGACCCTGCACTGTTCCTTGCAGAATGAGCAAATTAAAATCTGAGATTCCCAGCTGGGAGGGCTCTCAGCAGGTCAGCAGAAACTGGCCACTTTGGGGTGCTGGGAAATCATCCTGGGAGCTACCAGGTGCTCCCTCGTCCTTAAATGGTTTGCCCCTGGAGAAAAGCCCTGACCGCTTTGTGGATGGTCTGAAGCACCATTCACATGGGACAAAATCTGGCTCCTAGGGGATGGGGGAGAAACTGAGGCACCAGTAGTGCTGGGGGCTGAACCAGGACTGGTCCACATGGGGGGAGTCTTGATAACGAAGCCTTTCTTGGAACAGTGTTGAGGACTAGACTGTGAGGAGGTGGCCTGAGGGTGCTGGGCCCCTTTAGGGAGGGGAGGGAGGGAAACATCTGGAAAGAAGAGGTTGAGAGCCACTGCAAGCAAGGATGGGTTGTGAAGCTGGGATTCCTTGCTCCAGGGGCAGAGGCGTCAGGGAGACTGGTGTGTGCACTGAATGCATGTGCATACACATATGTGCATACGAGCGGGTGAATAATGTGGCTGCAGGCAGGCCATGGACGGAGAGAAGACTGAGCCAGTAATACGGCCGAGGGGCAGCTAAGGAATGTGAAAGAACTGCCCCCAGCATCCCAGCACCTCTCAGGTGTGTCAGGGACTGAAGCACGCTGGGCAACTCTTCTAATCCAGGCATGACTAATACGTGGCCTGTTTACCGCCACCTACCGAGCCTACTGTCATGGCAGACATCACTAATTGCTCATGACTCCGTTTCTCCTGTTGAGCCAGGACATGGCCTCATACGATTTCTCCACAGCTCTCTACTTAGTATTTGTGAGCTAAAACCATTTTATTTAAAAAGATTGAAACCATTTGTCTCTAAACAGATGGGAATTCTCATGAGTGAAGGGTCCCTGGGGAAGGACAAGACCACAGACTTCCCGTCTCGGCTTTATCACCTTGACGTGGGGGTGGAGTGGCGGGGGGCAGGGCTCCTCCCCAGCAGTCACGGGCTCTACCTCCCTCCTGACTGAACCTCAGGAAGTTCCCCCAATCTCCGAAGAGGTTCAGGAGGCCCCCAGCGAGCCAGGCCAGAGGGACCCAGCTACAGAGCCCCTAGGAAAAGCTAAGAGCAAACCCTACGGGAGGGTCCAGCGGGAGCTGAAGCCTAATGCAGAGGGCTGACTCGGGCCCCTCCCCCATCCTCCTGGGGTGGGGGGAGGCTGGGGGCACACATTGGGAAGGAGCGGAGGCAGGGCCGCACCTGTGATGAAGTAGCTGAGCTCGGCATTGAGGCCCGCGTCATTGTCCGTGCAGTTCAGCCAGACCACCCGGAAGTCCCGCGGCACGTCCTCGGACACGGAGACATTGTACACGGCGGGGAAGAAGGTGGGCGTCTCGTCGTTCACGTCCAGCACTGTGGGCAGAGTCAGTGCACAGGGCTAGGCGGGGCTTCCGCTCCAGAGAGCCCAGCGCCAGAGGCGGTGGGAGCCAACACGTCTCAGTGGTGGGCCGGGGGTCCCCACGCCTGCTAGGGTCAGGGCAGGGCTGACCCGAGCTCCTCGGCCTCCCGTGGTCCTGCTCCCCGGGTGCTCTGGTGCTGGTGCTGCCGGCCACACCAGGAGAGAGAACCCTGGGGCCTCCCTCCAGTAGGTGCCTCACGACGGCAGCAGTGATGATGATGGCAATGACCGTGACAGCGAGCCTGTGCTAAGTGCTTCCCGTACACACCCCGTGTGCCCCTCCTAACACCCTGACAAGGCAGGCATTCTCAGACACACCAGACAGAGGAGGGGACAGGAGCTCAGAGCAGTTGAGTCACTTGTCCCAAGTCACATAGCAGGCGAGTGGCAGGGTTGGGGTCTTGGGGAGGCCCGCCCCTAGTCTGTCATGGGGTCCTAGGAAAACAGCTGGCTTTGAGGATCCCCCCCACCAAGAAAAGTCTAATTTCCCTTAAAGATGTGTTTTCCCAGCTGATGGGGCTTGGGACAATCTTCACAGTGAAATGACCCCACCTTCCCTCTTCAGCTCCTCGTTGTGATACCCCCAGGAGAAATGATGCGCTTGCTTGCGGACCTGGCTTCTGCTGAGGCCGGGAGATAAATCCTCTCTGGGAGCACTGAGCACCTCCCTGTCAGTCACTGGCACACAAGCGGGTCCCCAAACGGGCACCAGGGACCCACAAGGCAAGCGTGGGACCAACGGGTGAGAGAATGCCTAGGCACGTCTCGGGCAAATGTTTGTACTGAGCTAACCCCCACCTGCACCAAGCCCGAGGGGCCGGCAGGAGCCAGAGAACAGGACACATCTTGCCCGTCACACTCTGTACCGACTTGACTTCCCGGGGTGTGTACTGACTTGACTTCCCTGGCAACAGCTTGTGTCAATGTCCCTGTTTTGTCCCAAGGATTAAAGATGTGACCAGAATGGAGGAGAAATCGTAAGGGGCCTCGGCCCTGCCCTTCTCCTGCCTGCGGCTAACCCCGAGGGCCCACCCACCCCTCTGCTGTTCGCAGGATCAAAGACTCTAGGAGGGGTCGGGGACCTTGGCAGTGGGTCCAGGCCCGGGGCTGGGGTGGGGGTGGGGGGGCGGCTACTGAAGGCAGCGGCTTGGTGGGAAGAAGGCTCTGCCGGCATTTTGGACTTGGTGGAGGCAAAGAGGGCTCTGTGCTGAATGGCGTGGTTGAGGAGGACACCCCATTAGCAAGGCACCCTGTGTCCACATAGACAGGGATAGCGGTGGTGGTCGTGGGCTCCCCAGCCCGCCCGGCGCTGCTCCAGGGCCCGTGCGCTCTCCGCGCCGTAGGAGACCCCCGGCCCTCACCTCGGATGGTGAGCGTGCCGGTGGAGCTCTTGGGGGGCGTGCCCGCGTCGCTGGCCACGACGCGCAGCTGGTACTCGGCGATGCGCTCGCGGTCCAGCTCCGCGCTGGCGACCACCACACCCCTGCTGCTGTTGATGAGGAAGTCCATGCGGGGCATGCCCACCTGCATGCGGTAGGACACCAGCCCGTTCAGGCCCTCGTCCAGGTCGATGGCCACCACCTGACGGAAAGCAGGGACCACGTGAGGGGTGGGGACAGGAGGACTTCGCCCCTGAGAAGGGCCCCCTCCTTCCCACTGATCGGCGCTCAGCTCCAGCCAGACATGCCCGCTTCCCTCAGTGTCTCCAGCCGTGCCACTGTTCCCAGCACCTTCCCAGATACTAAGAGGGCAGCACGTCAGAGCTAAAGGCATCCGGATACATCGGTGGGGCCGGCGGGGGGGGGGGGGGGGGGGGGCGGGGGGAGGAGGCACTTTCTAGAACAAGAGTCTAGCTCCCCATAGCCTTCCCCTTCAAAACCCTGTTCTCCTCCTTGGCAAGCCCCCCCCACGCACCGCCCCCCCCCCCCCCCCCCCCCCCCGCCCCGCCATGGATCCTGGCTGGCTCGGGGACTCCGAACCGCATCGTGTTCTAGCAGGTTTCCTGGCTGCTGGCTTGAAGCAGTGGTGACCACTCCAAGGGCCCTTGGACCATGCGAAGCTCCACTACATAAAACGATCAACAGCGCTCTCCCCTGCTTTATCAGACAACAAGATGGTGGAAAGGTGCAGTGTTTAAGTCACCTGATGATTGATTATTATTTTGAAACTGTCTTTTGAGGCCACGTGTAGGCAGGCAAACATCCTCTAAACCCCTACACTATTCCCGTCTGCATCCCTAGTCCCGAGGAGAGTTCTCCTGACTCAAGACCCTGATACATTGAAAGTTTCACAGAAGAAGATTCGAGACCTTTGAGGAACTGTGAAAAACAGTTCAAATAAAAGCTTTGGATTAAGCCAAGACTCTCAAGAGTGAAAGACATCAAGGTCATCTAGTCTAACATCAACAAGCAGGACAAGAGGGTGTCCACTCAACTTGAATGCTTTCCAGGATGGGGGGCTCACTACTTCTCATTTATCTGCATACAGCTCTAATTCCTGGAGAAGGTTCTTCCACCCATCCAACGGAAATCACTATTTGTCCAGGTTGTAGGGGGCACCGGGGAACGCACCGCTCCTGTCAGAACCCTCTTCCTGTATCTGAGGACAGTTCCCAAAATAAATGCTCCAGCTCCTTCAACCATCTTTTCATGCCTGAGCCAGTTCCTCTGTGAACTCAGAAGCTGTGCTGTCTGCACTGTCTGTGAGCCCCCGGAGATCCGGCTCTGGGCGGCGCTCATTGGCTCTCTCACCCACCTGCCCCCTCCTATTTGGGGGCTGCTCCTCAGGGACTGGCTGCCGTTCCCTGGATCGCAGCTCCCCCTGCTGGGCATTTGGGAGAATGTCCTGCTAGCAAGATTGCGCCCTAGGACCTTCCAAGACCACTACTCATCTCCTCTCACAGATGAAGAAACTGAGGCACAGCAGGCCTGCAGGGCATCACCAAGGTTACCCACTGTGGTATCCTGACAAGCAACCTGTTTTCTTCGGGTGGGATCAGGCTGGCCCTTTGCCACTGGATCCCGCTGTGTCTCAGGTGTAACCCCTCACAACAGACCCCTGACGACTAGCACATCGGCCACCGTGGATCTCCCGCAGTTCAAGTGCCAGCTTGCTGGACACGCATGTCTGACTGAATCCCCGCAGCACAGCCAGGCAGGTACTAGTATGAGCCCCATTTCACAGGTGAGAAAACTGAGGCCCAGTGAGGTTGTTTGCTTAGGTCACATAGCACACAAGTGGAGGAGTTGGGACACACACTCACGTTGGGTGCACTCCAAAGCCCATGCTCTTAATCACGAGGGCCTTTCAGCGTTCCTAAAAGGGCATCATCCTTCCTGAATGAGCCCCTTCAGGGCCTTCTTGACAGGGGGTGATGGAGTAGGAGGCAGAGGGGCTGGGTTCAAGATCAGGCCCTACCTCTTCTTGGCCACAAGTCTCTTTAAGTCTCCTGCCAAGTGGGGAGAGTACCGCCCCGCCCCCCCCCCCCCCCCACTGTGTGGAGCTCATTGAGGCTGATGGGAGAGTGGCCTGCCCATGGAGACAGGGTGCCTGGGCGACACCCATCAACCTTCTCTGTGTTCTAGAACCAGCTACAGGCTTGCAGTGTTGAGAGTCTTGGGCCAGACCTCCATAACCGGGACCTGTTTGACTTGGCTTCCCAGGATTCTGTCATCTTCCTTGGTGCTTTCCCTCCACCTCTCCAAATCCACCTATCATTTAAGACCCAGCTCAAGCCCCTCCTCCTCCTCCAGGAAGCCTTCCATTACATCTCTCAGAGCACTAGCTCTCCAAGCCCGGTGTGTCCTGTCTGGTGGTCTCGGCTGGCATCCCCTGCCTCACCACTGCAAAGTGTTCAGCATGAGGCTAGGCACCCAGGGCCGCCTGGCTGGGTGAGACGAGGTGAGGGAGACAGACCAGGAGCTCAGGCCAGGAAAGGGAAACTCACCTGGTAGACAGAGACCCCGGCCGGAGTGCCTTCCAGCACCTCAGCCACGAAAGGCAGGTTCTGAAAAGTGGGGTCATTGTCATTGAGGTCCAAGAGGTTCACAAACACCGTGGCACTGCTGGTAGCTCTCAGAGGGGGGCTGCCACCTGGGGGTGCCAGGGAGATGGAAAGAGGGGTGCAAAGGGACAGGGACAGGGAGAAAGGGGAGGGGGGAGAGGGAGGCAGGCTCAGTGACGTTTCCATCCCAGGGGTCCCTCCAGGGAGCAGCCCGGGCCTCGCACCCCCAGCCACTGCCACCCTCTGAGGGTAGTCTGCGGGGCTCACAACTGGCAAGTGGGTGTTACCCCATTCTTAGCAATCACGACACAGCCCTCCTGTACTCAGGCCTCAGGACTCAGGGAGGACAAGTCAGGGGCCACCGCCAAGGTGTGCGGGGCTGCGGGGGGCACATACAGTCAGCGACAGAGATGATAATCTTGCGCATCAGCTCCGCCTCGTGGGGGTCGGGGTTCTCCCGATCCAGCATGACGTGGGTGGTGCGGATCTTGCCTGTGCGGTTGTTGAGGCTGTAGAACTTGTTGGGTGGCTGGATGCTGTACACCAGAGTGCCGTTCTCCCCCAGGTCCGGGTCCACGGCCACCACCTGCCCAGGAGGGAGCCCATCCTCCACTGAGCCCAGCCAGGGGAGGGCATCTCGGTGCCCCGCACTGCCTGCCTGGGGATGTCTGAGCTCACACCTGTGTCCTTCCCTCCCTCCCCCCTCCCTCCCGGCTCCAGTAGGGGGTCTCATGGGGGATGGGAGGCAGGAAGTTCACAAGATGGGTTGGCAGGGAAAGTCTTGAGCTCCTCGGCTTCTCCACTCACTCAGTTTTACCCTAGGCCAGTCCCTTTCCCCACTTAAGCCCCAGCCTTCTATTTCTAGAAGCAAAACTTGGCACACACCAGTCTATGGGAAGCTCTCTGTATCTCATACATACCAGGCCCTCTGTAAGGACAAGTACCATGAGCACAGCCCTGTGAGGAGGAGGTCTACGATTATGTGCATTTCACACATGAGGCTCAGCGAGGCTCCCAAGGTCTCTTAGCCCAAAGTGGCCCTGGGTCCCTCTGGAACCCACACTAGCAGCCAGCAGGTCAGGCTGCTCGCACATCTTCGTGTCACTGCTCTCCAGACATGTGGGGGTAACACGTTCACGGGCTTTCGGGGGAGCAGGGGGTGCCCAGGAGGTCCATGATCATGGAATTCTTTGGGGACTAGGAATTCTACGGGAGGCTGGGAAGGGCTGAAGAGGCTGAACCTTTGGGAAGAATCTGAAACCCTGGATTTGGGGAACTGGACCCTCCTCCTCAAACCTTCTCTTCCTTCCTTTGGACTTTTTGTGAGGCAATTTGAAAAGAATTAGGCTTCTGTGACACCAGGAATGACAGGGTGGGGGAAGGGAGCCATGGACAAGCCACCCGGTTTAGAGGTGTTTTGGGGCTGCAGGAAGGGGAGGCTGGAGGACAGAGGGGGCTGAGTCTCCCTGCCTGAGAAGGGGGAGGGCCTTTAGCTCTCCAGGCCCCCCACTTGGTTCCCCACTTATAAGCCTCACCCCATGAAGGGATCAACCTGAGTGCCCTCCTAACCCAGGGCGACCCCCATAACCCATTCTCTCCCCATCCCCATGCCTGCCAATCTCCTGCTTTGGAGAAAACCTCTCTAGCATCTACCTTCCCCAAGGAGAAAGCAGAGCTCAGGGAGGCATCGGCCAGGCTCAAGGTCACACAGCACCAGCTTTGAGGCTGAGACAGCTCCCACCCTGGCGACCTCCCAGGGTCCCAGGACAGTAGCAGTACGCACCCCTGAGCTCATCCTCTGCCCTGTGTGGTAGAGGTCCCTGGGGCACCAGAGGTGGACAAGATCAATGGGAGGGGGGTGGTGACCGCAGTCCCCAGGGCCACATCAGGACAGTGTCATTCTTAACTCCAGGACGCTCGGCAATGACAGCCTGGCCTCGTCAGCTCCTTCATCTTACTGGATGAGGGGCCTTTTGTGCTTTGGCAGCAGAATCTGTCCCTCCTCTGGCTTAGTCCCCAGCCGGAGGTGTCTCCGGGGCCACCAGACCAGAACAGACAAATGGGCTGCCCTGGCCGAGGGCCCCCATCTTGCCCCAGGGTCTGGAGTGGCCAGGGTGAGAGGCCTGTGCTGGCACTGAACCCTGAGCCCTGCAGGGCCTCCTTCTGCTTCAGACAGGTAGGAGGGGAGTGGGTGCACCTGGCTGCACCAGGGGGCGGGGGGGGGGGGGGAAGGCCCGAGGGGCCCTCGCTGTGCTATGGGGCAGGTCACCTCAGTTTCCCCAGCCTCTGTAAAGGGGACCCCTGCATTGACAACAGGAGGCAGGGCTCTTAGGCAAGCCAGGGGTCACTTCAGCCTGGCAAAGTCATTCTGCTGACAGACAAAGGAGACCAACAAGCCTTGCATTTCTACAGTGCTTCTCTCTATAGGAGGAGGGTTTTTATCCCCATTTTTCCAGATGGGGAAACCGAGGCACAGAGCAGTTAAATGACCTGTTCCAGGCTAGCAGCTTGTTGCTGAAGGTGCAGAGATCAATTTTACATGGGGGTGTTGGGGACTTCTCCTCTTCTCTCCCTGCCCCTGAGTGCAAGTGCCCCAGGGTGCCTGGGGTAGCTGCTTCCAAGGGACCCTGGGTGGGGGCTGGGCCCTGGCTTCTGCCTCTTGGCCCACTCCCTGTCGGGGGTGGGGGAGTCTGTGTAGAGTCTCACCACTTTCCCTCTCCATTTCCCATGTCACACTGTCGTTTTTCTCCTGGCCTGACGGGGAATAATTCTCTCCCTCTCCCCTCTCTTATTTTGCTGGAGGGTTTTGAAAGGCTCTAAATCAATGCCCATCAGCCAGGTCCTTGAAGGAGCCTACAGGAGCCAGGAGGGAGGGTTGAGCCAAAAATCTCACTTGCAAATCGAAAAGGGCCAAGGTGCAAGCTCATGCCGGGGCGGGTGCACACCCTGGGCGCACGGACGTGCGTGCCGAAGCACATGCCGGGACAGTTGGCCGTGTGCCGGGATGCAGGCACATGCTTGTCTACACGCGGCTCTCAAAGTCACTGGCATTTGGGAGAGCTGTGGGGCACACACCTTGACCTCTCTCTGACAAGGAAGACCCGGCCGGACCTGGCAGAGCTGGCGGTGGGGGGAAGGCCGCAGGTAAATTGGGGAAGAAAGGTGAACAAGTCCCTCAACAACTAGCATTTGCCAATGTTTGAATTTTTTTTTTTAAAGATTTTATTTATTTATTTGAGAGAGAGAATGAGATAGAGAGCATGAGAGGGGGGAGGGTCAGAGAGAGAAGCAGACTCCCTGCTGAGCAGGGAGCCCGACGTGGGACTCGATCCCGGGACTCCAGGATCATGACCTGAGCCGAAGGCAGTCGCTTAACCAACTGAGCCACCCAGGCGCCCATCAATGTTTGAATTCTTACAATGCACCTGACACTGTGCTGGGCACTGGGGTTCAACAGCAGACAAGACGGGTATGATTCCAGCAGAGGTGTGGTGAGAAGAGCTACCATGAATCTACCACTTACCATGTGGCCCATTAAGTAGGGACCACAACTCTATCAGGTGGGGACTCTTACCAGCCCCATTTTCTAGATAAGAAGATTGGAGCACAGAAAGGTGAGGTGACTTGCCGAAGGTCACAGAGCTGGTAAGGAATGTGGCCAGGGTTAGACCCTAGACATTTTGGGACCAGAGGCTGCCCGCTTAATCACTAAGCTACACTGCCTCTGAGTAAGGTAGCAACCTAATAAAGGAATAAAACACAGATGTGGGATCAGCTCCGGAAGAAACAGTGTAGAGAGTGGGCAGAACTACATTAGGCAGGGTGGTCAGGGAGGGCCTCTTCGGGGAAGCGGCATTTTAGGCTGGGACAGGTAGAGGAGAAAGAGGCAACCCTGGGAAAAGCAGGGGTGGGGGGTAGAGGGAGAGGAATGCTCTGCAGGGCGGGGGAGGGAAGGGCTGTGCGGAGGCTCTGAGGGGAGGAAGGGTTTACTGGGTTCGGGAGGCTGAGAGGCCAGCGTGCGTGGTGGGGGGACTGAGTGTGGGAAGGGTGGTGGGACAGGTGTCAGGAGGTGGGCAGCCCCTCTGCAAACACAGCCTCCTCCCCAACATCACCTCTGGGTCAGCTGCCCCCCTCCCCTGCCCCGAACTACCTTTCTCCATCTCAGCCACAGCCCCCACCTTACCCAGGGCCACTTTGTGGCCTTAGAAGGTCTCACAGAGCCCCGAGTGGTATTACAGAGTACCCACATATAAATGCCTACGAGCCATAAAATTTAACCGGATTTTATGACTATTCCTTTTAAAATTATTTTGCCATGACAGATTGTACTAATGTACGACCTTCTTGATTTCTAGTTTCCTGGCCACCATCACACATACCTGGGAATTCCAGAGAATTCCAAAAATTCTTAAGAATTCTAGAAAATCTAACCTACAACTTGTCCTTAAATGCAATGAAATTTTTTCAAACACTGTCATAATATATTTGGTAGATGTTTGATATAACAAGTTCTAATTCTGACTTCACCCTTTTCTGTTTGAACTTCTGAGTCATGATATTTTGTTTTCAGGGCTCAGACACTGAAACACTTGGGGGTCCCCGCCCTGGAGCCGCCCCATACCAGGAGAGGAATGGCCATGCCAAGCCCTTACTGAGCAGTGGGTTCACATGTCTGTCTCCCCAAAGGTAAAGCTGGGGCAGGTCTGTCCGGTAAGAACTGTGGCTTTAACACAGGGTGAAACGGGAACCAGTGGTGGGTTCAAGCAGAGAAGTGACAGTAAAGCCCCCTGAACACGGAGGGGAGCCTTGCTGCTCTCTGTACTCCCGAGCTTGGTGAGCATGGGGCCTGGCACACATAGCAGGTGCCCACTGAAGTTCTGCTGAGGTTCCTGGAGAGTGATGCGGCCCTGGATAGCAGGGCTCCGATCCGTTGTCCACACCTGCTAATGTCTCAGAAGGCTGTGAGGAAGTCTGGAGACCCGGAGAGGACCACTGGGGACCAGATCCTGGGAACCGCCCAAGGCCAAGTGCAGTCCCAGTCCAGCAAACCTCTTTGGCAGGTGGATTCTTCAAAAATGGCCTCCCCTGGCTGGTGTCCAATGCAGCCACTTTCTCCCAGGGACACCTGTCTCACTTGCCCCTCAGTTCCCCCGGGGAGGATTTTCGCAGAGACATAAAGCAAAGGTAGGAATTGACCAGACAGGTGCTTCGAGGAAGGCTCTTTTGGGGTCCCAGGTTGGAGTTGTCTTGGCTAGAGCCCAAGTGCCCACGAGATGGCAGCAGAGAGTACCCACAGGATCTCGAGCCCTAGAGAGAGCTGAGGAACTAAAGTAGTGGTTTCCACACCCGGCCCTTTGCTTGAAAAAATCCTCCCACAGGGCCTTCAAAAAAGGGAGATTCCAGATCCCTGACCCAGGCCCTATTGGAATCTCTGGGAGGGGGACCCACTCACCAGTTGAGAGCCATTCAGATAGGGAAAGGAGGACAGGAAGCTTCCTTTAAGGCTGACATCTGCGCCTTCTAGACTCTGTCCCTACTGGCTGTGGTTGGTGAGGGGTGGGGTGGGGAGGCTGGGGCCCACCAGGGTGGGGCAGCCTTCCTGGACTGCTGGATGTGAAATTTTCCCTCCCTTCTCCCATCCCACCCACGTTCTCCAGTTACTCAAGACCTGAGCCACCTGCCAGGGCACCTTGAACCAGCAGAGATGGAGGGCTAGGCCAGGTAGTTTTCAAGTCAGACAGACCTGGGTTCAAGTCCTGACACCACCTCTTACTAGCTCTGGGACCCTGGGCTGACCCCTCAAACTCCAAGACCCAGTTTCCTCCAGAGTACGACGGGACCCATGAGTCCACCTGCCCTGTGAGATCACTATGAGGGTGAGAGAGAATTCAGGAGAAGGCCTCGGGCAGTGCCTGAGGCACGTGGGGTTACCACGAACTATCAGGTTCACGTCTGTCATGCTGGCTGAGTGGCTATGGAGCTGGACCCTGGGGATAAACCACCTCAAATGAAGCCAAATGGTGCACAAGGGTGAGGGGAGGAGATGACCCCACAAATGTGAACCCCAGAGCTGATCAAGTGGAGTGCTCAATCCTGGCTTTCCTCATCTTCCCCAGGATGCTGGCTCCAGTCTAGACTCCTGAGACTTTGGCCATGTCTCCCCTGCTCCCCACTCTGAGTCATATCCCTGCACGCAACGCATACAGGGGCCTAGGCAAACCTGGAATATTCCAGGCCAGAAAAATCCCTGGGTGAACTTCAAACACCCCACTGGGGCCAACCTGTTGGGAACAGAAGCAGTGAAGGAAAGGTGGGGGGACAGAGCCTACATTGTGTGACTTGAGGAGGCGGCCGGCGCCTTGCTAGGGGAGGGTGAGGGCACTTCTCTGGGTACAGACAGAGTCCTGGGGTCTCAGCAAGTGTGGTTTCTAGCTGAACCAGCCCTAGCTGCCTGGGTACTATCCCTGGGCTGTCTGTGCTCCCTCTGATAAAGCCCGAAGAAGCCCACTGCCTCTGGCCGGGTGACGGCTTTCCCCCAGCCTCTGACTACCTTCCACCATGCAAGAGAGCTTCTGGAAGTCTGCTCCGTGGGCTGGCTCAGAGGGAAACAGGAAGTGCGTCGGTCCCACATGTGCCAGCCCATAGGGCTCACGCAGGAATGGCAGACACCCTGAGAAGGGCAGCCTGGAATTCTGCTGTCCCACCACCACTCACTGTGGTCACGTCGGAGTCTGGAGGGGTCATCTCCACCAGGTTGATATAGTAGGGGGCGTCCTTCCAGGTGGGGTGGTTGTCGTTGATGTCCAGGAGGGTGATGTTCACCTGCGGGGCCATGAGGAGCAGAGAGGGAGGTGTCTGGCTGAGCGGTGCGGGACGGGGCCCACGAGAGGGCACACTCAGGGGCCTGAGGAGCATCTCAGCAGGAATTCCACGGGCTCCACCCACTTTGGAGGCCTTGGGGCAGGGCCTGGGCTTTCTAGCACAGGAGGGAGCCAGGTCCCTCCAGGAGAAGAGCATTTAGGTGCTGTCCCATCAGGAAGGAGAGGGATGAATGCAATGACCCCTGAAATTCTTCCTGTAATGGGGGACATCTCTCAGCCGTCCCAGGCTTGGAGGAAGGGGATGGACAGGGTCGGGGATCTGGTAGGATCCCTTGAGATTCTGTCAGTCTCAGCTATGAGCCAAGCAATTTCCCTGCTCACCTGCCACCCAGGTAAATTATTTATAGGGCTCAGAATCCTATTAGCAGCCTCCCAGGATGGAATGGGGTTCTGGGGATTTTTCTGCCAAGTCCCTGGCCAAGCAATACAGACCCCCACCCCTCTGGCCGGGCAAGGATGGGGGACAACTGGGATGGGGGACAGCTGCTGTGGAAAGGGTGAGGGCCAGGCAGAAAGGTCGGGGAGGGCTCCTGAGGGAGAGCCAGAGAAAGCAAGTAGGATCAAGGAGGGGAGGTGGCTAGAGGGACCTGTCAGTGGGTCTTTCTACTTCCTCTCCCATAGGGGGGCTTCCTGCTTCTCACTGCTCCCCACCCCCCGGTCTCTTCTGCAGCCCAGAGCTCAATCAGGACCCTCAGATGTCCCTTCTCTAGCTTCCTATATCTAAGGCACCTTGGTGGGATGGCAAGAGCTTGGATGGGGGTTCTGGGCCTTGATGGATCCTACTTACTCCTGGTAGGGAAACCTAGGCATCATTTCTCAGCACCAGGGTTAAGGCCCTGCTTCCTGTTCAGAGCCACTCTTTCTGGCAGGAATACCTGCTCCTTGTAGGAGCCCCGAGGGAGGGGCCTCTGGAGCTCATCCTTCTGCTATTTGCCCAGCCGGTCTTTTGGGGACAGGGGAGGAACATTTGTCCCTCCTGAGTCCCCCATGTCCCTGGTGGGAATGCCCTTCTTCCCCCTCGCTGCAGTGGCCCCAGGGCTGACCTTGGCTGACAGTGAGTTGGTATCTGCCACCCTCCCCCCACTCCCAATGCATCAGGACACAGGTTCGACCTGCAGATGGGCCAGGGGGCAGCTCCTGGGCAGCAGGTGGGGAGCAGGGGGCGGGGGAGGGGTGGGCACTCACAGTGGCAATGCCAGTTTTCTGGTTGTGGCCCACACCCCCGTCCACGGCTCTCACGATGAGGATGTATTCAGACTTGGTCTCACGGTCAAGCAGGGAGGTGGTGGTGATTTCACCTGTGGGACGGAGGGATGGGGTAGGCCAGGGAGAGAGCAGGGAAAGAAGGAGAGAGTGAGGGATATTTACATGATCTGGCAGCGTGTGTGCATATGCTGGGGGTGTGGGATGGTGCTCGTAGGGGTGGGGGGTAGCACCCATGCCCTGGGAACTGGAACCTCTGAGGTGGCAACATAACCCCCTGATAGGGAAGTCTTTTTGCATGTGGGACAACCTAGGCAGAGGATGGGGTTAGGGGCTGGGGAATGGGGCGGGAGCACCCCTGGCCTCAAGCTCAGGCACAAAAGACCTCATTTTTAGACTTGTGGCATGATCTTACTGGCGCTGTCACTTGAGACTTGTGACTTCAATCCTCTGTGCCTCAGTTTCCTCATCTGGTCAAAAAGGGAAACGTAATAGGAACTACCTCAGAGGGCTGTCAGGGCTTAATTTGGTGGACATCACAGAAGGCTTAGAACAGTGCCTGGCACTGTTTATTCAGATAGTCACAGAAAAACAGGGACGACACGGAAACGGATGATGTGTTTTACACACGTTCACACTGGTGACAAGTCAACCCATAAAGCATTGATAATAGTCATAAAATAAGTGACCTTGTAACATGATTCTATTGCCTTGAGGATTTTTTTAGTGTATAAACGAGTTATTCCGTTAACTACAAACATTTAAAACTGACCACTTATCTGCCCATTTTTGGGCTTTTCTTTGTATTTTGGTGTAACTGAAACACAGAGGTCACCCTGGTCACATATAAAGTGGTGTGCCACTGTTTGATAACTGGTTCCCCAAAGCAGGTAGAAAGGAAGGAGGAAGGAAGGAAGGAAGGAAAGAAGGAAGGAAGGAAGGAAGGAAGGGATAAAGGAAGGAAGGAAGGAAGAAAGAAAGAAAGAGAAAAAGAAAGAAAGAAAAAGAAAGAAAGAAAGAAAGAGAAAGAAAGAAAGAAAGAAAGAAAGAAAGAAAGAAAGAAAGAAAGAAAGAAAGAAAGAAAGAAAGAAAGAAAGAAAGAAAGAAAGAAAAGCATTTGCTGATTTTCATGGTGTAAATACTCCCACCAGGGCCACTGTAAGCTGCTGACTTGATGGCCTGGAACCAGGAATGGAGGAGATCCTTGAACTTGGCTCTCAGGAGCAGGTGTGAGCTGGTCCCTGCTAGCCTCCGCACATGGTGGTAGGCAGGCCGTTTACCTCTGACCTGGGCCATGGCAGAGAGCTATGCTTCGAGGACAGTGAGGCCCAGATCCGAATTCCGATTATGGCCCTTTCTACATGTTTGGCCTTGGAAAAGTTACTTAATTTCTTTGAGCCTCAATTTTCTCATCTGTAAAATGGAGATTAGTATGCTTTCCAACCAGAACTCTTGAGAGGATTCAGTAATTAACAGAGCTATAGGTAAAGCTCCCAGCACACAGGAAATGCTTATTGCCTTCTCCAGACTATGAGAATTCCCCAAGGCGGGGACTGTATACCATCCATTTTTTTGTTTTTGTTTTTTATCCCCCTTGCCTGAGCTGTGCCCCCTGAGACAAGTTACTCAACTTCTCTGTGCTTGGTTTATTCTACCATAAAATAAAGGAGCTGGGCCAGATGGTCTCACATTTCCCTCCCTGCCACTCTGGCCTGTCCTCTGACCTGTGCAGGACTGAGCGGGGAGCTGGGGGTGGGGAGCTGGGGGTGGGGACAGGGCAGGGAAGGCGCTAAGGACAGAAACAAAAGACCGGCAAAGGTTGGCCCACCAGGCCATGTTCCTTGCTGGGGCGGTGTCAATTAATTGGCAGGGCAAGGAAGAAATTAATCTCTAAAAAGTTTTAAACATGAACTTGTCTGCATGATAGATGGCTCCTCCTGTCTGGAAAATTAGATCCAATTAAGGCCACCTTTGTGGAGCGGGCCTGGCTAATTTGACCGAGGAGCTCAGAGGAAAACACTTACACCTTCATAGCTGAAGGAGCTGTGTTAAGGCAGCAAGAAAATGTCCATGTCATTATTAAAGGCCCCAGGGTGGAGATGTGGTCCCTGGCTGGGGAGGCAGCCGGGTGCTGAAAGGTCAGCGTGCCCATCACCACATGTGGGTGGTAACGTGCGGCTCTAACGTGGCTTATATAATGTAGCACTTGAAGTCTGGGCTCCGGAGTCAGAAGTTCAGGCTCTCCAAGTCCTCGGTCAAATTACTTAACCTGTCCTATGCCCCAGTTTCGCCATCTGGAAAATAAGGGTGATGCTAGTACTTGCCTCAGAGTGGTGGAGGCGATAAACGGGCATGATGCTTGTCTGAGCACCTGGCTAATGCTCGTGAATTATATTATTCTGAGCCCCCTGGAAACGCAGACTCACTGGGGGCAGATGCTCCTGCAAGCAGGGAGGAAGGCCCCCATTGCGTCAGAGGTGGAGTAAGAGGCTCAGGACGGCCCTGGACAGGTCTAGCCTTGTACATGTCAGTACCGTCTGCTCCCCTCGCTTCCAGGAAAAGCAGATAAAGAAAGCCTGAAGGTAGACTTGGACGGTGGGGTGCATGGGTCACAGGAAGAATTAATGTCTCCCCCCAGCCACTTGCAGCAGGGCTGGCCAGTGTCCATCAGACACCTGCTCTCTTCCCCAGGCTAGAATGCCTGCTGCAAAGGGGCTGTCAGACCAGAAACGACCTCCCCAGGCTGCCTTCCATCTAGATGTGGGGCTATTGCCTGGTTCTGGCCAAGAGGATGTGAGCAGAAGTAATGCATGTCACCTCCAGTCCTGGCCCATACACATCTCCTTAGACAGCATGCCAGGCTCTCTTCCCCTCTGCAGTGACCTTGGAGCCACAACATGGAAGGTGCCTGGGTCCCAGAATCGCCATGCTCAAGGCTGTCCACTGAACATGGCATTGGATTGCTGGGTGAGTCAGAATTTCTGTTGTGTTGAGCCCCTGAGATCTCAGGGTTGGCCTGCTTGGTACCTTCAGTGCCCTTATCTAATACAGAAATGGGTATTTAGAAGTGGGGAGCCTTGCATGCCCACTAAGTAGCCTGGGAACCCCATGAGGGCAGCCATGTCTAATTCCATCCTGTGCCCCAGCACCCAGCCCCTGGCGGAGAGCAGGCCCCCACTGACATCGAATGAGGATATGAACGAATGTCCAGGGGCCTCATATTCCTTCCCAGCTTCCGACCTGGGTTCTCCTATTGCTTTTGTCCTCCCCCTTTCCTCCCAGCTTCGAGGGAGAAAGATCTGAAGGGAGGCACATGGAGAAGGGGGAAGAAGGCCGAGAGCTTCATGGACCGAGTAGGGGGTCGGGGCTGGGGGCCCCTGGGTGAAAAGACCAAAGAGAACGATGAGGAAGACGTCACTGTGTTAGCCCTTGCTGTGTGCCAGGGATTACTCTAGGAGTGCTCCCTGTAACAACTCATGTGATCCACACTCCACCTAGATCTAACACGACCATCCTCATTTTGCAGGGAGGAACCCAAGGCACATGCCGTGTTAAGAAGAGGAGCCAGGGTTCAAGAAACAGGTCAGCAGCCGAGGGAGGGGGACGTGGAGGATTGAGAAAAGAGATCCCCCACACGGTGGTAAGTTAGCCCGCTGTTTGTAAAATGGAACACATTTGAAACATAACAGGGCTCTTCACCATTGAAAGACATCCTTTGTGGATACATTCATGTTCCAATTTTGTGGGGGGGGGGGTTAAGATCACTAATCACACTCAAGTTCGTATGTCAGGGGTGAAACTAGATGCTCAAAGCTGGCATGCTCCAGATGAGGGCTTCCTGGGAAAGGAAGGGAGAACTTGGCTCAGGGGCAGGTCCTAGGCTGGGCATGGGGAGTCGGCCTGAGGCACGGAGGACAGGGACCATGGGGCTCACCTGAGCGGGCGTTGATCCGAAACTGGGAGGAGCCCTCCAAGGAGTAGATGATGGACTCCTGACCATACTCCCGGGAGCGGTCCAGGTCTGTGGCATTCAGGAACAGCACTGTGGCTCCTTCCGGGAGACAAATGGGGGGAATGCTCACCCTAGGCTCACAGCTCCAGGCCTGGGAGCAGGACCGGTACCTCCTGCTGACCAGCCTTCAGGAGGCAGGAAGCCTGCCACTGGGACACCCAGGGATGAGAGTGGGCTCAACCACCAGAGCTCCCAGGGCTGCGTGGGGACAAGGCTCCATGGGAGGGGGTCCTGGAGCCTGGGGTGGATTACACCCGCCGCTCTTGCCCCCCGCATCCCAAGAGCATACCACTGCTCTCCCCTACCTCTCTCTGGCTGCTCACCAGAGAAAATACACTCAGACTGACCAGCTTTGACTTTGAGTCAAAAAGAAATGAAGCCCTATATTAAATTATTCCACATTTATTGTATTCAATTTTGGTCTTGTTTCATCTTGTTCACAAGGGAGAATTTATAAGGGTTTTTATTTTCTCTTTAATGTCTAGTTAAGGCCCTCACTTTCATGTCCATCTCTGTGAAACCCTGGGTCAGGGAACCAGCCTTTGCACTGGCCCTCGCCAGAGACCCTGAGAGCGGCCTGTCCGAGGCCACGTCTGCTGGGCTGTGGCTCCAGCCACCTCCTGTCTCCCACTGCCACCTAATGGCCACACTGAGGAGATTCAATGGGTGGACTTGTAGACTCATGGCGCCCAGGCTGGAATCCCAGGGGACCTCTGGCCACTAAGCCTCAGCTTCTTCCTCTGTAAAACGGGTCTACCTAGAAAGTCAGCTTGTGGGGTTGTTGGTGAAGATCCCGGGGAAAAGCATGCAGGCTGCAGGCTCATGGTAGCTCTCACTGAGCCACAGATGGGGGTTACTATTGTGTGGAAGAATCAAGAGTCCCAGGGGTAGTAGGCGCCAGGCAGGGGGCTGTGAGACAGGCAGGTCTTTCTGGCCCCTTCCAGGGAGTGTGAGGCCTCCAACTCTCAGTCTTACCCTGAGCAGGGGGACAGGTACATGGGCCTTGACACACCCTTTATCCAAGTGCAAAGTGGAAGAGGATTAAGTGCCATGATGAAGGCCTCTCCTAAGCAGAGGCCGTGGGGACGATGGGGAATGCAAGGGGTTGCTTCAGCGCTGATCCTCTCCAGGGGATGCCTGACTAGGACAGGGAAGTGTGGGCTGGGCACAGCCTGGAACCCACCCAGGAAGTCATCAGAACCAGGAAGGTATCTGGAGACTCTCCTCAGAAGGCCCCATGGTGCCACAGAAGGTCACCCTCCAGATGCAGCAACTCTTCCTGATTGGGGGGGGGTTTCCCCACCAGAATAGTCCACCCTGGATGTAAGGGGGAGCTGTCAGCCTGCCCCAAGAACAGAGCGGGTCCCTAGGAACCCGAATGTGGAGCTGGTGGTCCCGGGTCTGCAAGCTGGGCCCTGCCACCAGAGACACGGCCGAGAGACGTTCTCACTTAGGAACATAGGCCACCCTGGCCTCACAGCACCATGATTCAGTCCCTCTGTACATGCTCGCTTAATCAAGGTCGTTCCATTACTGATGGCTGACTGTTCTCTCCCTGCTAGACTGCAGCTAAAGGAGACTGGGGACCAAGTACCCAGCACAGCGCCTGCACATAGTAGGTGCTCCGTAAACAGCCGCTGGCTGGCAGATAACCAGACTTGTCATGGGTGTGTCTGCTGGCTTCCTGCCTTCACAGCCTCCCCCGCCGGGGCCCGTACCTGCCATGATGTTCTCCACCACGGAGACGAAGTAGGCAGGCTTGCTGAAGGTGGGCGGGTTGTCGTTCTCATCCTGGATGGAAGGGAAACAGACAGGTTGTCAAAGCCAGGGAGGCCATCAGGGCCGGTCAGCTGTCCAAGGGGAGGCTCAGTGTGGCTGGCACGGAGGAGCTTTGGCCTGGATGTACAACCAGAGCCGGGTGGGGTGTCCCGGGGGGGGAGACGGATGCTCCCCTGGCTGGGCTACAGTTCGGGGAGGGAGGACAGGCCTTGGAGAGACACGTAAGGGCCACGAAGATGGAGAAGGAAGGCAGCAGGTGGAGCTGCCTATTACTCCCAGCTTCCCTCTCTCCCGTTGGTCTTCCAGTGCAGCTCCAAGCTTACTCCTGTTCTGCTCAGCTCATCATCCTCCATGCTGGGGGTGCCCACTCGGAACTTCCCTCCCAGCTCCGCCAAGACGACGGTGGAAGGTTCTAGGACCCTCCCCGCCAAAAGTGAAGGGAGAAAGGAACACCCTGCCCTGAAGTTCCTGGCTCTCAGAGCCCGAATTCCAGGCTCCTCTGTACATATAAGAAGAGGGGCTCCTCTACCCACCGGGGCAAACCCTGGCCCAGAGCCTACCACCTCCGGTTCTCGCCTTGCCCAGCCTCCACCGGAGACCAGCTCAGAGGGACAGTGGCCAGGGGCTGGTGCAGGCCGAGGGGTTGAAGAGGCACAGCCTTGGCCTCCTCCTGCTCCCCCCGCTCCTCTGTCTCCCTCTTCCATGCTTGGGGCGATTCCTACACCCTTTAAGACTCTGGTCCTCACCCACTGCTTTTTGTAATCATTCAACATGAATTTCTTCCTGTTCACCTCTTGGAGGAAGCCCCACTGACCCCCTGACTCAGAGCCTCTCCCCTTCCCCTGGGAGCCCTGGGGGTAGCAGCCTCTGGGGAGCCTCCAGGCTGCAGTGTTCATGGCACATGCTCCCACAGGGCCTCCTGCCTCACGGACCTGGGAGCTCTTTGAGGGGAAGACTGCCATAGAAGCCCCCTTTGCTGGCATCACTTATAGCTGAGTGGCAATGAAAGAGAGGGAGGCATGACAGCTGGCTGTCCTGGCCTTGGAACTTTCGAGAATCCCATCCTGCCAGACTGCGGACTGCAGGTGCCCAGAAAGGAATGCTGCTCTTCTTCCCCAGCCTGTCCCCAGACTCTGGGCTGCGCACCAGCTGCCCACCCCCCGACTCCGCCTCAGAGAACCGGCGGTGTGAAGACTCGTCTGATGTCCAGGGCCCCAGCAGCATGCTTGGGCATCCCCCTGGGGCGGGCGCGAGTGCCCCGTATCCGTATATATGTAAGTCTTCTGCTTGGCTGCACGAGACGGCACCGGGAATGTCAGTGGCAGAGCACGAGGCAGAAACTTATTAGCGGTGATATTTCCCCGGATCCTGGCACTGCATTCTCTATTAGTTCTAATTCAGCGGCTTCCTCTACAAAAGCTTATTGTCCCTGAATGGGAAATCTACAAACCAAGTTTGACTTCTTTATTAAAAACCAACAAGCAGTGGGTGAAAAGGAATCACCTGGCCCCTCTCGCCCGCCGCTTTTTCCTCCAGGAACCTCATCGCCCTGATCTCTGCCGGAAGCGCTGTCATGAACTTCTCATCTCTTGTCTTCGCTGGGTTCCTCCCCTCCCCCCACCAAGTTGAGAGAAAATCCCTTTGGTGGACAGAAGAGGCAGCTTAGCCAAGTGACAGCTACTTAAAAATCACCCATGTGCAAAATCAACCCAAAGGCACACGTGACTACACCATCCCAAAGCCCTGCTTGAGAGCGGATGTTCACTCACAGCCAAGGTGGCACCTGTCTTTGTTGCCAGACCCCCCACCTCCCTGCTGTCAGGGCCAGAGCACACCCGGGGGGAAACTGTAGGGCCCTTGCTCATCTGCAGGACAGCTCTGAGGGAATTTGAAAATGACCCTATTTGCTGGGCTCAGGTAGCTCCAGGCCGAGTGGATCCCTGCCACCACCCACCCCTGCACACGGAGACCCTGCTGACTGGTTTCAGGGAGGGAGGCGAAGGCTGCTGACTGCTCTTTTATTCACAGTAAATGAAAGGTTAGTTTGGCTCCTTGGCCACCCTCTGGCCCCCCCGGAGAAGCTGAGGCAAAGGGAGAAAGAGGCCCTTTCTGGGTTCCTTAACTGAGCCACAGGTGGGGAAGCTGAGGTTTGGGGCAGCCCCTGGGTTTTAAGATCCCACTGGGGCAGACCTTTGAAGGTCTTGCTACTCAAAGTGTGGTCCGCTGACCTGAAGCATCAGTGCTGCCTGGAGCTTGTTGGGAACGCAGAGCCTCAGCCCTTGCTTAGACTCACTAAATAAGAATGTGCATTTTAGGAAGCTCTCCAGGAGATTCACATGAACCTTGAGGTGTACTGGTCTCAGTTGCATGCAGATAGGGATTTCCGAGGCTTCAGGCCTTGGAATGTAGTGGAAAGGATGTGAACTCAGGAGTCAGACAGGTCAGGACTGAAATCCTAGCTTACTAGGACTGGAAGCAAACTCAAGTGCTGCTTACTAGCCAGAATGTGAGAAAGGCACTGGGGCTCCTGGACCTGCTAGATTGCCTCATCTGTGGAATGGGATTGGGAGAGATTGTGTAACGTGAAAGCACCTGACATGTTAGTGGCGCTCAAGAAGTTTTAATTTCCATGTGGCCAACTCTGCCTGTCCATCCCTGGGCTGGTGTAGAACACCTCAACTTATTTCCCGACACCTCCCCTATTCTCACCCTCTCCCTCATCCACTTCCCCCAAACTGAGAGCACATTCTTCTCTGTCTGGCTGAGTTCTCTGGAACTCTCATTTGTACTGGAGATAACCTGGAGCACGGATGCTGCCAGTGGTATGCACGTCTGTCTTATCAGCTGTGATGACAGCCAACATTACAGGTGCCAAGTGCCACCTGCGTGATCTCAATCCTCACGACAATACCATGATGCAGTACCACGATTATCCCCATTTTGCATGTGAAGAAACTGAGGCTCAGAGAGACAGAGCTAAGGACCCCAGGTCAGAGAGTTAGAGAGTGGCAGAGTTGGGTTTCAAAGCCATACACCTCCAAAACTATGTTCCTTCCTCCATTCCCTGAGGAGGGGGCAGGTTTCACAGACGCCTTTGCATCCCTCCCGGCCCCGCTGCTGCACCTGCACGCAGGGAAAAGTCACCGTGCCCGAGCAGAGAACACCAGCTGGTTGAAAATGGTGGGTGGGGCGGTCGGGCTTAGGAGCGTGACCAGGACTGGGGCGCTTTGGGGGCTGTGTTTAATCAAGATTGGTAAACTAGGGTCAGGGCCACGTGGAGAAGAATACCAAGATGTGGTCACAATTGGCAGGGAATGCATTCTGGCTCTTTGGTGCCCCCCACCTCGGTGCTTCAAAGTGGGGGGCTGTGGATAAAAGGCAAGCAGTGAGTGTTTAGGCTTCTGTGGATCTCCTCTTTCCCAGCTGCCCCCTCCCCCTGGCTTCTTCCCACTCCCTGAAACCTGCGGGGCCCCAGAGTCTCTGCTTTTCCCTTTGCTGGTTCTGCACAGCCTCACCCTCCGATGCCACCCCTAAATCCTGCTCCTGCATGCCCACCTGCAGGCTCCCCCCAAGCCATCACCCTCAGCCTCATCACTGCCAGCCCATCCTATGCAGTAAGCAAGGACCGTCCCACTTGGCAGTTGGCCCTGGAGCTCTGCCTTGGGTTGAGAGGATGAGACTTAGCAAAGCCAGGTGTGGGTCAGCCCCAGAGGCTGCTAGTGAAGCCATCTGGGACAGGAAGGTCACCCGCACGCCTGCTCCAGAAGAGATTTTCCTGAGCGTATGTCAGATCACAGTGTATCTCCTAACCTGACAATCTAATCTAATCCTCCTGGACCCTGTAATGCACTAACTCTTCCATCAACATGTATTCAACCTCTCCAGCAGGCAGCAGCTTTTATGAGATGGGGGTGGGGGGGCAGGGGGCATGCTTGCGCATGCGCAGTGGGGAGGTCTCTGGTGGGGAAAGGCCCACTGGCGCCGTGTCAGACCACGATCTGCATCCCTGGGATCACTAGGGGAGGAGCACGGGGCAAATGAACCAGCATGGAGATGGAGTCAGTGACTGATAATTTCAGACATGGAGAGCACTAACATGTGCTTGATATTCATGTCAGACAAGCTGTGGTTTGGTTTCAGGCCCCTTTAGATCTTCAGAGGAGCAGGCAAAGGAAAGAAAAAAGGAAGAGGGGCAGAGAGAGAGAGGAAGAGACACAAGAGGGATGACCTCCCCATAATTCCCTTGAACTTCACAAAGTATGGCTCTAAATGAGGGAATCCCATGACATTTCCTCCTGCTTGAGCCTCAGTTCCTGTTCCCCATCAGTGGGTGTCCTGAGGCCCCCTAATGAAGTCAGAGCAGGATGATGGGGTTCTCTCATTCCAGGGCCTGGCCTCCCCGGCTAAGCTAGGAGGCAGCTTAGCTGCTGCAGCAATGGCAGAAGTTTGCGAGGGGCAGCCTTTGGGACAGTCAGCTGGGTGACTCCCAGAGCTACGGGGACAGCCGAGGATGTAGGGACATAGTCTGGCACCACTGGCTTCAGGCAGGGTCCCCAACGCTCTGGGAAGCACTCACCACCCCTTACCCTGAAAGGGCAAGACCAGCACCCCTGGGTACTTACAAACACCTCGATGGTGACAGGGACAGTGGTGTTCAGAGGGGGGTTGCCAGCGTCCTTGGCCATGACTGTCAGGTAAATCAGCCCGTTGGGTATCTGCTCATAATCCAGGGGACGGCTCACGCTGATCACTGAAATGACAGGAACAGGGCCCCAGGCCCCCTATAAGCAGACTTCAGATGCCCATCCAGCCAGGGGTCTCCTTCGGGCAGAGAGGGTGTGGCTGGCCCAGGCTGGCCAGCTCTGCCTCATTCCCCGCCCCTAGCCCCGCCTCTTGCTCTGAACTTCTGGAGCCTCCCGGTCTTCACTTCGGTTTACTGACGGCCTGATACGTGTGAGGCACAGTGCTGAGAGCACGGCAGCTGTTGACTGTCTTGGTGGTGATGTAAGCACCGCTTTACAGGTGAGGAAACCAAGCTCAGAGAGGCTCAATAACTTGCCCAAAGTCACACAGCTAGAACCTTGATAGAGGCGGGACTTGAGCCTAGGTTTGTCTGAATCCAGAGCCCAGGCTCTTCCCCAGTAGGTGCTATTGCCTGCTTATCTGTCTGTCTGTCTCACCCACTTATCTGGCACTCTCCATCAGTCTGGAAGCTGCTCGGAGGACAGGGTCATGCCCCAGGCTCTCTAGTTTGGTCTCTTACCAAGTTCTCCCTCCAGATACACACAGAGTTCACCCACTTACTGCCCAGCCTCAGGGCTGCTGGGGGTGATGCCAACAGTGGGGTGCAGATGGCAGCTCCCTCCTCAGTCTCCCCTGGCCCTGCCTGTTTCCTCCCATGGCCTTTCTCCTCTCTCTTCTTCCCCCCCTCGCCTCCTCCCTTTACCCTGTGGGCTCTCCATGCCCATCCCGTCCAGCAGCCTTGGGAGGACACTCAGGTGTTGCCAACTTTACTCTCAGCAGAACTCTGCTTGAAGGTGGTGAAGACACCCCTAAAGCCAGAGGCAGGCAGAGGTGGAGAGGGAGGATTTGGGGGGAGCTGAGAGATGCCCCCCTCTCCTGTCCCCACCACTGCATATGCCTGAGCTCTCCCATGGGTCGCTCCTGCCTGGGGAGGGAAGGCATATTGGCTCTGGCGTGGGGGGCACAGGTGGTCTGCCGGGGCATTACGACAATATGAAATCACCACTTTCTATGTGGAAAATGGAAGCAAAAGCATTGCTTTAGTAATATAAAACCTAAGGGAGGGTCTAGTCAAGAAGAGGACAGAGTGCTGGACTCAGAGTCACCCAAAGCACATCTGTTCTGCGTTGGGGGCACCTAACCCATCTTCAAGCATTTGGGAAGCTTCCCAGAAGAGGGGAGGTCCAAATGAACCTTTAAAGCTAGCCAGAGGTTATCAGCTTAAAGGCCAAAGGGAGGCAGAACAAAGAGACTGGGAGGAAGGGTTTTCCTGGCAGAAGGAATAGACTCTGCAAAGACATGAAAGTGACCCCTAAGAGGAGAGTGTCAAGGGATTCAAAGAGGCTGGGTTCGGTGTGGAGACAGAGGTGCTGAAAGAAGAGGCTGCAGAGGCAACCAAGAGTCAGATCACCCCAGTGTCGTTGGACCCCTCTGCTGTATGACCTCGGGCAAGTCACTCCCTGTCTCTGGGCCTTTGTTGCCCCTCATCTGAAAAACAACAGGGTCTCAAGATCTTGGAGCTGAAGGCTACTGCTGCTACCCCCTTCCTGGGTTCCGGGGATCAGGAGTCACAGGGGGCTGGCGGGGCAAGGTCCAGAGTCTGGGACTGTGCCTGAGCCAAGCAGGGAGTGGCCACCGCCTGGGAGGCAGCTGAAGCAGGCCCAGAGCATCGGGAAGTGTGGCTGACAAGCCTCTACCTTATGGACCTGGCCAGGCAGCCTGGGTAAGAACGAGGGGCCCTGCAGACTGTGGTAATATTGGATGAGGGGCTGCCCGTGGCCTGAGACCCAGAGAAAGACAGAGCTGATCCTAGAGAAGGGCGATGCCAGGCCTGTGTCACTCGCCCCCGCTGATGGGCTGTGGACCAGCTCCCTGGGTTGTCCAGGGTGTCTAGGAGACAGACGGCCACCCCCCTCCTCAGAGGGGCATGAGGGTGCAGCCCTGCTCTGGCCCACCGCCCCTCCTCCCTGGGCTGGGCCCTCGTCCCCAGCACGCCTACCTCCGTAGCCCTCATACACACTGATGTCGAAGTAGCTGCCAAAGGCGGAAGCGTTGACGATGCTGTAGGTGATCTGGTTGTTGGGAGGGGAGTCTTCATCCGTTGCCTAGAGGGAAGAGTACAGACAGGGCCCATGAGCCCTCAGAGGCTGGGCGGGAGGGGAGAACTGCCCCCTCGGGATCCCCTGCTTTGGGTGATCCAGGCCCTCCTTGTCCCTCAGCCGGAGGCCACCCTCTGGCTCCCAGCAGACACACCTCATGTCGGGGTGTGGAGGTAGCGTGGGAATCTAGAAGGTCAGCTGGAGGCCTAGGGGAAAGAGGGAAGGCCAGGGCTTACCCCGGGATGGAGAGGGTCACCACCATTGGCACGACCATCTCCCAGATCCTTCAGTCTCAGCTTGAACACCCCACCCACAGAGGCCTTCCCTGACCTCTGGACCAGGTAGGCCCCGCGCTATGCACCCCATTAGTCCCTCTGCACCTAGCTGTGGCTTCCTGTTCCGTTTTTGCTTGCCTCCCTCAGACTGTCAGCTCCATGCCAGCAGGAACCTTACACTTCTTTTTTTTTTTTTTTTTTTTAAGATTTTATTTATTTATTTAACAGAGAGAGACAGCGAGAGAGGGAACACAAGCAGGGGGAGTGGGAGAGGGAGAAGCAGGCTTCCCGTGGAGCAGGGACCCCTATGCAGGGCTCGATCCCAGGGCCCTGGGATCATGACCAGAGCCGAAGGCAGACGCTTAACGACTGAGCCACCCAGGCGCCCTAGGAACCTTCCACTTCTTGATGGCTGCTGTATACCTACAGTCCGGCACAATCTTTGGCACACAGTAGGTGTCAAATAAATGTATACTGCATGAATGCAAAATGGAGGGAATGTCCTGGAATGAGGTCAGAGATCTCTCTTCCCCTTGACGGTCTGACTGAATTAATTAGCTGCTTTTCAGAGGTCTCTGTTCCGAGAGAGCCTCCAAGCCATCCCACCACTCTGGTGTACTGGGAGCTGAGTGGGGCGTGACGGCACGGTCGGTGGGTTCTGCCTTCTCTGCATCCCCCGTGCCCACCCCTGGTCCCTTGCCTTCATCCCTGCATGCTTCAGAATCCAGTTCTAAAGGGAGGCTCTGGGTCCTCTCAGTCTGGGTGGGCCCACTGGGGGAGGGGAGTGGGGACATTAAGAAGTCTCTGGTCAGAGTTACTCTGCCTTGGGGGAACTCACTGCAGGAGGACACTGGGAGTGTGGGGTCCCGAGTTCTGGTCCTGGCTCTACTACCCCACTGCCTCCTCGTGCCTCTGGGGACTGCCTCTCCCCTCCCGTTTCCCCTTCCGTGACATGGTCTCTGGTTCCTTCTAGCTGGGGCCATTCCAGATTCTAAGCAGCCACCAAGGGGCCCGGATGGAGGTCCTTCTGTGAGATCCTGCTCACCACTTGCCAAGGGAGAGGGGGAGGACATTCCCTTGCTGAACAGTGACCTGAAATTTAACCTGACCCAGACACTTGCCCCACTCGGTTGCCAGGGACACGAGGGAATGCTCAGAGGCCTGACGCAAATTGGGGCTGAATTCTTTGTGGATGGCAGGCTGGCCTCTCTTGCGGCAGCTTCCACAGGGCGGTGGGCAGGCCGAGGGCGCCGAGGGGAGGATGGGAGGAGGGCGGGACCGCAGGATGCTCTGGCATCTTACCCGGAGCCGCACCAGCTGGGTGACAGAAGGCTCGTTCTCCCTCAGGGCCCCCACATAGGCATCCTTCTGGAAGGTGGGCACGTTGTCGTTGACGTCCAACACGTTGATCCTGACCCGGCCTGTGGTCTCCTCACCACCCCCATCCCGGGCAATGACTGTCAAGGTGAAGCGCTGGATGAGCTCATAGTCCAGTTTGGCGATGAGCATGATGAGCCCTGTGTCCTTGTCCAGAGAGAACCTGTGTCAGGCGGGACAGGGGAGAGAAAGGGACCTTGGTGTAAAGCAAAGCGGCTCACAGATAAGGCCTGTATTTACCAGCCTGTCCTTGCCCGAGGTGATAAACAGAATAAAGTCAGAAATCTGCTGTCTTTTCACTTACCCTGAATCAGAAGAGTGCCTATTTCTAACAGGGAGTGGGGTGCGAGGTGGTGGGCAGGGGTGAGGACCACATGGGGGAGGGGAACAGTCGGGTACTGAAAGGGCAGGAGCAGGTTGATCTCGTCAGAGAAGAAACTCAGGCAGAATGACCCTCCTCCTGCTGTGAACAGGAGTTTCTGCCTACTGTAGATGTTTAGATGCTGGAAAACAATCATGGTCAGAAATTCTGCCATCCCAGATGGTTTTGCACCAAAATGTTTTAAGTGGGTGGTAAAGCATCCAGCTAGGAGAGGGGTGGTTGGTCATCTCTCGGGAGAGAGCCCTTCTCTTCTGCTCCAGGGCGGAGCCTTGGCTAAGAGCCTAGCAACTGTCTCCCCGAGAGAAATGAGGTCCAGCGAGACCATCCATCTGGCCGCCTCCTCTAAACAGCCCCTTGGGAGCCTCCCTTGAGTTGGAAGTTGGCACCTGTATGCCCGGATCTGGTCCTCCGAGTCTGGAAGGTCCTGGCTCCAAGACCAGGAAAGAAGATGGGAAGAGATAAGGAAACCCAAGTTGACCAGGACGAGGCCGTGTGGACACGGGTGCCCTGAGGGATAGAGGTGCCCTGTGCATGCCTCCTATGGCTGGCTCCTTCCTCCCCTCTTTTTTTTTTTTTTTTAAAGATTTTATTTATTTATTTGAGACAGAGAGAATGAGAGAGAGAGAGCACATGAGAGGGGGGAGGGTCAGAGGGAGAAGCAGGCTCCCCGCTGAGCAGGGAGCCCGATGCGGGACTCGATCCAGGGACTCCAGGATCATGACCTGAGCCGAAGGCAGTCGCTCAACCAACTGAGCCACCCAGGCGCCCTCCTTCCTCCCCTCTTGACGCTCCAACCGGAGTGGCAGAGAACGGCCAGATGTGCCTAACAATCTCTGTCTCTTCCCAAGCACTCCCACAGACAGCCAGGGCCCAGAATGCAAGCTGACAGCCACTGTCTTCCTCATCCTGTCGAGCGTCCAGATGCATCAGACCCTTCATTTTTAGAAGCAGACCTGCTCTCTGACTTCAACTTGGCTTTTGATCATGTTAAAAATGAGAGGGTTTCCCCTTCGGCTTAACTGAGGACAAGGGAAAGAGATGGCCCAGAGGCATGGTGGGTGACAGGGCAAGGCTCCCCCAGCCAGGTGGTGATGCAAGCCACCCACCCGACGGCTGAGGTACGAGGCGGGCCCCCTCCTGCTGGAGGCCGGGCATCCCGGTGGTGAAGACCACATGCAGAGGCCAGGCCCTAGAGCTTACCAGCTGTGTGACTTTGGGCAAATGACTCAGCCTCTCTGAGTTTCCTCCTCTGCAAAGCGCAGATGATAACAGTGACCAGTGCTTGGGGGGATGAAATCCGATCACGTGCGGCAAGCCCTGGGCGCAGAGCCTGACACACAGCAAGGGTTCCCAGATGCTAGCTGCTGCTATGGCCTTCGCTAGGAGCTGTCACCAGTGTTTCCGAGCTGCTTCATTCCCAAAGCTAAAGGCTATCTTTTGAGGGTCAGAGAAGCGATGCCTCCGAGAGTTTAGAGGACTTGACCAAGACTGTGCCACGGCCAGGGTGACGCTGGCCGTGGCGCCCGTGGGTTCTGACTCCCCGCTCAGTGCTCTAGCCACGGCGGCACAGCACCCTCCCCGGGCACTGAGAAGTTTCCTGAACCTTGAGAGTAGCCGAGTGCCACTGCTGGGGTGGGGACGGGGTTGGGGGGCATTGGGGCAGGGTCTTACCGGTCAGGATCATCGCTGAAGAAGTAGTTGACTTCCCCAAAGGTGCCCACGTCATTGTCTGTTGCCTGCAAAGGTCAGAATGAGAAGTCACTGCTGCCAGACCCAGCGAGGCTCCTGATCTCACCGGGAAATGTCCATAGCCAACCCGTGGTCCTCCCACGCAACTCCTCTGGCTGCATTTTCTAGAGGTGCGTTCGTTGTTCTGTACGGGGGCCCCGAGGCACCAAGCACTATTGACAGTGACAGTGGAGAGCCCAGTTCTGGAGGATCGGTCTTCTGCCTAAATCTCTAACGTGGGGAAACCACCCCCTCTGGACTCCTATCAGGCCAGGCAGGCTTATGCTCTGCAGAGGCTCAGAGGGCTTGGGGAAGGGGTCTTGGACCTGTGGCTTGGGGGTCGCAACTTGAAGGTTTGCAAAGTATTGCAAACAAAGGTGGAAGTGGGTTCCACCATCTGGTGGACTCTTCCAGTGCTTCTCTCCCAGTCCCCAAAGCATCCATGTGGGATGTGCTTCCTGGTGGGAAAGGCCCCTCGGGGAAGGGGCGATTCTAGAGTCCTGCCCCTGACACCCCTTCCAGCCTCAGTTTGGTTTGTGAGTCTAGCAAGACCTCTTTTACCCGGGCTGGTCCCGCCTGGCTTCTGCCACTTGCAGTCGAAAGAAACGGGGGAGGAGGAGGAGAGGCCTGCCTCACACGGATGACTGTGGCAATGGTGGTGACCACTGCCCGCCTGTCCTGTTGTCCTGCCTTTTACATTTTCAAAGACCACGTATGGTTATCATGACCTCATTTTATCCTCACAACTGTCCCACATGATGAGGAAGACAGACATTTCCACCCATTTTGCAGATCACAAAACTGAGGCCCCGACCCCAGTGAGGCCCATTCTAGGTCACGAGCCAGGTTACGAGCAAAGGGAGGCAGAAACAGGGATCCCGACTCTCAGCCTGCAGTTCCTTTCTTTAGGCCACCCCAGTGGGGCCCCCCTCCATCTCCTGCCTTCTCCAGGACGAGGGCAGTTTCAGCAGAGGTTTGGCTTTTGTGGGTGGGACTTCCGGCTTCTGCCTCATTCTTGGCCCGGCCATAGTCCACAGTGTAGGTGAAATGACACCATTCATTCGTTCGTTCATTCCTTATTAAGCATACACTGTGTGCTGGGCACTGGGACTCTGCCCCCTTCTCAGGCCACTCACTGCCCTGGAGCGGGACAGCCTGTGGCTGCTGCCACATAGCAGGGGCAAAGGCTGTGGGCTGACCTTGCGGACATCTGCTTTACATTCAGGGCTTCTTGATGAGACTGTGATTGGATAGAGTTTCTGCTAATAAAAATCTGTTTCTTTTATTTTTTAGCTTTAGTGAGGTATAATGGACAAATAAAATGGTAACAAATCTAAGGTGTACAATGTGATGATTTGATTTTTTTTTTTTTAAGATTTTATTTATTTGAGAGAGAGAGAATGAGAGAGAGCAAGCACATGAGAGGGGGGAGGGTCAGAGGGAGAAGCAGACTCCCTGCCGAGCAGGGAGCCTGATGCAGGACTCGATCCCGGGACTCCAGGATCATGACCTGAGCCGAAGGCAGTCGCTTAACCAACTGAGCCACCCAGGCGCCCCAATGTGATGATTTGATATACGTGTATACTACAAAAGGATGTCCCCCACTGAGTTAATTAACACATCCATCTCACCTCCCTTATTTACCTTTTTTTTTTTCTTTTTTGGTGAGAACACTTAAGTTCACTTAAGTTCTACTCTCTTAGCAAATTTTAATTCTACAATACAGTGTTATCAACCGTAGTCATCATCTTATACATTAGATCCTCAGACCTCATTCACCTTACAGCCGAAAGTTTATACCCTTTTACCAACCTCTATTTCCCCCACCCTCTGTATCTTTGTACTAAGTATTTTTTGAGGTTCTCTTTCAAGTTCCTAGATTTTGTGAAATCTATTAAATTCCATGTTATGATAAACCTGAATGTTTGAGAAAAATTTGTGTTCAGTATACTTAGTTGAGGAAGGCAGATAAGTGAATAACATATTTCAATACCAAACGATCCAAGTGAAAAAAAATATTTAGACCCAAAGGGTTCAGATCTCAGTTATCCAGGGGGAAGCCATTTCTGGGGCCAGGGGCGGCCTCTTGTACCAGATTCCCATTCAACGTCCCCGCTGTCTGCGTTCTGGAAGACTGTGTGCAGACTTCCACTCGGCCAGGCTCCGAGTGCACCATAAGTTCTCAGGGATGCATGTCGAATAAGTGACAAAGACGACGCTGAGCCGTGGAAACCCCCTCATACGCAGGACTGATTCCCGGACAGACCCTCCCTGGTGCCCTGAGCCACTCCTCACGACAACTGCCATTTACTGAGCACCTCGCACTTGTCACACATTTTATCTTCAGAATCACCCTACAAGGTGGGTCCTATTATCAGCACCACCTCCAATTTAGAGACAAGGAAACTGAGGCACGGAGAAGGTAAAGAGCTCCCCCAAGGCTTCACAGGGATTTGAAGCTGGTGTTGTCTTGCCGTGCCCTTGGCCTCAGTGTGTTATTGCTTTTGAACCGAGAGGACAGCTTGCTCTCAGAAGAACCTACGCCTGGTGATTCCAAGGGAGAGGAGACAAAGCTCCTCAGAAAAAGGTCCCTTCCAGGGACGAGAGGAGAAGTGAGGAGGAGTCCCTAAGTTCCCTTTTGCCCCACCAATCATCATCACCACATGTGGTAGTATTCAACTGTAGTAAAGTGCAGCTTGGCCTGGTGATGCCATCAGGCCCCTTGGTGAGGGGTCCGTGTGGCCTGGAGACCCCAGGTCCAGGCCAATGTCAACAGCGCAGGTCACCGTGTGACCAAACATCACCACCCCCGGCCTCAGCATCCTGGTGGGTCAGAGGAAAGGGTCTGGGGGGGCATTGGAGGCAGAACCGCACCTGCCGGGCTCACCGCCCAGCACTCGGGGCCTGGCACAGAGCAGTGGCTGCATGAATGCTTGGAAAAGGAATGAATGAATTCTAGTAAGAAGGGGTTGCAGAGATGGGGCAAAGCCAGGGAAGAGACAGGATTCCAAGGGGAGGGAGCAAAAGGGGCTGAGAGAAGAGGCCAGGGACCCGAGAGAGCAGCTAGGAGGTGTGGAGGGGATCAGGAGGAGAGGAAGAAAGGGCTGGGTTGTGTAGGAAGTGAGGGGCCCCATCAAACCATGAGGGGGTTCCTGGCCTCAGAGACAAAGCCCTTCCTATCTGGGTGACCTGTGAAATTGCACTCAGACTGTCAGGGCAGGAAGGACCCCGGAGGTCCCCCTTGTCCGAGCCCTTTCACCCTGGAGTCTGGAGTGGCTGAGGCCACAACGAGATGGGCTGGTCCACTCTCCCCGGGCAGACACTGGCCTCCAACCCCCCAGCCCCAGTCCCTGCATCCTCCCCCCACGGCAGGCTGGGCACAGCCATGGCTCCCACAGTGACCCCTTTCCCCTGGGGCCTCTCGCTGCCCGCCTGCACTGCTGATGCTGACCAGGGAAGGTTTGTGAGTCCTTTAGTGCCACCGTCTAATGATCGTATGAAATATGTATGCCCAGTGAAGAGGAGAGGGAGAACTTTCATCTTTCAAAGGCACGAAGCAGAATCAGAAGAAGATAAAAAGTGGCTTTTGTGCCCCTGCCACGATGGGGGCCGCCAGCACTGGCTCGGAGGGCCTCGCCGGGGTGCTCGGGCCGGTGCCAGGGGCAGGGGGGCCAGGCCAAGGGCGCTGTGCCTGGGAGGAGGCAGCAAATCCCATCACTCGGCGGCCCTGCCACAAGGCCCTCCTGGGCTCCCCGGTGCCCTCAGGGGACGGTCCCTCCTCCTCCACACACACTTGTGGCCCAGCCCCTGCTGCCAACTTCAGCCTCACCTCTCACCCAGGCCAGACCAGTGTGGCCCAGCCCATCTGCTCCCTCTGCCCGGACCGCTTCCGTCCTCCTCGGCTCCCCAAGGCTGGGTTAGGGCTTAGCCCTTTGGGAAAGACTCCCAGCCCTGAAGGTGCCGTGAAGAGGAAGCTCTCAGCTGCTGTGTTTCCTCCCCCCGGGTCTGGCTCCCCGGGGACACGGCGGGGTCATGGCTCACGATCTCTGTCCTCTACAGCGACGTCTGCATCCACACACCTCCACAACATGCGTTCACATACGCGTTTTTCATGCTGGCCCCAGGCCCGTGAGCTGGGTCCTGTTATAACTCCCTGCTCCTTACCTTTACCTAATGGGAAGCAGACAGGATCATCCACAGGAAAGCTGTCCAAGAGCTCACCGCTGCTAAGTGGCAGAGCTGGCCTCCAAATCCCTGTGTTTAAAACCATTTAGCACCTCGAGGGCTAGGTGCCTCTGAGTCGGGCCTGTGTAGCCGAGGTGCAGCGTGCCATGCGGGCTAGGCCAGTGGAGGGCGCTGCTGGGGCCTGCACCCTGCTCAGCCTACAGCCTGCCCCACTCTATTTCTCATGCACTTTTCAATCAGCCTCCTTCCCAAGTCCTGCTTCATGTCCGCGCCACTGAAATGAATCCAGTGCCAAATAGACAGCGACCCTTGGGCCCACTTTAGGAGGGAGGGGTTTGGGAGTGACCAGGGTCTGTACACAGAGGACACATGTCCTCCTCGTGCCATGAACACCCTCTCTCCTGTCGTGTTAGCCACTGGTTTTGACTTCTTGCCCCTGGGTCTCTTATGACCAGTCTTGGTAAGCAGTAAAGTGTCCCAGTGTGTACCTATGGGTTAGATTCTAGTGCTGGGGATGGCAGGGGGTACGCAGAGACAGCAGAGGGGACGCCTGCAGCGTAATTGAAGTGCTCATCTAGAACCCTGGTCTGGCATTTTTTTAGAATTCTAGGAATGAGTATATCTGTCTCCCTGCAGGGTTATGTGTGGGGTCTCACGGGCCGGTCAGATAGCTACAGGGATGGGGGAAGGGGTCGGCGCAGCTGGCCAGCTCTCACACCGTACCTGGGAATTCTAAGAAATGCCAAACCAGGGTTCCAGGCCTCCCCTCTGCTGTTTCTGCGTACCCACTGCCATCCCCCAGGGCTAGAATCTCACCCACAGA